TTCAGAAGATAAGATTTCACTTAACATGTTAATTTTTATAACTTTTGCATATTCAAATATATATATATATACACTACCAGTCAAAAGTTTAGACTCACTCTTGAATTTTTAAAAATAGACAAATAACAATTAAAAATGACTTCTTTTAAACTGAAAATTACATTAAATTAACCTTATTTTGAGAAATGTAGGTACGCTTATATAGTAAGAACCATAATTTTATGCATAACTTATGAATTTCGACCAATATTGGATTCTTCGAAATATCCTCCTTTAGCCCTTAACACAGCAGCACATATTTTTGGCATTCTTTCTATTAGTTTTTGTAATGTTCTAGCTGATATCTGGTTCAAGCAACTAAGTAAAGATTCCCAAAGCTTGTTTTGATTGGTACGTCTCATTTTTGTAACATTTCTATCGAGTTCATCCCACAATAGCTCAATAGGATTACTATCAGGGGATTAAGGGGACCAATCCATGTATTTCAGTACTTTTTCTTCTTTTTTTTTTGATGCAATATAGTTCGTACACAATTTCGATGAATGGTTTGGATCATTATCTTGCTGAAAAACAAATCCTTGATCAACGATTCTCTGTCCACATGGAAAGGCGTAACTCTGCAAAATTCTGTGATAATATTTTTTATCCATAATATCCTCTATTCGCGATCGCAACACTCGAATACGCCATCTGGGGAGAGACCGGTTTCATGCCTTTAGCCCCTCTCCTTCTCTTTTCAGTTATATAGGAATGTACTACGATATTTTCCCATTTTTTAATATTTTTCCTTTTTACTTAATAAAAATATTTTTAAAAATTTCCGTGATACTTTTCTTTAGAACTATGTTTAATGTAGTTTTCAGTTCCATATAATTTTTCAAGTTAAAAGATTTTAATCTATATGAAAATCAAGAGAGAAACTAACGTACTTCCTTCCTCTATGACTTTCCACACGCTAATGGGGAAAGCATATGAAGTGTTGCCATAGGAAAAGAGTTCTGCTCTACGCCACCTGCAGCCCATTTCGATCGCCAATTCTTACAAGATCTCCAACTTTATCACCGGCAAAACATCCCCAAATCATGACTGAACCTCCACAATGCTTTACAGTTGGTAGTAAACATTGACTTGTCATACGTTCACCTACTAAACGACGAGCATACTGCCTTGGTTTGATTCCAAACTATTGAAATTTTGTTTCGGCCGTAAACAAAACCTTTGAGCACTGTTCTAAAGACCAGGTAACATGTTTTTTAGCCCATTGCAGTCGTTTAATTTATTTTGCTTTTTTAAAGAGGTTTCCTGGCAGCTACACAACCTTTTAAATCATAGTCACGAAGTCGACGTTGTACAGTAGATACTGACACAATTTTCTGCCGAGTAGCATTCAATTCCTCATTGATTTCTGGTGCTGTTCGAGTTTGCTGTCGCTTAATTTGAATGCGGATAAACTTACCCTCACCTTTGGACGTTATTCTAGGTCTCCCTGATCGCTGGCGGATCTTATTTTGGCCAGTTTTTTTCTTCCTTTGCAAAGTTCTGACAACAATGATCTGAGAAACATTAGTTTTAAAGGCAATTTGTCAACTTGAATAGCCTTCTGCATGAAGTGCAATAATTACTGCTCGTGTTTCCACACTTGAAGTAATTATTGACATTGAACTATTTTTGAAATAAATACAAGTGAGTCTAAACTTTTGACCGGTAGTGTATATATATATATACGCACAATGGAACCCGTTTAAGAGGTTCCCGTTTAAAAAGTTATCACGCGTAAGAAATTAATTTTTTAAAAAACCAAGTACCACAATGTTAAATTTACCTTCATAAGCAGTTTTTTTTTTTCGTTTAATAAGTTTTCACAAGTTTCCAATTTTCTTCATTTTTACATTTTATATTTAAAATTTCTTATCTAGTTTTACCTTTCTGTGACAAAAACAGATATCTGGACTAAGCCAATTTAACAAAGACCACAGGCCTTCTTTGCTCATCCATTGCACAGAAGAAGGTGATTCATCGAGAACAGGTGTGAGCAAAGGAATGTGAACCTTTAGATGAACAATGAAGCTGATAAGAATGTAGGGAATCACTTGGACATTGCGTCCACTGTAAATGAAAATCAGAGAGCCTGATGACGCATGCACTGCACTGCTGTACCCAACCCTTCAGTGATTGATATGAAGGTTCATTTTGATTTTTATCTTAAATCAAACTTTCAAATATCAAATTTTCAGATATTTGCAAATGGTGAATAAATTAAGCATTTAATATACTTTCTATTCACATTTAAAATATAGTTGATTTAGTCTAAGATAAAAGAACTCAGTTCTTCACTTGATTACAAAACACTAATAATTTAGTCTATAAAGTAAAAGCAACCCTGTAAGCATAAACAATCACTACGAATTCTCAATTAGTAAGGATAAAACTATTCAACTCCATATATTTAAACTAATTTGAATGGAGTCAAGAATCCCCAAAGATACTGTTTGGACTCTTAATGCTTCTAAGCAATGCGCATTGCTTACGCGCGTAAAGAAGTAAGAAATAACTGCCCCTTTTAAGACACACACGCAGAAACAGTACTACAGTAATAATTTTTCCTTCATGTTTCAACTTTCGTACGGAATTTTTCAAAATAACTGTTAAAAAAAATTATGCGCTCGACATTTAGACCAATTTAAATTAAATCTTCATACAACACAAAAGAATTCTTGAAAAAAAAAAAAGACAGCTTATTGTTATAAAAATTGGAGTAAATTGCTTACACCTTTCAATATTATCATTAAACAAATTTTGTTTTGTTTTGTAGAATCTTTGAGTTTACATAACTTACGTAAAAACAGAACAACTACAAAGCATGACCACTCCCTGTGATAAACATTCTTTAGACTTCCTACTTATAAATTTGTGTTATTATTATTAAAATAAAATTTTTCTTTTGCTAATATTTTCTTCTACTTATTATAATGAACATAATTCAAAATTTTCGGGATCTCCTTGATTGATAATTTCTGAATCAAAATATGGAGAGTTTTACTTTTATATGCATCAAAGAGATATATATATATATTTATAAATTTATCGCTTGAGTGTTACAAACAATATTTTTCTTCTTCTAATAAAGCAGTGACAAGTTTAAAAACTAAACACACTTTGATGTTACTATTAAAACACAGCTATAAAGAGTCCATGCTTCAAATCTTAATAGTATAAAAGTTAGAAAATTTGCATAAGATGATGAGACACATTTTCCATAACTATTAATTTAATTGAAATCCAAGTTTTATTTTTGATTAAATTTTTTTTACTTAAGAACATATGAAAGATATATAAATATTGCAGCTAAGGTTTCATAAGGGAATACTTCATAATTTAAAAGCAATTAAGAGCACCTAAGAACGTTCTCTGAATATCGAACCAATTTCAAAATTAATTAATTTCAGTCATAAAGAGAAATAATAAACACAGCAAAGAAAACAGAAATTTTTATTGATATTTGTAAATGTTTAATAATTAGAAAATATTTTAGACAATTTTCCTAAGTTCTAATCTTCTCATTTCTAGTTTGCTGTTTACACAAGTTCCGTTTGCTGTTTTCTAGTTTGAAGTTAATGTAAGCGACAAACTTACATTGGCGAGATAATTCGTATCTTAATAAATTCTCAATAAACGCGATAACTTTTCCAATCCTTGCAACCGAGAGTGACATACAACAGCCAATCAAAACCCAATTACCCGAATAATATCATTGTTGCCATTCCTTAGTAGTTACCATGGACAGAGACGAGCGACTAGATCAAGTGATGCATCTGACACGCCCTCAACTACGTTTCAATGACATCATCAAATATTAATGTAGTGCTGTCATCTTTAGGAGTTTGATTATACTACATATATTTTGATGACAATATAATTTTTTTTTTTTAATCCTTGAATTAAATCGTTTTTCATGTTACTTTAAAATTTATTACACTTAAAATGAATTTTTCTCATAGTTTTTTTCTTTTTTAATAAAATAGTGAATGCTCTTAATTTCACACAGTGAATATTTTATGATATTTACAAATTTAAAAATTTTATTTTAGTCTAATCTACTACTTTTATTATGAACAAACTGTCTTCCTTCTACTTATAAATTTTAATTAAAAAATTCAAAGTTTTTTTTAAATTTAAGAATAGTTAAATTAGAAATTTCATTAAATCTGTGCGTATTTTTATAATTATCAATGGGTAAATTGTTGGAAGTAATGAATATAATTGTTTAATACTTTACTCTGAATATTTTGAAAAGTTAACAATTCTGCTCTGTGGCAGAATAATGGTCAAGTGTTGGCAACTTTCGGGCAACAGTGGCCTGCGAGAAACTGAAAAATAAAACATCATAGAAAAGGACCAACTCGAAATGTTTAACTCCTACATTAACTATCTACATTTTTTTAAAAAATCGCAAGTTTACAATCTATTTGGCTCCTTGGTGATTGTAATTGGCGCTACAGATCACGATACTGAAATATCTCCAAGAAATTATTTGTTTAGATATTTATTAAAAAGAGAAGAAAAAAAACTTTCCAACATACTTGATATTTTCAAGAAGTAAGATAATTTGTTGTTTTAATTATAAGAATATTTAAACTAGAAATATTCCTTAAATATATATGTGTTTGAAGCTTATCGAAATAAAGGAAAACAAAACAACATTTTAAGTGCATGTTTCGGCAGTTATCTACACTGAATTACATATATATGTGTATTCAGTTTTGTGTTAAAATTACAATAAGCTTTAATTTTTCTTATTTTATGAAAAAAAATATATTACAATTTGAATCAAAGAAAAGAGGTTCACTTCTGAAAAAAAATATATTCTAAATAGCGAAGAAGAGTTTTAAACAGAACAAAACAAAATGCAATGATTGTGATAACTCTTAGTTAGTTATACTTTTAAAATTAAAAGAAATAATTAGTCTATATGAAATTGATCTAAAGATGGCAGCACTACACTAATTTTTGATGACGTCAGTTAAGCGTGGCCGGAAGCGGGTCAGATGCATTGCTCTATTTAGTCGCTCGTGATATTGAGACTGATTCTTACTTTCATAGATCATTATTTGGGCAAATACAAGAAGTAAAAGTCGTATTCTGAATTTATCAATTCGATCAATCAGTGACCTAGGCTTGTGTTTATATTTATGTTTATTGCGAACTGCCCTTTTTTTAATCTTCTGATTATTGTCTTCGATTTTTACGTAGAGAAGGATTTTTACCGTCACATGAACAAAAATTTAAGAAACCTCTTATGATGAATCGAAGTTTTTCACCTCAACATAATTCTCCTCGTTCTCCTGTTAATTTTTCGAATCGTTTTCGAATGGCACAATTTCCATCACCTTATAATTCTAGTAAGTTTATAAAGCTATTTTTTTTTCTTTTACTTTCTTGTAGTACCATTGACTGAGTTATATAATTTTTTTCCAATTAAGTTAAAAAGTTTAATTTTGTGAATCAGATTGACAGCAATTTTATTTAGAACTACACAATTGTGACATAGTAATTGAAAATACTTTCTTATCTGGTTTTCACTTGTAAGTTTATGAAGCTAATTCCATGGTAATAGGCGCAAGAGTATGCCAACTTTGCGTCGATTACCTACCTGATTCGTTTACGGCGTGCTGAACTAGCAGAGCTTTAAAAGAAAAAAAACTAACTTGATGAAACATTAATCACAAAAACAGATATAGATGATAATTGATAAAAATCAAATTAAAAGAAAAACTAATCTAATTAAAACAGAAAGGGTTATAAATGCAGTAAAAAATGGGTGATAATCTATGCTTGAAAATTATTTTAAACAACATGAATACTTTTTGTAGACTATTTCATTAAAATCAATTTTGAATATAAAAATTTAAAAATATTTTTTTTAAATTGGTTTATACGTGTATTAAATAAATAAGGCATTAAAAAAAGTATTTAACGAAAGGAAGTAATAAAAATAGTTTTAGTAAAGCGAATGTTTTCATTTGCACACAAAAAAATAACCTTAAATAATGAAATATAAAAATATTCTCAAAGTACTTAAAAAAATTCTACTCAGTTTTTAAGAAAAAACTACTAAGTTTAAAAAAATCAAAAGCCAGGGATCTGTCTAGGCCAAATTTGCTACTATTTACCTTCACAAATTCCACTTTAGGAAAACAGAGTGAGTAACGTTTTTAAAAGGTGCTTATTTTCCATTTTTAAAAGCCCTTAAAGGTGCTTTTTTCAATGAGTGTTTTTAAAAAGTGCTTAATTTTCCCTTTTTCAAAATGAGATTTTTCCTTTACCATGTTGATTTTCGCTACGAATTATGCAAAAAGACATGATTCACATTGTTTTATTCAACGTTTTCATAATTAATTCAATCCCAATCTATTTCGGCGTATTGTCAGGCGTAGCGTATGAAATTCGTTTTACGTGATTCAAAATTTTATGATTTTTGACAATTGTCAAAAACAAGTTTTTTTTGACATGTCGATTAAAACAATATAAAACCAAATATTGTCAAAAATTTTCCAATCCTGCCTAATTTAATTATGAAATTTTTTTAAAGTGCTTGCAAAATATTTTTTGAGTGCTTGAAAAGTGCTTATTTTTTGTTGAATTATTTGGCTATGCACCCTGGAAAAACGGCAGTTTCACTAAATACTTTTTCTTAAAATTTTATTTTTGTATCCCGTAAGAAACGATAAATCCATATTTTTGTGTTGATTATTTAATATAATTTTTAATTTTCACAAATTATGCCTAAATTTTCACAAAATAGGAACCTGTCAGAAAAACCTAGACAGATCCTTGAGAACTATAAAAAGTCATCACATACCTTAACGCACTAAAAAACTAAACAACATTTAAATTTAAAAAAAATTATAAGAAAGGTGAACAAAAATTAAAATATATTTGAATTGAAGGTGAAGTTAGATTAAAGCTTTGAACATTTCATTTTGCTAAAAGTGATAATTCTTTAAAGGCTATAAGTTCAGTTTAAACTAAAACAAAAAGTAAAACATACTCTATTATCATCTAATAACTTGGACATAGAACTTCAAATGTTTACATGAATGTCCAGAGAGAAACAACTTTCCATCAATTTCAATCATATCCATTAACTTGGATCATGTAAGCAGACCTTAATGTTAGTGATTTGTAATTTTAGAATTAAATATAGATCTAGAACACTTTTGGTTTTTTATAAGAATGAAAAATTAAATTCGATCTTCTATTATTCTAAAAATTGGTACAAGATAAAGCACTGGACACATTTATAAAACTATAAACTATTTTTAAAAATTGTAAAACTAATTACAGCGAAAGCTCTGTTAAGCGAACACTATTAGGACTGAAAAAAATGTCCGTTATGGAAAAGGCACACTAATAACAAAGCTAATGCCGTAAATTGTTTTTTGTGTAATTGCATACGACGCCCGGTGGCTGAGCGGTAGCGCTTCGCGCTGTCGTGCCACAGGTCCTTGGTTCGATCCTTGGGCCGGGCAAGGCCGACTCAGCCTGTCATCCCTTCAGTGGGTCGATAAAGGAGTACCAAGCATGCTTGGGAACTAACACTGGGGGTTCCGCGTTCGGCTGACCACCTGACCGGAACATATGCTCCTGCACCCCAGAGCCCAAGATCAAGAAAACTGAGATGGGCACAGTCGGCCTTGGCCCTCTTTGGGCTGTCGCGCCACTGAGTTAGTTTTTAGTTAGTAATTGCATACAGTACGAAAATAATAGATTAAGAAATTTTATATAGTACATGCTTTTGTTTTATATTTATCATGTCTCCATGCTACATTTTAAAATCATTTTTAGACCAATTTCACTATTTTTGAAAAAATAATATCTTAGTTTCTCTATGCATGTTTGAGCATCACGTCCAAGTTTTCACTTTTGGTTCTTTTTTTTTTTAAATGTGTAAATTAAATATCAGTTTCTTCATTATCTCTCTTACTGTCATTATTTGGAACCATTTCAAGTATTTTCTTCATATTTCATCATTCTTTTGAAATTATATTTGTGACAATGATTACAAAATCATTATTGCTGATAACACTTTCTCCAATAAAGTGAATCAAATTTGTTAATGCAGAAACAGCTTCGACAGAAATTGTGCCTTTTATGACATCTGCAATTAGATTTCTATCTAGTCTATCCTTTTCACAGCCTACCTTAGTAAAAAAGTTTAAACTGGTTGAGTATTTTTATTTTTCACCAGGCAGCAATTATCCACAATGAAGCTTGTGTGACATCAACTTTTACGTTTAACGCATCCCCATCACTTTATATGACAGAGTCCTCCCTAAGAATTAAAAAGGGCAGGAAGCCCCACAGAAAAGCTCACTTTGAGTTTTGAAAGGGCTCTCAATTTAGCAAATGTATAATAGTATGTAATAACTGAATTCCATCCTCAACAAATTTTAAATTATCTTATACTATTTTATGTCAAAAAGTAATGTTCACTCATTATAAAAATAAGAGAGAGATTTGAAGTTTATATGAAATAATTAAAGACATCCGAAAACGCAACCAGTGTGCACAAATTTTTTTCAAGAAAAGTCAACTTAAAAAATGATAATTGTAATATTAAACTGAGAATTATAAGAGAATGAACATTTTAAGGTGTATTTTTTTTTAAAGCTATTTATTTAAAAAATAAATTTAAAATCACTTATTTACTTAATTAATAGAGTCACTTAAGAGGAACACAGTATGAAACATGGCAATGTGTCCTTCAAGGTGAGATTTAAGTGATGCATAGAAAAAAGAACATGGCAGTACCTACCTATAAAGTTGTTGTATTCAATAGTCAATCATCTGCCAAGAGTCTGAATAAATGTTTGATTAATGTGTCCACCTTCATGACTAGTTTTCTGTTCTTTTTTTTTAAACTCAGTTATGTTAACTAAGGGGGGGGGGGAAATTGTTTAGAAGAAAGAAGGAATTTTCCCTGGGGAAGTGGAACTTGCAGGGACTTTTGTCACCTGGATAAAAAGATGCCACTGTTCGAAATATTTCGCATGAGTTGCAAAGTTTTTCTCTCATTTCTTTGTAAAGAAAAAAAAAAGTAACTGTATAATTTTTAGTTAAGCATAAGGCAAAAAATTTGCATGCTTTTAAAAATAGTAAAAAGATGCATATATTTTTGGGCAGAAAAAACTAAAGTAGAAATATTTTCTTTTAAATTTAAAAAAGAATCGTCCAGTTTGAAGAGATTGAAAAATAACTTTTCGAGACATAAATGAGTGTCCGCTTTGTATAAAGTTTTATTCACAGAAGATTCATGAGGAATTTAAAAAGTAGCTGCAACGAGAAGCATTAAAAAGCTGTTTTGTATGAGTGTCCATAACATGAGGTTTCACAGTATTTTTAAATGTTTGTTTTTACTGTCATTTTCTGAGGAGCTTTTTTTTAATTTTTTTTTTTAAAAAGTAAGGTAATGAAGAATCATTTGTTATGTATTAGGTTAAAAAGAAAAATAATTACCTTCTTTAAATGCCATTTAGAGGAATAATTAATTTTAATTTGTTCTCTAAAATATGTTATTGTACAAAATAGTTAAATTCTTTTGACAAATTAAATTATCATTAAAATGACTCANGCACCTATTTTACATGTAATGAAGAGTCATTTGTTATGTATTAGGTTAAAAAGAAAAATAATTACCTTCTTTAAATGCAATTTAGAGGAATAATTAATTTCAATTTGTTGTCTAAAATATGTTATTGTACAAAATAGTTAAATTCTTTTGACAAATTAAATTATCATTAAAATGACTCAACTAAAAATATTAGTAATACATTTATTTTTCAGAAGTAGTTAATGAATTTACAATAGTCATATGTTGTACAAATTCGTGAATTTAATTTTATAACTTTGATGAAAGTAATAAAGCATAAACATTTTGTTCAATAAAGATTTTTGACCTAATATTGAACAAAATGTTTGTACTTTATTCAGTTAAAATAAATTGCCATTACCAATTTTTCAGCTACTCTATTAAGATTGATATATTTGATACTAAAAGTATTTGAATTTTATAATTAATACAGAGGCACATTAATATTTTTTTACTGATACTAATAAAATAGGTACTTACCCATCTCTAATAGAGGGATTCACTTTCATGTAGCATCTCGCAAATTTATGTACCTGTGTTTTGCAAAGCTCAGCTGCTACATATAAATCTTAATTCACTATAAAGCTTAGCTTATTAAGAACATACATAATTGAATGTGTGAAATATTATGTAAAAGTGCTAAATCTCTCTAATGATTCATTTTTCCTAATGATAATAGATTCTTTTAAAAAAATAAATTTCTCTCATATAACGAGTTTTGTGATATTTAAATAGAATATTAATAATTAAATTTTTGCTTTAAATTACTTTATTAATTACTTAATACGAAATTGAAAAGAAAAAAGTCAGTTTCTGCCAGGAAAAAGCATATATTTCTTCCAATAGAATCAGTTTTTCCAATATGCAAGAAAATTTCTGATTGTGTCTCAAATTATTATATATATCTTTTTTTTATTACTACTTAATACTAAAATACTTTTTTTAGGAATATTTCAATGTCTTTTTTAAAATTATAGTATAAAATAATATTATATAACGAGGAGTTATTTATTTATTTAATTAGATATTCACCCCCGTATGCAGTATGGTTCTCCCCAATCTTCTCCCAGTTTCCGCCACAGTAACAATCATTACAACCAAATTTCCGATATCCGACAAAGGAATTCATTTGATCTACCGAGCCCTCAATTTCACAGTTCTCCAAAAGTATATTCACCAAGAAATAATTCACCTTATGGAAGCTATAATTCTCCAAATAGCTCTTGGAATAACCAATCAAAACGATCCATCGGCTCTAGTAGAAACTCCAGTTCTTATTTTGCTGATACTTCTGGTAGTCCCTATTCTATATCTAATAAAAAACAAAGGTATCAAGATAAGGTATGTTTCTTTAAAAAAATTAATAATTATTAATTTTAACCAGTATTTTTTATATGTTTAACTTTTTTGTCATATCCTTCATTTCTAGTCAAGTTCTAGGCCAGTATTTGCGTATGGCAGCCACTGGCTACCAGATACATAAAAAATGGTAAATAAGTGTAAAAAGTAACCCAATCTTTGTTAGTAAACAGTGATTAAAGTTTCAAAAATTTTAAAATGGGAAAAAAAGTATGGGCCTAATTTTTTAACTAAAAAGATTTAAATTCAAGAATTCATATTTTATAAATAAATTTTTTTTTCACAAAATGATTAACAAAATGGGGTCAGAAATAAAAAATATTGATTAATGTACTAAAAAAATTTTCTACTTACTTTAAAATATAAAACTGTAAGCATATAATCTTTATTTATATTTAAAAATCAATAATTTTCCATTATAAATTAATGAAGAGTAACTTGCTCTTTAATGTAAATAAGTAATGCAAATTTAACCTTAAAAGAATTTCTGAACTTTTTCCAGATTCACTATATTTTTAAAATAAATTAACCTTTGTTATTCTTCTTGTTGTATAATATATATTAAAAAAAGTAGCAACTTTAAAAAAAAAAACATAGAAATTAGCGGCAATAACTACATGAAAAGCAATTGATAAAACAACAGCAATTAATGATGGAATAATCTTAAATCGAACTTTAAAAAAAAATAACTACTCAAATGCATGATTCAAAATTAATATGTATTCTTTTTAAAAATCATGAGGTAACTCATAGCAATAATTACTATTGGTGTGAAATCACTGAAATGTTTTTTTTTTTTTTTTTTTTTTTCATATACAGTAACGAATTGTGTAGAGGCCAAGTTCAAAATGAAGTAATTTAAACCATGAAATAAATACAAATTTTTACAGATATGAAACAGAGAATACAGAAATTTACATGATAAATGTAAAAAGTTGATACTTTAATGACTGGTATTCATGAACTGAATTTAACATTGCTTTTGAACAAAACATGAGAATTGTGTATATTAAAGTAGGATAAGTGTCAGTACCACAAGTATAAATAAAAAAATAACATTAAATAGAAATTTAACAAAAAGCTTTACAATTTAATAATTCAAATAAAATTTACTTAAAAAAATGGAATAATTTTCTTAACAAAGAACAAGGCTGTTATGTAAATATATGTATAACATATTTCTTAACATTAAAAACTAAATTATCATCTTATTTAATACTGTTCCGAAAATCACTTGCAGAGACAGTGAAGATGTAAAATCAATACCCACAAAAAAAGTTAGGCGTCTTTATCTAACTCCGAACTGATATTTAAGTTATAAAATTCTGAATTATTTATTTTTATTGTTTTCACCTCTAATTAAGCTACTTATTATTAATTTTAGTTGCTTTACCCTTTGTATATTTCTGAATTATTTTCAATGTTCCCAAGAATTCCACTTTTCAGGCTATTTACTGGAAAAAATAACATAAAAAAAATTAAAATAAGTGAATAAATAATTTTTCAAGAATTTTTAGGTGTATTTCATGACTTTTAATATTAATGGGCAAGATATTGAAAAAGTAAAAACAAAAACATTGTCAAAACCTAATTCTTGGACGAAGCTTTGAACAGTTGATAGGCAATTAAACAAATTTTGAACTTTTTTTACAGTGCCTTCCTCGTAAATATTTTGACAAATTTCAATAGCATTTTCTCGCTTCATTTGAAATCTCTAATTTGTATATTTTTCTTTACTTTATTTTCAATAAGGATTTTAAAAATAAATATTAAGGGTGGTCATGGCAAAGCACCTATTTTACATGCAAAATTTTCTTGAACAATTATATGGGTTTAAATAGTAATATTTGACTTCGTATTTTTTTTTTAATAGAAAAGTTGATTTTTAGACAGACAAATTTTGAAAATTTTTTTACACTGCCTTCCTCAGAAATATTTTGACAAATTCCATTAGCATTTCCTTGTTTCATTTGAAATCTCTGTACTTTATTTTCAGCAAGGATTTAGTAATATTAAGGTAGTATTTAGTAATATTCAGTAATATTAAGGGTGGTCACAGCAGAGTGCCTATTTTACATGTAAAATTCTGTTGGGTTTAAATAGTAATATTTGACTTAGAATTTTTTATTTTAATAGAAAATAGAATTTTTGATAGGCATGTTTTGAACTTTTTTTACACTGCCTTCCTCACAAATACTTCGACAAATTTCAATTGCATTTTTTAAGATTCCTCGCTACATTTGAGATCTCTAATTTGTATATTTTTCTTTACTTTATTTTCAATATGGATTTTTAAACAAATATTAAGGGTGGTCACGACAGAGCACCTATTTTACATGTAAAATTCTGTTGTGTTTAAAAAGTAATATTTGACTTAGTATTTTTATTTTACAGAAAAATCGATTTTCCGACAGTGACTCAAATCCTGGTCATTCCTTCAATATTGAAGACTATATCCATCCATCTATGTTAGATGATCCTTGGGAAAAAGATATGATCGAATACGAGAAGAAGAAAGAGCAATTAAGTCAGACTGAAAGTTAAGATTCATTGTGAATCTTTCAATTTTTACCCAGAGTTTTATTAACTGACTTTTATGTGTATTGTCTGAACTGTATCATGTCATTACTTTTAGAAATCATGGCTTACCATTAGCATAAAATTGTCCATAATTACTATGGAGTTTCATGTCATGTTACAGAAAAACTGTTTAAGGACATTTTCACTGATGTTCACTTGTATAAAACTAAATACTATTTTCATATAGTAGTTCAAAATTTTAATTCACTCTCTTTTCAAATGCATCTAATTCACTTGTAACTACCTTAATTTAAATATTAAGTTGAATATATTCAATAAATTCCTATTAAATAATATTTTATTTATTTATTTTGCATATAACCGGATACTTATGTCTCATTTGCATATTTGTTTTCTCTTTTTAATGTCATTTTGAAGTGAAAAATTGTTCAAAATTTAGTTGTATTATTAAGATCTAAAAAGAGAGGTTCTTTTGAAATTCTGAAAATATATATGTGTTGCAAAAACTTCTATTTTTTTCTGCATACAGTATTTTATTGTACAGTATAGCTGTATTAATTTTTAAATAATGAAGAAAATAAATCTCAATGAAAGAATTTTTATAATCATTGTTTCAAATTCAAACACAGCTCAGACAATGTTGGACAATATTTTTGAGCATTCCAAAACAATATTGTTTCACAATTTAATGAATTTGGCTGGTAAGAAGGTACTTACTTTTTTTTTAAAAAATAAAATAAAATCTGATTAATTTATTTTTTTTAAAAGATACTCCAGGAGCTTCAATTTATACTAATTTAAATATAATTAAAATTTCAATTTTACTTAAAATAAAATTGCAATTATACTTCTAGGTTGTATTACCATATAAAAAAAAATATTTTATAGTAATAAGTACAGTTATAAAAATAAACTTACAATTCAATTTAATATAGAATGGAATATGAATTATTAACTTCTGAAGAACAGGTTAAAAAAAATAATAAATAAAATCAAAAAAATTAATTTATTTGAAGGCAAATTTCTTCCAAAGTAGAAAAAACCATGGTAAAAACTGTCCCGAAACAAATAGGTTTCTTCCAATCCAAGTGAAAGAAATTCATTTTATCATAATGAAATATCAAGTACAGTGAATCCCCATAAAAATCAACTTGAAGGGCAACAAAGATTTGTACTATTCGGAAAATTATTTTGATGAAAATGGTACAAGATATTTTCCATTATCTAAAATCAACTTGCATTTTTTAATCTGAAATTTCTATTGTGAATATAGAAATGAATGTATATTTCATTTCATGAAATGTAACCAATTACTTTAAAAAATAAAATAAAGCTATAAAGGGAGAGAAATCATTACAGTTCAGATGAAATTCTAAAAGTTTACTTACTTTCAGTGCTTTTTATTTATTTTTTATTCTGTAGAAGCAAATAAAAAAATACTTAAAAGTAACTTACTAATAGGAGTAAATTGATTTATTGCACAAATTAAAAAAGATTACTAACAAAATAATCCATAATAGCTTGCTGTTTTGCTTTCTTATCCATGCATCAAAAAATCTTCTTATCAACTGTATCCAAAATAAAAAAAAATAAAAAAATATTTGAATTGTCATTTTAACTTACAAAAGAACTAACAGTTTAAATTGCTTTGTAAGCATCTACTAGAGGAAAACAAACAAAGTATTCGCCATTGAGATTTAAGAAAGTTATTGCTCCAATGTTTTCACCAGTAGAAATGCAACAAAGCAATATCAATTTCTTAAAACAACCTATGAGAGTGTGGGTGATTTCTCAGGAAAACATGCTTCTTTAAATTTATGACTCACCCCCAGAAAGAAAACTCTATTCAGAAGGGCTTTTGTTTCCCGTAAGGTCCCCTCTGTTTTAACAGATTAAATTTATCTCCTTCCAATGAGGTTAACCGGATTGGAATCCCAGCAAGGGCTGGTCGATACGAATTAGGCACGCAGCTCACACTAACCACAGTGCTGACATAAAATATCCTCAGTGGTAGACGAATCAGGGGTTAGAGTTCCCTTGCCATCAGTTTTTCCTCTCCGTGTAATGTAAATGCAGGTTAGTTCAATCAAAAGGACTCCATAAAAGCAAATTTCTCAATACTTGATCCAGGAGTTTCCTAGTCTTCTGCATTGGGTTTAAAATTGCAAGGCAACTGAATTGAACATAACTGAGTTGTAGTCGTAAACTATAACCTAAATTATAACTCAGTTGTAACATAAAATATTAAGAAATATAAAGCAGGGAAAAAACATTAAATGAATTAAGTATTACCAGTGCTATAGGTACAAAATATCTATAATTTAAAAGTATTGGGTAAGTCTTGGATCGATGGTTATAATTTTTCGAATCAAAATAAAGGAATAAGAATAGAGAAGAAATTTTTATGTATGTTTTAAATTCTTATGCGTGTACTTAACATTTTTCGGGCAAAAAATAGTGGAATAGTGAAAACAAAAAAGTTATATGTGGCCATCCAATAAATTAAAAGAAAAGTTAAACTATGGAATATAACGTGTTTTAAATAGTTAATCATAAAAAACTTACGCTAAATTATAAAGGATTAATTTTATCGCTAAGTTGTAAAGAATTAATTAATTATGAAACATAACATATTTTATATAGTTAATAATAAAATTCTTACGCTCAGTTGTACAGGATAAATTTTATCTTGGGTTAATGAGAATCTAATAAACAAAATCTAATGTATCGATTTAATCTTTCACTTTTAAAAAACCTTTACCACATTTTTGTCAAAGGTCTTCAAAACTTTTCGTGTTTCATGGAGCCTCTGCATGAATTTTAGACATCTTATCCGAGTCTGTAAAATCTGATAATTTGTAGAGTTCCGTCGAATAATATGTTAGATCCGTAGAATCAGAATGGAAAATATGGAATGCTTTTATTTGAAAATATGGAATGTTACGTATGTTTTTGTACGGTTCATAAAAAAATTTAAAAGTGGTTTCAATATTATACTGAAAAAACTAAGGATTTAATTTTATCAGCTTTCATCTAAAAATTTTGATACCAGAGAATTTGTACCTAGATTTATTTAATTAAAAATATTGAGCGTTGTGAATATGAATTTACTAAAATGCGTCTTAATTTCTTACCCTTTTTTTTAGCAATTTTAAATTCTTTCAGGACCCTACGATCCCCCTGATACAATAAAAAGTGGCGATCTCTCCTCAAGCAGATGAGATGACCATGTAATTTATAACACTGGCGTCGGAACCATGGGGGTCCGGACCCCCCCCCCAATAATTGGGAAGCCAGGGTTCATTATTTTGAGAAAATATTTCCGTTTTGTTTCCATAACTTTTAATTTCTCTCTCTCTCTTATTTTTACAAAGTGCAACTTATTATATTATATAATTAAAAGAAAATTAGTAAAAAATAAAATACACACAGAAAAATGCACTGTCTGAAAAAATAAAACAGGAGTTTAGAGAACTACAAGAAATGTCACAGCCACCCTTTCCTTCAATAAGCAATAAAACACTCTTCCCACCATTCCTTTTCTTCTCACTGTTAACTGATGAAGATGATTCTCCCTCAACATAACACATTTGATACCCAAAAATAGCCGCCTTAGTTTAGGATACGCGAAAATGGTTAGCATTTTTAACTTATCTTTATCGTATTTATGGCCCTGGGCTCTTTTGTCCTCTTTTTTAAAATGTTAAATATCAACAGATCCCTACCCTTTCATAAATTGTTTCAAACCGGCAATTATCTAGAATTTCTAGGGGGAGATTCTTGTAGACATTTTTTTATTTTTTTGGTGGTTTTGTTAAGAAAATTTCTCTGAAATAGAATCATTCTAAATCTTCTCTTACGTATAGGCGCTCACAGTGTTATTCCATCATTATTTAAACTAGACATTTCCAGTCAGTTCAAAATTTTGATAAATATAAGTTGTAATTCTGCTTACTTTTATATTTTGTTTCATTAATTGTTTTAACTTAAATTATTAGTTGTTATTTTTTTAAATAAAGTTTATTTAAAGTTTTTGTAATAATGTTCATCGTTGGATAATAAGAAGTCATTAAATAAATTCTGGGGAGGTAAGCAAATGTTTGTATTAAATCACTTACTAATAAATTTATTATTGTATGTTTGCAAGAATTGTTTTATAGTTTGTATATTAAATTTATTTATACAGTACATCATTTCATGGTTTTACTGTTCATTGCGCATGAATTTATTTTAACTTACTGCTTTAATGCTAAACTTACTGCTTTAATATTCTTAAATTTTTTTTCTTCTTTTTTTTTGCAATTTAGAGTTTTATAAATATATTTATTTTAATCATGATAATCTCTACTGAAACCAATATTAAAGATAATTTCTCCAGTATTATTATTAATGTTGTATCTTTCATCTCAGAAATCCAGATCAATTCAAATTCATAGTAAAAAAAAAATTCGTTTAGCAAAACGTATTATGACTTTTTCCTTACATTTTTTTAAAAAAAAATTCGACTAAAATTTAAAATGTTAAAATATGCCCCAAAAAATTTATCTCATTTGTGATTGTTTCATCACGTAGGATTACATGACATAATATTATGCATTTATAAATTTCATGTCATTCTCATCAAAAATTTTAACAGACAAAATGTTCTTTTCAAAATTAAACTATATTTTTAAGACACATAATTGTATTTACTGCTTATTCTACTGATTCCCATTTTGTATCACACCTTCACATTGCACAGTTGCATCTGCATCATCCGGAAAAACTCCCCAGTTTAAATTTTTTATTCATTTACAAGCCGAATACCAGTTCAGCGCATAGGGTAGAAAATAGGAAAGTAAATAATCAATAAATCGATGTTAATCAACATGCACAAGCATGTACCAAAGCAATTAATAAAGTTAAAATAATTTTAAAAAATTATTTATTATTATTTGTTGCTCTTTCCAAGAAATTTCCGTTAGATCAATGTGCTATCCTAATGTTTGAACAAAATTCAATTTTTGTATAATTTTAATTTTTGCATAATTATAATTTGAATAAAAACTTCAAGGCCAGTGAAAAAAAATTTAAAAATAAAAAAGATTTAAATATTATTTAATAATTAATTTTAAAATTGTTAAGAGGTAACGTAACAAACAGGATTTCCAATTTTGTAATTATCTGAAAAAAAGTGGTACGGCACAAAATTAGGGTTTCACTTGAAGTCAACATAAAAAAAATAATATTAAAAAAATATAAAAATTGAGAAGCCTGTGTAAGAGTCTTTTTTTTTCGAATTACTTCTACTATTCTAGTTTTCATAGAAGAAACTAGTTTTTAACAAAGTTAGGTATATGTTTTATATTATTGTAATCTCGTCTTTTATCACACGAGGACATAGTTTCTTCTTTCCGCATCCTTTTTTACCATTATTGTCTTTCAATTTTAAGAACTTACTGACTATAGAGTCTTTGATCTTGAACTACCTATCATTATCATCGCAATAGCACGAATATTTATTGAAGAAAAAGCTTCTATCGGTTCTTTTCATGATCAGTTAATCTCTTTACTTTTGCCACCAAAACTTCTAAAAAATGCAATAAAAAATACATAGCAAGAATTCATGGCAAATTTGCAAATAGAAGTGTTTTTCAATCGTCGTAGTAGCCATAGTATTTTTTAGTTATATTTATTTCTAAAAATTACTGGTAGCCTTTAAGTTTTTCCTCAGGCTAAAATACTAATTTTGATCTTAACAATTTCTTCTACATAATTGCAAATCTTGTTTGTAGCGTTATTTCTTAATAATATACTTTGAGAATTAAATAAAAGGGATTTAAATTGTATTTTTCGATTTTCTCAAACGTTTGCTCTAGTCTGAAAATTTTTACTCAGACAGTACTTTATGTTGTATTTCATTATAGATTGTCTGATTTGTAATTTTCCGCGCATTTAATAGTATTTTTTCACACAATTGTACACATGATGCTCCGTAAAGACAACTCCTTCGATAAATTTCTAGAATTCTTGTCACAAATGAAGTAAAAAAAAAAAACGGGATCACAAATTGATATTTAAGGGGGGGAAAAGAAAATCAAAACGTGACCAAAAATTTATGTTTAGTTGCCGAAAAAACATTGAGGAATTGAAAGACACTTATTCGAGACACTTCAAACTTATTTCGGCAATCAAACTGGTTTGAAAGTTTCAATTCCGTTTATCTTAATAGTCACTCTTACGATTTTCTTATCGTTTTTTCCCGCTTTTAAATGGTAGTTTGCTATTCCAAATTTGTATAGTTTTTTAAACTTAATTCTTAAAGATGATTCTAAAATTATATATGAGGAAGTAGATTACAGACCACTCTGCATCATAGAATCAAGATGTTTCTTGATTCTATGATGCAGAGTTTATTCATTCATTAGAGTTGTATTCTTACTATATATATGAGCAATTCTACAAATAAACGCCAGTTAGGNATATATAATAAGGGCAAGGGTGATATTTTTTTTTCTCAAGAAACGTGAAAATAACAATCTTAAGTATGGTCCCCCCCAATAAATTTTATCTGACGACGCCAATGATTTATAATGTTGTTTCGTCCATGTATGGGCCCTAAAGATCCAGCTAGTTGGGAAAAAACATAATCCACAACGACAAAATACCTAATAAATATGACCACCCTTAAACGACAAAATACAAAAAATATTTGACCCCTAAATAAATTTTAAAAAATTTGCATAATTTTTGCTGTCGAGAAAAGGAACACTTTGAATTGCTAAATTAAACTGCTTCTTATGAAGCTGCAATATATTAACAAATATTGAAGATACTTACACCCTATTTATATAAAGTAGGCTGAAAAAAGTTCCAAATACAAAAATATTTAATTATATTTATTAGGATATCATTAAATATATATTAGCTAAATATATATCAGTCTGTTAAGCTTTTGAAAAAGTATGAGTAACATGTTAATTCTGATGTTTGGAAACCTTAAAAATTAAATTGTGTTGAAAACATTTTTATTTTATTTTAGATTTTGCAAAAGCTTAAAGTAAGCAGATAACTCTTTGCACGTGCTGAAAATGTGGATAAACTTTTGTTATTATATTTTTAATGTTACCATGCCCTATCTCTTTTTTTTTCACATTTGAATTTTTTATTATGGTTCAGTTTATGTAGTAGCTTTAGCGTTATGCTTTGTTTCCTAGTTTTATTTCATGTAATGTTTTTTTAGTTTTGATAATTTTCTTAAGCTTTTAATAATATATATATAGTCAAAGTGCACAGGAAAAGTTTTCATAAAAAAAGTATGCAAATATGAATAATTATAATATGATACACTATGTAAATATAAATTATCAAAAACCTATTTTAGTTATAAATAACATAAAACTTAAAGCAATTTTTTTTTTCATATGAAACAATTTGCATTTCTAGCAAATTGTCTTATGTATAAAAAGAAATTAATATTAATGGTGGTAATTTAATTTTGCAATTACAAAATATTTGTCAAAATAAGTATATCTTAAAATTTGAGAAAAGTTACACAATTTTTTTTTTCCCGCAACAATTTTATACAGAGCAATTATGTATTAGAAACACCTTGTTACTAGGGTTGGTTGGTTTAAACAGAACAGATTTTGTTAGGAAAAAAAAAATTTTATAATTTAATTTTCGAATATTTATCTGAATACTTTTATAAAAATCACTAAATGAAAACGAGGTAAACTTTTCCTTAACAATCTTTTCAATTTTGAGTTTAATAGCTAATGTGAACACCAGTGTAAATATAAATAATATGTAGTTTTCAAATGTTTATGTATTATTGAGCCTCTGCAAAATTATATGTAAAATAAATTAATGTGAGCAAAGTTACAGAAATCGCTTAAAATAAAACCGATCATCACTAACTTCATGTTCTTAGTTTTTCAAATTAATTAAATAATGTTAATATCAAAATCATTAGAACCATAAAAGAGAATGAAGTGGTATTCTGAATTTTAAATTTTATTTTTCAGTTTATTTTTAGATTTCTTTTCTGTTATCAATGTAAACAAATGTTTACTTAATATATGCATTGTTTTACTTATAATTCTAATATTCTCAAAATACAACCTTTATAAAAAAATTATTTTTTATGATCACTTGCGCTTTTTACTCTAATATTTGTGTCCAATAAGTACCATTCTTCAATATACATTCCTTTCTGATGTATCAATTTTAATGGACAGCAGTATATTTTGGAGACAATTTAGATTCTATTTGATTTTGCACTTTTTTTCAATCAATTTAGTTTTTAAATTATAATGGAAATAATGTTAAAAAGAATAATTTCTTGAAGGTTTAGACTCAAAATTTAGAAATCGAAGAAAAGTGGGATAAGGAAATTTTGTTATAATTCTTTGAAATTGGTATATATATCTTAACCTTATATAAAAACTGATTTAAAGCTAAGCATTTTGCCAAAATTTTTTTTAGTTTTAAGAACTTCATGTACTGATAGTTTTTAAAATTAGTGAAATAATGTTAATTTCGAAATTAATATCAAAACAATTAAAAGCTTGAGAATGAGGTGCTATTCTGAATTTTATTTTTCAGTTTATTTCTTATGTGCATTGTTTTACTTATAATTCTAATAGTCTCAAAATACAACCTTTATATGAAAAATATTATCTAATGATCACTTGCGCTTTTTACTCTAATAGTGTCCAATAAGTCCCATTCTGTTATTTACATTCCTTCCTGATGTAGCAATTTTAATAGACAGCAGTGCTTTTAGCATTTTGGTGACAATCTGAATTATATTAGATTTTGCACTTTTTTCAATGAATTAGTTTTTAAATTATAATGGAAAAGAATAATTTCTTGAAGGTTTGGACTTAGATTTAGAAATCGAAGAAAATGGAATCAAGAAAATTTATATCCATTCTTTGAAATTGGTAGATAACCTTAAATGAAAACTAATTAAAAGCTAAGCGTTTTTTATTTTAGGAATATATATTAAAAAAAATTTCTAAATGAGATACAAGCCATTGTTTCACAATATGAATATTCTATGACTCACAAAAGAAGTTCTTACTTATTGCTGATACAAGTTAGCAACTGTTTGTTAAAAATAAAAAATTGCTCTTAAACTTTGAGACATTTTGAATTCAAACAAATATTTAGCTTAAAATTCATAGCATATTGTCTATCTCAAAAACTAACACAAATAAAACTGTATGCCTCCCTTTCAAAAAATAAAAAAAGTTTTTCATGATATGCCTAAGATGAAAAATATTTTACTTATTCTTTATAAGTTTAAATTATATCAATTAAAGAAATAGGGGTGCACGTAACTTAAAGTATGTTTTGAAAGAAGGGAATGTTAGAGATTTCCCAGAATGAACAAATTTTAATTCATGTGCAATATTCTTCACTATGGATGGATGAAATTGCAAAATCTAGAGTACTAGTATGTACATCAGTAAGTATTGGTAAGCTAATGTTTTTCTTTTCTTTCGTGATTAACAAGTGCTATGTTACTATTTAAGAAATAAAGACATTTATATTTTGATAAAAAAATTGGACATTGTTTATTTATAAGAATCAATACATTATGATAGACAAAACTAATAAGTTATAAAAACAGCTTTATATTTTCACTACATTTCATATTTGCAAAAATACAGGAGTCAGTTTATGTCTAATTATACAACTTCTTAACCATACCCCATTTCCAATAAGAATGAATTATTATTTAAAAAAAAAAAAAAAAGATCCATGCTGAGCAAATGAGTTTAAGAGAATAAACCCTAGATGCTTTTTCTTCAAAATTCAGCTTTATTGAGTTCAATGAAGCAACAGTGCTTGATAGAAAAAATTTATAAAGTCTTTATTATTTTTTTGTTGGTCACTATAGTATTTACCATATTTTCTTCTTTTGTGGAATCAATGTAATTTTTCAACAATGCCAATTTTATTATTTTGAAACATAGTAAAAGTATTTATTTTTTAAATAAATCAAGGTTGGGATTTTGAGTCTGGGTTTAGACAGGATATATGTGATTTAATGTCCAAAAGTATATTTAAGTCTCCAAAAAATACAACTCTAAATTAGTAAAAGCATTTAAAACCATATACTATACACCTATTGAATATAAGGAATAAGTACATAATTAAATTTTTCATAATATTTTAAATATTTATAATAAAAAGTAAAATATTACAAGCATTTTCCCTCAACAGCCCATAGGGGGTCATGGAGGTTAAGGCTCCACCATTTCATGACCAACAGCATGATTGCAGCAAGGTTGGTCAGCATTGTGCACTAACTGCTTTTGCTTCCCACACAAGCTGGTTCCTATCCATTTGAAGCTGTGAGGGCTTCAAGTTGTCACTGGTAATTAATAACCAGTTTTTAACAATGAGAATTTAGTGCCTTAACGACTGGGCCATCCCAATTCATTCAGTAATAAAGAAATCAAAAAGTTTCTACTGGTATAACATCAAAAGTTCAATCAATTTTACAATTTAAGATAACATTAATTAATTATCAAATATGTAAATGTATATTTTGTTAACTCAAATATTAATAAAAATTTATACAATTTTAATACTAATTAAATTTTGAATCATTAGAATTAAAGCCAGCTTTTTCTTAAAAAAATACTCAGGCAAGATCCTCGAGTCCTAATATTGACAACGAATTCAATGTTTTTTGATTTTTCACCAAATTTTGTTACCAACTTTGTAACTGTTAGGAATTGTTCACATATAACAATTCTATATCTAGTTTTGGATAGTTTAAGACAGATAGGTTAACACCAACTATTTTGAATTCAGTTGCCTTTTTATTAAATATATCTTAAAGAAGTCATTCCACATTTATTTATAAATTAACCTATAGTTTTTTACCTTATCTATAACTAATTTATAATTCTTTGTGTTGCTTAGCAATTAACAAAACAAAAATAGTTAACAATTAACAAAAACATATTTAACAATTTACGCAAGTTTATTGTGAACTATGATTTAATAATTCTGTCAAAAACCTTGTCAACCCTGCTTCAATTAAAGGTTAATGTTTTTTTAATTAATAATAATCAACCCAGTACGCAATTGACAAATTACCGCAATGGTAGATTGTTTTCTGAGAAGTTTTTAATACAGCTTGTGCCACTGCTTATCTTGAAATTTAGATTTATAATCCCAAGAAACTGAAGCAGAATGATATAATTAAAATTAATTTTATCAAAAATTAAAAAGGTGAAAAAAGTTAATAAATTTTGAGTGTTAAAAAATAAATGCCCATTCAAAACCTGCCAGGTGTGAATCAGAAAAAAAAAAAAACAAGTTTGATAGCAATGATAAATTTGCCTAGAAAAAATTAGAAATAAATAAAGGGCAAAGAGAAGATTAGAATAAATTGTGGAAGCTTTGATATACAAATCAGGGCAAAATACCAATCCAACCTTGGCTATATCAGGTGAAACAGATACTTTAAAATTTTGATTTAGAGAATATGTCAATCAAGAATTCAATAAATCATCAATTGCTGCTCATTGTTTGAACCTTAACCTTACATTTACTTTTGGAAATGCCAAAATTCTTTCCAACTCTAGGCACATCAGCTCATCTTGATGATCTGGAATCTTGTTATATGAATGATTCCCTAGTTGAAGACACAAATTCTTCTTCACTTGCAAATGTATCCTGTTCAGATTTGCATCTATAAGTTAACATGGTTTTTTCTAGTTTTGTTTTACACCTTTATTAATTTTCATTCCCCTCTCATTTACACCAGACAGGTCTTGAGAATGGGTGTCTATATTTGAGAGTGAAATGTTTTTTTTTCAACATTTATATAATTTTTGAAGAAAATGATTTTTTTTTTGCATTTTCAACTATGTCATTTGTTTAAATGCTTAATAGTGACGAGTGGAATTTGCTTTGTGAAATCTTTATATTTCGTGGAGTAGAAGCATTTTAGTATCATACGAGCTTGACACAACAACCTACTGGTCATCAGCATGCCAGATAAATAATTCTTCTGCAATTTAGTAGCATCTTTGGTTATGACATGCCCAACTATTCCCTTAGTTCCATTTTTTCGCTGTAGCGATTGAATTCTTGCATTGCTAATTTGGCTTCATTTTCTGATATTTTATGAATAAGCATAAGATGGCGTTTTAAGTTATACTTTGAAGGAGACTTGTATTTACAGATTTCACATCCTATTTCAATTTGTCTAGCACATTCGTGTGCTGCTGATTCTCCGCTTAATGCTTTATAACATACATTACATCTTGGACCGGAGTACAGAACCAGTCGAAAGTTATTCTTCTTTCTGACGACACGCCCATCGGAACTGGTAAGAGCTATTTCATTTCCTTGAATCTTTCGTTTTTTGTAGAACTTGGAATTGAAACCTGACAACTCTTCCAATATTGAATTTATTTTGCTTTCTTCTAATTTATGAGAAAGTCGAAGATGCCTTCTTAAGCTGATTTTTGAAGTCAACTTACTCTGGCAGAGTTCACATAAAACAGCAATAGCCGGGGTACAGTCGTGTGAATTCAATCTACTTTCTTTGTAAAATTGTTTCTTGCATACATTGCATTTAAAGTTAGCCACACTTTCGTAGGCAATTCTACACAGATAATTTTCAACTTCTTTGTTTCTCAAGCGATGAATGTTACTGAGGTGCTTCTTCAGGCTCAACTTTCGACAAAATTGACGCTTGCAGATTTCACAAATGATTATCTTCGTTTCTGAAGAGACTTCATCTGGTTCCCAATCATCTGATTGCTTGGAAGAATTCGTGAGCAAGACTTGGTGTCCTGAATCACAATCTGAATCAGTAATTTCTGCTTTGGTATCAAAATTTGCAATAGCTTGAGATGAGTAAGAGCAATCACTGTCAGAGGATTTCTTCTCCTCTTTTACGCACACTTTCGTTTTGAGCAAAGATTCCTTGTCTTCTTCAAAAAAATCAGAGGACCTGTCTTTTACTCGAACACGTAAGATTTCCCTGCTCGGGCTAAGTTTATCGACAGGACGATCGACAGGCCACTTTTTAACTCGAAGATTCAACCGTTCACTGTAACCCTTGAATTCTTTCATCAGAAAATGAATGTCATCCTTTCTTTGTTTGTGAACTTGCATGAGGTGACGTACTACTTTGTATTTAGTTGGAGCAGTATACTTGTTGCAAATTTTACACATAATTTTAATAAAATAAGCACATTCATGTCCCACAATTCTGAATTCATCAACAAATGCTTTATTACATTTTTTGCACCTTGGCCCAGGAACAGGAAGGAATGCAGATTCCCTTTTTTTACAAACGAACCTTCCATCTGAACTAGATATAGCCAAGTCATACCTATTTTGTTCTCTTTCGTAGAATTTAGCATAGTAGTCTTTTGATTCGTCAAAAATTAAACTGAGGGAGCTTTCTTTCATTTTAAAACATTTTATAAGATGTCCCTTTAAATCTCTCTTCGCATAGAGTTTTTGATGGCAAATTTCACAATTTATAGGTTTAATGGCGTGGGATACTAAATTAACTGAATCGTCGAATTCTTCTTTATGGACCTCGCAATCTGAAACGTCCATGTCATTTGAAGTTCTTTCCAAGAACGCGTCTATAGCATCTGCATTTAAGTTGTGTGAGCGTAAAAGATGACGCTTCAAAGCGATTCTCAAAGAAAATTCGCTTTGGCATATCTCACAAATTAATTTGCGTGCAACTTTAACTTCTGTTTTAATCTTCCCTTTTTTAAATTGTTTTGCAGAGTCATATTTTAACCGAGCATTAAATTCACAATAATGCTTTTCAAAAAGAGAATTACTTTCAAATGTCTTGTAGCAAATTTTACAAGTCTTTGCATCATTGAGAAGAATATACTGCTCATCATTACTTGAAAAAGCTCTTTCTTCATCATGAAAATCAGGAGCATTTTTAGGCGCAATCGCTCGAAATGATTTAGAGCTATCGAAGTTCGTACGAAAAGAGTTATAACTTTTAGCTCTCGTTAATCGACTAGAAGCCTTCTTTTTAAGTTTACTATTGGAATCATGTGTCCTCAAGTTCCATTTTTCATTATAGCAGTTGAATTCTGCCATTGCTAAATTGATGTCAATTTCTGACAGTTTATGCCTAAGGATAAAGTGACGCTTCAAATTATATTTCGTAGGAGCCTTGTATTTACAGACTTGACAAGAAACTTCAATGATACATTCACAAACATGAGTTTTCAATGTACTTTCATCGAGGAATGATTTGTTGCAAATGGTACACTTTGGACCTTCAATAGTTTTGAATTCAGAGCCACCTTCTTTGATTATAATACGTCCATCAGAACTACAAATAATTATGTCCTCTGCAATCTTAAATTTTTTGTAGAGCCTAGAGTTATAATCTGCCAACTCTTCCATGATTGCATCTACTTTTGCATTCCCTAACTGATGGACAGCTAGTAAATGTCTTCTTAAACCGGTCTTTGAAGTAAACTTTTGTTGACAGATTTCGCACATTACAGCAACTGCTGGTACACAAACATGAGATGATAGTTTATCTTCTTTGTAAAAAACTTTCTTACATGTGTCACATTTATAGTTTTGAGCAGAATGATACATAACTCTGTTCAGAAAAAAATTAATTCTGTCTTCACTCAACCGATGGATGCGGGCAAGATGATGCTCTAAAGCAAGCCTCCTTGAGAATTTGCGGTGGCAAATCTGACAAGCGATAACTTTAAATACACCACAGTCATCAACTTTTTTCTTTTTGCTACATTCCCAACTTTTATTTTCAGAGTCAAAGTTTTTTTCATCAAAGCTCATCATCTCAACGAAATAACTTCCATCCTCCTCGTTTTCAGAATAATCACTTTCAAGTTCCATCACATTAGACTCAGTTAAGTCACTTTGATACAAGGAAGACACTAAAATCTCTTTTTCTTCGCATTCTACATTTTCTTGATTTTCAATTTCTATTAGAAGAGAGGGCACTGCTGCATTTTTCAGAATTTTCTATATAAAAAAAGAAAGAAAAAAAATGAAAATTAAGAACAGTCAAATTGTAAAACAAATATGTATACAATTGTTTTATACAGCAATTAGAAAGAAAAGACCATATACCATAGATAAAAAATTAATCAAAGGTTGTAAAAAGAATATTTTTTTAAAAAAATGTTTATACACTAGTGTCCTAAAGTAAAGTATAATTCATAAATGTATGAAATTATGCTTGACTTTTCAACACCAGTATATTTATATACATATACACTGAATTAACAATAACTCCAAGTACAATAGCAAAATTTTTATTCGTTATCGACCTCTTCGTTTTTATTTCTGTGTTAATTTCTCTTTTTTTTCCAAACAAGATGTCTTATTCTTTAAAACCCTAAAAGAATGCTAATTCTTTTTCTGACCACCTGCCAAGTGAAACATTAAAACTTCTTTTTAGTTCCCTCACACTTGACTCAGCATGTCTTGAATAACATCTGCTGAGTCTCTGAATGAGAAGGGGATCACTTGTATTCTTTTATGAGCATTGCTTGTACCCTGGTCAATCAATCAATCAAATGAAATAATTTTGTTGTACAACATAAGAAGACATGTTAGAGGAATGAATTATTTGAAATGGTTGATCCCACTTTCTTGCTTATTATAATTAAGGAAACTCTTCTGAAAAGACATTCCCTTCTTGAGCTGTTTATTCTCAAATTGATTCCAAACATGTGATTGATGAAACAAGAAATTATCTGAAAAAAGGATGGATACCTAATGGTTTAATAGTTTTTATTTCAAAAGAAACCATTTTTTCTCATTTGTAGCCACTTTATAATATTTTTTTCACACATTGAGAATTTTTCTGTGTGAAGATCTTACTTTAGATTCAGTATCAAAAATTATTCCAGATTCTCCTGCCGTAATAAATTTTATCAATTTGAAAATATTAAGATTCTAAAAAACATTTGAAAATTGGTAGCAATAACTGCAGAAAAATTTGTTGAATCATAGCTTAAAAAAAGTGAATACTGAAATATGCAATTTGAATTTCAGTATTTACTTAAAGTAAATTAAATAATAATGCTATAAAAACAAAAGGTGATTACTCAAATTAGATTTTCGGATGCGGAAATAATATTGTATGAAAAATATCTGATTTTGAAAACAACATAACTACTGAAAAAACAATGGCAAAATAGAGCATGTTGAAAAAGAATTACTGAAATGCACTAATCAAAATTTCATTGTATTAAAAATATTGGTATTTTATTCACTTGATTCGTTTTTATTTCAGACAATATAAAAAAGTGTAAAAAAATATATTGCAATAATTTAATAATTCTTTTACAACAAATCAGAATTAATAACAAAATTCTCATTTGTAGGTAGCATCATATTGTTTTACATTGATCAACAATTAGCCATATCACATAATATTTTATTAAAATATGAGTAGAGGAATAAGAAAAAGAACGAAAGCTCGCAATTTTAGAATCACTCTTTATATCAATTTCACACATTGACACTTGTTTTCATCACAGCAATTAAATACTTCAAAGCTGAAGCCATTCATTTTGGAATGTTCCTTTGTACTTATGAAGTTAGGCTGACATTACGTTCTGCTCATACAAATCTGTGTAAAAAAACTTTCCATAGTGCCTGAACGGTAGTTTCTAACAAATACAAAAAAAAAAGGAGTTCTGGTAAGAGAGAATAAATGTCTTGTAAACAGGATTTTGAAAAAGCTTAGAACTTTAAATATTACATCTGAGAAATCCACAAAAATTTAGTCAAATTCTTTGGTCTTAAAATTTACAAGTATGGGGAAAAAATCACATACCTGAGACTCCCTAACATTTATTTATCATTTGCAGTCTAAAACCCATGATCAGGAGTCAAACAAAACATTTTAAAGTGAAAATTAAAAACTCTGATTTTTTATGATAGAGTGAATCTTATTTATGGTGTGGAAAGAAATCTGAACAAGGGGGGGGGGGGGGAATTAAGCAAAAAAAAANTTGAGCAAAAAAAAAATATGCAATTCCACCTAATACACTTTCAAAAATTTAAAAAGATAAATAAAATAACCTCAAATGTCAAGAATGCATGAACCCACAGTCAAAAATAATTTCAAAATAATAGGAATTCAAATAATGCAGTAACTATAAGCAGGACTTGAGTATGTGATAAAGCAAAGCAGCTTTTTTGAAGACTGAGAAGTGAACTGTGGATGGCTCGAAAAGTGTTAAAAGTAGATATAACATTGTTTTTTGGACTATCCTCAGCGATAGACGATGAGCTAAAAACGTCTATAAGGAAGTCATTGAATAGTGGATTAATGAAACCCTACACAGGTTGTTTCAAGGTTACTAAAATGATATTTTCAAGATTAACGAAATGGGCTTGTCTTTAAAATGTTTTCCGAATAATGTAACAATGATGTTCAGAGATGAAAATTGTTAAAGGGGCAAAATTAACAGAAAGCTTGTGAGGGTCCTGTTTGGATTCACAATGCATAAGGTACTTAAAAATTACCTTTGGTTGTGATTGGAAAGTATCAAAATTTTTATTGTTTCAAAAATATTAAAACTTTTTACTTGCAGTACAAAACAGCTTGCATGGAAAGTTTTGTAATATCTTTTTTGTAAATAAATTATTAATTCTTTTGACATCTGACACTAATGCATAGTTTATATTTCAATTTATTTTCATTACATATTTTACCTTTTCCTTAAAGAATGAAGTGAAATTCGCATAAAGGAAATTGAATTCATCTTTAATTTAATTTAAAAATAACTTAATTCACTTCAGTATGGAAATTTTGTGTTTCAGTATGCTGTATTTAGCTAAATTAAAAAATAAAATAAAAAATTCACTTAAAATAAGTCAGTTTTAATTTTACTAAGTAAATTTTGCACACTATTTCTTAAAAAATTTATTTATAGCAAAAAATATTAAACACAAATGAAATAAATTTTCAATGCATCATAAAAGATATTTAGTTATTTCCTCATCCAAGATACTTCTAATTAGTATAATATAATTATTTAACCTGCAGTAGATTTTTATCATTCGTTTTAAATGGCAAATTTATAAATAACTTTTTGTAATAATAAATTAAAAAATTATTGTTTATAAAAATATTTTATTACAATGTATTGCTGAATTTGCAATCTAAATAAAGCCTAGCATACATATGAAACATAGATTATTTCATAGAAAGTTCAAAGCTAACGTTTATTTTCATTACCTACTGGCAAGCTGTCTTGCTAATTTAATATATGTATGCAATGTTTAGTAATCATCAGTAGGTTCATCAGTTCGAAAAAAAAAAGATAAAAGGAAATTATGAGAAAATCAGACCAGCTCTCAATTTACTTAAATTTAAGTTTCTATTTTCTTTTTTTCTTGTTGACTCGCCATGTGGTGGGTGGCAAGTGGCTATTTTCAGGTCTAACTCATGACCACTTGAGTAACTTTCCTTTTTTTATTTTATTGAAATTTTGACACTATGGTAACAGACACAATTTTATCTACTAAATATTAAGATATCTTCACATAATCTGCTGTGAAGTAACTTATGCACTTCTACCTGAGACTCCCTAACATTTATTTATCATTTGCAGCCTAAAACCCATGATCAGGAGTCAAACAAAACATTTTAAAGTGAAAATTAAAAACTCTGATTTTTTATGATAGAGTGAATCTTATTTATGGTGTGGAAAGAAATCTGAACAAGGGGGGGGGGGGGAAATANAAATTTTGACACTATGGTAACAGACACAATTTTATCTACTAAATATTAAGATATCTTCACATAATCTGCTGTGAAGTAACTTATGCACTTCTAAACTAAAATAAAAATAATACAAAACATTTTATTAAATGAAATAAAAATATGCTCTGAAAAACAGACATTGAAACAGAAGGTGTTAACAATAATTGCTCTGAAATGTTACATAACTTAGGCTTAGAAATAGTGATGGGGCCGAATACCGAATATTCGGCCTGATTTTAGGCCGAATACCGAATATTCGGTGGCCGAATGCTTACTTTTTAAAAATTTCTCTTTTGATTGTAATTAAAGTAATTTTCAAATTTTAAATTAAAAATGAAATAAATATTAACAAAATTGCTTTTTTAATCTTTGTGTATTTAAAAAAATTTTAACAACTTGATTTATTTTTTGTAATAATTTAAATATCTTGATGCCAATAACAAGGCAATATGGCTTTTATAAATCTAAATAATTAATAATAGCATATTTTAGTTATAGTTATACTTGTAATTTATATGCTATTTTATTTAAGATGAGAACTCATTACTTACTACTGTTAAAATGTATTCTTAACTTTCTTTTTTGTCAGAAAAATTATTATAACTCAGAAAATTAAGAACTTTTTAGAAAGTTTCACTTTTGAAATTTTAATTTTGTAATTAAATAATTTTCAAATTTTAAATTAAAAATGAAATAAATATTAAAAAATTTGCTTTTTTAAACTTTCTATATTTTAAAAAAAAATTTAACAACTTGATGTGTTTTTTGTAATATTTTAAATATCTTGATGCCAACAATAAGGCTTTCACAAATCTAAATAATTAATAATAGCAGCATAATTAATAATAGCATATTCTTCATTGTTCGGCCGAATAACTTCAGTATTCGGCTAGGCCGAATACCGAATAGTGGCTGAATATTCGTTACATCCCTACTCAGAAATTCCAGTTTTACGAAAGTCTTAATTCAAAAACAAAAATAATAAAATTATAGAATTTGAAAGAAGCACCTTTGCTAAAAAAAAAAGTTACTAGCATGACAGATATGACAAGAAATTTTGATAAACATCACAGCTTAAGACAGAAAACTGGACTTCCCTATTCTTTAAAAATATGCTAATGTATGCTCTTTATTTTTTTTTTCAAAATTATGTTTCTTTAATTATTTTAGAATAAAAAAAAATTTTTTTTTTGTTAAAATGTTAACAGACATATTTGTCTTTTCATAGAATTGACCAATAACTATTAAAAAAATTTGAAAATTAAATTAGAGCGATGAAAGTGCAGCTCAAATGTACTCCAAAAGCTGTTCTATAATGAGGGTGTAACCCTAGTGGAGTATTGATGACAATTTTGGTCATAGGCCACTTAGTAATTATCAATCCTTATCCTCCCCCACCTTTTTTTAAGTTTAACTTATGAATTCAGGAACCTGAGTAAGTAAAAAGCAATTGATAAAAAAACATCTATCATTGATTGATAAAACAAAAATGTAATTGATAAAAGAAAATGTATCATAGTGTCTTAATATGCAAAATCCAAAGTTTAATAATTTCACATTATTTTATAAGTTCTTATGAAAGAACCAATTTCTTTTTATCAGTTATTTTAACCACTCTTTCATTTCCATCATCATATCTTTTTAAGCAAACTAAGTTTTTAAAACATCAAGTATACTATTCTTATGTGTAAGTATCAATATATGATCTAGGAGGCAAAGTTTCCCTTGTTACTCAAGGTAATTCAGTATTTCAATGTTAGTTCCTGAAACAAACTAAAACAAAATTATTTTCGTACTTGCAGGGAAAAATCAAATATGTAGAAAAGGACTAGGTTACTTTTTTAAGAGAGAGTTCATCTTTTTCATAGTCGTCAGATTTAAAATGGATTGAACAAATATGAGAGGTGTTTGGATTCAATTGTTCCTCTTTGCCAACAAAATGCACCCATTTCCTTCTAATTTTTGGGTCGTCTGGAAATCTATGGTATTGTATAGTATCATCACAATCCACCAAATTATTATGGCACCCCACAACAGCACACCTAGCTCCAGACATCCTAAAAAAAGAAACACATATGGGTGATTTTTTTCAAACTGTTAAGGTTGATCCTAGAATAGCCCAACCTGTGGTGATTTTTTTAAATCTCGCCAAACTAGGTTTCCGAAAGATATTTTAGGGAGACTATTTTAAACATCCAATCACACCACCAAAATTCTTTAGTCTGATTGGTAATTTGATATATATATACCTAAGCAAAAGTTAGATTTCGTTAGAAAAGAGGTAAAATGGGTTTATTTTTTTTCGCCATTTATGCTTTGATGTTAGAATTATAATGATTATTTCATTTTTGAACCGTTAATTCATTTTTTATCATTATTATTTAATTTTCTTTGTGAGTGGTACCAGTTGAAAATGGATGATCATAAGATTAAAAGAAAGGGCATATTTCCATATTGTGATCCGTCGCACCAACTACAATCACCAAGGTGCCAAATAGATTTTAAACTTGCATTTTTAAAAAAAAGAAAAAAAACATTTAGATGTGTGCCTGGGGCTGGTTACGAGTTATCCCTTTCAAGTTGGTTCCTTTCTGTGATGGATTTTTTCAAAGTTTCTAGTGGGCCGCTGCCCAGAAGATTATTCTGCCACAGATCACAATATGGAAATCTCTTCAAAAGAAAGAAAAAAATTTAACCGTCCTTTCATTCATTACAGTTATTATTTCATTTTTTATTTCTTGGGGGGCGGAAAGGAGATCTAAAGATAAGCCATCAGAGTAAAGGTAAGTAATTTTTTATTCTGTAAAAAATATTTGTATAACTTTGCAATAATTCAAAATGTTTTTTCCTTTAAATAATCAAAAAGCAAAGTTGATCCTCTTAATAATCGCCAACTTGACGAGATTTCTAAAAGTCCCATGAGGTGAGCTAATCTAAGAATTTGCCTTAGCTAACTAAGAAAAATCCATGTCATAATTAAAATAATGGAAGGAGACAACCATTAAAACAATTATTAGAAACATTGAACAATGGTGATTAATGTGTTTTTGTCTATGCAAAAGAGGAAGGGAACAAATTTAGTCCAATACAGGTCAGTATAACATTATGAAGGTATTGACAGCAGAATAAGAAAAATACGCAACGTATAATTCACATAAATAAAAGAGCAATGAATAGTTGAAACAGAGGTTATAATATAACATTACAATCATAATGAAAACATCAAATTCTAAAAATATTTTCTATTATTGTGCCAAATAATATAATAATTCTTTGAAATTGTTATGAGTTAGGCTCAAGAAGAAAAATTCAGTTAAACTCAGCAAAAGCTACATATTTACTTACGCTTCAACGAAGTTTTGTGTACGTTTATTAAAAATGTATAAAAGTTAAAGATAAATATTTGTACATCTAAAAAACATCATGAATCAATTTCATACAAAATAGTTTGAATTTGTTTGGTTGATTTATGTATGTGACAAGCTTCGTTAAAATATATTCCTTAGCTTTAGACTTACTAACTGCTTAGAAACCCTTTTCACTGCATGTATGGCTCGCGAATACGATTTCATAGATGTGATTAGAAGCCTGATTGGAGAGTTTTTTCGGTTACAGTGAGAATTTTCCTTAAGGCTTCGCAGTTCACTCTAATGGAGCATTTTTACCGCCTGCGATTAACGCACACCCAATAGCCATTGAGCAATCGGTGGATGAATCGCAAATCGAGTGAACGACCCTTAAATGTGACTCGTGCATCATGAGGATGAGCCGAATTACAATTTTAATCCTCTGCACACAATTTTAATCCGACTGCCTACGTGTGAAGTCACGCACATAAAAGATATAACAGTTTAACGATGACTGATTCCAAGCACCCCCGGTCCTCTCGCGGGTTGATCGAAGAGTTTTCACACCCGCTCCCTGACTGACAATGAAGCTTGATTTCAGTGACGTTTTTCTTCATAAATAAATGTATTTCGTTAAAACCGAAAGAAATTATGTCCGCGATGAGTTTTCTTTGCGATGAATTGTGCCCAAAATAAATTATCATTGCGATGACTGGATGCTATTTCAATAGTATATATTAATCGGATTACTTTTAATGATAGAAATAATTTATTTAAAAAATGAAATAAAGGTAAATTTCACGTAAATAGTGACAATGTTTATAATTAAACGAAAAAAAAAAGTGTTTCAAATAATCAGATTTTCTAAAAAAGAAATAAATTTAAAATAGTTACATAAAAAAATTTAAAATACCATGCTATGCTTTAGAATTTGAGTTGTGACTATATTTTACGCCTTGAATTTTTACCTCTACGTTTTGGGATTTGTTTTACAATGTTTTTACAAAATGTATCAAAATTACTTTGAACGAGTTATAATTTTTCTTAAATTAGTGTAAGTATTTTTACAGGGATTTATGGAGCAGATGATCCATTCAAAGATTACACTTGGCACCCCTACACTAGACCTCCTAGAAAGACTTTAATGAATCAGTTCCACCAATTTGGTCACAAAAAATTACATTCCGAAAGATTGCAACTATGACAAAATAGATAATAAAATACTTACAACACAAACATACTTACAGACAACAAATGTAACTTGTTTTTTGTTTTTCTTTTTCATTCAATGAAGAAGAGGGTTAAACATACACTTCCCTTGCATACATTTATGAACAGGAGTCATTTTGTTTCCAACTAAGTAATCACATATGAACACAACAACAACAAAACATTTTTGATAACAGACTGCCATACCATAAATTACAGGCCTTTAAACTTATTTATTTACTAACTGATTTACTCCTTAAGTTTCTTTCATTCATTTACATGCTATAACAAGAAAAATTTCAATGACACACAGTTATAATTGTTGAAAAATATTATAAGACTCTGGTTAAAGAAATATGCCTACAAAACTTTAATTTTCTTTTAATTATCATATTATACAAAATAAATTATTACAAGGCTAAAATATGACATATTAAATAAAAAGTAACAATGAATTAATGGCAAATATACAATACATATATAAAAAAACATAAAAAGTTTTACACAGCGCTAATCTAACAAATAATTAGACAAGTAATCACCAATCTGAAGTAAATATATTCAAAGTAATATATTCAAGTTATATGAAGTAAATATATTCAAGTTATATTTTAACAAAAAAGTATTATTTTTAAAAGGAGTCTACAAAATGAGAATGGTCATTGCAGGGCCATTTGCATAGAAGCTAAAAAACATACATTATAACATTAATATTTTAAAATGTACAGATATTAAACAAAAAATCTTTCAAAAATATTTTCTGCTGTTTCTCAAATTTATATATATATATATACATAATATTAATTTTTGTTTTTATCTTTATCCTTTGGGTTTTTATTGTGCTATATAAATGGCCAAAGATGAATCCCTTAAAAGTTTATCAATTAAGAGATCATACCATAAAGCATTTCTTGACTGAGAAAATTACTCTTTATAATTTTAAATAATATCACTTATAGACATCTTGGAGCAATTTTACTTAACTAGATTTGTTATTGGAATTGTCAACACTGAGAATGAAAATACAATTTTCAGAGAGATGGTCAGAAATTTATAAAATGAGATATGAAAATTTTCAAATTATGAGATTGTGCTTAACAAATATTTATATAAAATAGCATATAATTTTGAATCAGAAAATGGAGTTAAGTTATTGACAATATCATTATTTTAAATACATTAGTACTCTGAAAACTACCAGTAATATTTTATTATGTTCTGTATAACCCAATCTATTAATTTACAATGGACTCAGTGTTATAGAAAGTAAATTTTGAGCCTGTCATCAACATACTTTTCATAAGTAAATAATAAATTACTCAATACAAATTTAAATACAGTAGAAGTAAAATGCTTCAAATTTAATATGCAAGTACTTAATTGCTAATTTACCATATAAAAAGTCTGTGAATACAAAAAATTTTAATTCATAAAGTGAAATAAAAAAAAAATTATTTCATTACATTAAATAAGTTGAATTTAACCTACTGGCAATTTTAAAAACCATAATAACTACCAATAACAGAAAATATGTCACATAACATATAAGTTAACTTAAAAATGACATTATTCAAGCCATACATACGTATATAATACATAAATAATTTTATACAAGGTGTCAAATTGCACACAATAAAGTTTAATGGTCTGAAAAAATTTCCGTTTGCGAATTTAAACTACAGAGGTTAAGTAGAAAGATTGTTTACTCTTTGAAACAATTATACTTTAGATGTAACAATTAATGTTTGAAATACTGCTCTCTTTTGGAAATAAAAAAATTTCTTTCCTTTATCAGGTTTTGCATAAACACATTTTTGATATCACAATAAATATTCAAAAAGCTACTTTTCGTACTCAACTAAAGATTTCACATTTTTCTCACTCAATTTAAATTTTCTTTGTGCTTTTGGTTGGTTAACTACTACATTTCTTTTGAACTTTTTGGTTTTTTATTGTCCAGAATGGAGGGCTCTTTTTTTGCCAGCTATTGATCCTTATGTCCAGATGAATTAATTGATTATTGATTGTCATTGATTTATTGGCTGCATCAGCATATTTATTGCAAGTACTCAACTATGTCGTAAAAATGTGATTTTCAATCACTCCATTTTAAAAATTTACTGCTTCTAGTAAAATAAAACATGTATAGTTTGTGTAAAGATTTCCCTATGCCATTTGTCTGGAGTGGTGGCAGTGACTATGGTTACGAGGATTAACTATTTCAAGTTAGGTCATTATTTAAGACAGATGTCTCGGGTCAACGAGAGAAAAGGAATCAGGGGAAGAAGCTCGCCTTTTTGAAATGCTCTCTTTCTTATTTCCATAGCAGCAGACGGCCTTAGAATTTGTGGCAAGGGGAGTTCTTTCTATAGACAAACTATATCGACCTTTAACAAAGTAAAAAAACACTCCAAAAATGAAACATGAGATAACCGATGGATATACATTCAAAATCTGCTTCTGAAATTAAATGTGTCTTCATTGAATAAGGGAGCATTAAATTTTGATGTGAATGATTTTAAACTCACCTTGCAGATAGAAAGATACTAATAAAAATTAAGTAAAAAAGAATATAAAGCAATGATGAATAATTTGGTTTAATCAATTTGTGAAAGAACTTCATATTTACCATTACGTTATCCCCATCTCGGCTGTCTTTTTTGAATTTTTTTTTAAATGCCCATGTAGATTAAGAATTACTTTAAAACAAAAAAGGTAAATCTTGATATAAAAATAATTAAAAACGAAAATTTGTCAGAATAAATAATACTGAATAATTTTTTTAAGAATATTCCGAATAACCAATTTCCTCTTCCACCTTGTGATTATGTTGGTTTTTTATTCTAAGATTCATCAATTAGACAAATAGAAAGACCAATTATAAATTTTAGATACCACATATTGCTTTTAACACTTAACTCATATATTTTGTCTCAGAATCGTTTCTGAGTGGCACTTTATAATTTTAAGAATTATATCTTGCTTGAGTAAAATTTTTTTATACTTACTATAGCATATTTTAATTAATGGAAATAATAAACATATAAATAAAAGAGAGACGGACATTAAAACAGTTTAACTATTATAATTGAACTACATAATTTAATAATTATCATAAATATGATCAGTTTAGTTTTTTTTAGTCATTCTTCAGTATTCAGCATGTTTATACAATGTCTTTGAGGAAAAACATTTAAAAATCTTATTTTAATAAAATAAGAGAAAGGCACGTTAGATATCCAAATATACAAAATTTTAGATGTCTAACAGCTCTTTCATCCCCTAACTTAGCGGGGGTACTCGTTCTTATATGAAATATCTTACAGCAAACGAAAATTTCACAAAATTTTATTTAAAAACAAAGCTAGCCATAAAAATTTACGATTACGTATTTTTTATTGGCTATTTTTTTTTCAGAGTTAACAGTTAATAATTAGTGGTGTCAACAGCCAGATTGATTTCTAACTTTTGTGCAATTTTTTTATAGTAAAAATTACATTCATTTTTTTATTAGTGGTACACAGCATTACGAAAAATTTAGAAAGTGTACACAAAATAATAAGTTTGGGAAACACTGCCCTAACTATATAAAACTAAATATATATATATATATAGAAATTTTAAATATAAAACTTAATGGAAAATATTGATTGCAAAATTTTATTGTTATAATTTTAGTGAGGGTTGCCACTTTCCCATTCTAAAGAAGTAGCAGCCTTTTAATTGCTTACTTGGTTTGAAATATTTTATTTTACATTTAGAAAGATAACTTTTGATAAAATAAAATAATGATGAAAATTATATTTAAAATTTTACCCCTCTTCCAATTAGTATGGATATCTAATGTGTGAACCTTTACTACTGCAAACACATCTTCAAACAGGAAAGAAAAAAAAATCAAGCAATTCACCACTTCTAAAACTAACACATTTACAAAGTTCATTAAAACATTATCAAATATATAAGTAAAAGTAAAGTTTAAGTTAGATATGTAAAGATAATTACAGTTTTAAAAACTGAATTATAATACAATGTGGTCCTACTGAAAATGGACATTATAACATGAGGTCACTGTACCGTGAGTACACAAAATTATAGCAAAAAATTTACTAAAAAATATTGGTCTTATCTTGAAATTAATATTATTCCTCAATTCACTTCCTCCAAAATATTAATTTCAGTTCTAAGGATTTGACGCTGGTTGCAGGCAGCCATTTTTCCTAAATAACATGTGTGCATTAAATTTCCAAGTCTAACCAAAAATAAAATTAAGAAAAATATGAATAACACGTATTTTATTTAAAGAATAAACTGCTTATAGCAATATTTTAAAGAATATCATTTTCAAACAACAAAATGATGATAGATGACATTATCGGACCTTTTGAAAAGGAATTAACCAATGCCGAAAGGAGATTTCCTGTAATTCCCACAAGCATGCATTTATGAGGCTTTCAGATCTTCTGGAAGCAAATTTTGTTCTTTAATTTCTTGTCTTGCTTCTAAATTTTGTAGTCCATAATTAATTTCTATTTGATATTCTGCTTATAGCCTTTTAATTTTTCTTACAACATTAAACCCAACTATACATTAATTTGTCTTAGTTTTCTACAAAATATTTGCAATAGTAACATATGTTCATTAAAAAAATTTCTAATTAGAGCAAATCAAAATAGCATAAAATATAATTCTAATACTTTTTTCCCTGAAATCAAATTTTAATAATCATCCACCAAGTTTTACCTTTACATAAAAATTTCTTTCTTTTTTTTATTGTACTTAGCGTAAACACCTATTCCTTCCTTCTCTTCTTGGACAAAGTTATTAATTTATAATACCTCCATACATGTTTCCAATCAAATTTAAAAGCTGAAGTGACAAAAAAAATTTAGTATATAGTCAAACCCCGCTATAGTGAACCAAATATACGGTCCCGTGCCTTGCATAATGTTATTTTCTGTGGATATAGTGAATCAAAAAAGTGAGGAAGTTGGATGTAATGAACTGTTTTCTGTCTTCGACTGATTTTTTTTTCTATATTTTCAGGGGATATAAACTATCTAAATCTGAAGTTTGTAACATATGAAAGCAATTAATAATTTCTGCTCATGAAAAAATTTAGATGGCAGAAAAAAGTTGAGAAAAGCAGATCACAAGGATGTTTAAAAAGCATTAGAAGAAGCAATGTGGGTAACAACAAATGTGGCTAAATTTGCTAAGTGATTTTATGAGACTTCTTTCATGTGCTCGAATGGCTGGTTGGACAGGTTTAAAAAACGGAATAACAGAAATTCAGGAAAAATTATCTGAGAGTCGGCAAGTGTTTCCATAACTGATGTAGAGGATTGCTCATCAGCTAAAGATTACTAATTTTTTTTGTACGCAAGACGAAAAGTAGTGAAAAATAACACATTTTTTGCTACTACATAATATTTTTCAGTCATTTATTTGAATAATGTGTAATAAAAGGGAAGAGTTTGGGAACCATTAGTTAAATTGCCTGCGTTACGGACATAGTGAACTGAAATTTCGGTCCCTTGAAGGTTCACTATAGCGGGGTTTGACTGAAAATTAAAATAAAACAAAAGTTCTACACAAATTATAGCTTAAGGAAAATTTTATTCAATACATTGAAAATAAAAATTATCTTGGTACAAGTGTGCTAAAAATTGCTGTAGAGTAGTCTCACTGAGTGAGAATCTCAGAGTGCAGCAGAGAATCTCTCTCCTCAGTATAATATAAATTAAGAAAATTTAGCTACGAGTAGCATTCTAAACAATGGCCACTTTTTATATCATAGGGTCATTTTTTAAAAAATTGAGAGTTTTAAACGATTAAAATTTCATTCAAGCAAAAAGAAAGTAGGTATAAAATGAAAAGGACCTATCAATATCAGTCACTATTAATTAGGTTTAAGTTATTAGAGTCTACCAGCCACTGACTACTAAGGGCAAATTTAAATTTTCATAAAATGAAAGAAAAATTTAATAACTTTCAAGAGTTATTGTTGATTTATTTTATGTAGAATTACTTTTTTATTAGTTTACTTTGATCATTAAATCAAAAAAGCAATAGCCTGCAAAAAAAAAAAAAAAACTCGGCAAAAAATAAATACTATGCTTGAAATTCATTAAAATGGTATAAATCATGGATGTAAAAAACACATCGGAAATTGTTTCCTAGAAACCATCTTACATTTTTTACAATCAATATTTAGATTTATATGGATTATTCATATAAAAGACGACCATAATTGTCTGATTGTTTTGAATTTGCATTACATAAATTACTCCTCCCAAAGTAAACCTGACATACAATCAACTTTATTACAAAGCAACAACTTGTTACTTACCTATATCATCAAGCCTGAAAGTCTAATAATCAGGGGGAAAAGTCTCTGCCAGATTAACCTACAGGTTAAGATAGAGGAATTTAAATTTTTTTAAAATAAGTAATACTAAAAAAATTTGTGATGCTGAAAAATATCGACTGTGGGTTAAACGCACAGGGACTATGTGGGGTAAAATTATCCAGGAATGGCATTAGTATATATTATACAAACAATATAGAAAGGGGAAGATGTTTTGCTTTTCGAATATGTAACTAACGCAGAGAAATTCTCGGTTTAGTACACTATACTAGAAAAACAACTTACAGGGTGAACTCAGATTTAGCAGAGCGTCATTTAAACGAAGATCCAACACGTGTGCATAAGAAGCAAAGCGACAATCAGGAGGTATGTCACCTCTGAACCGGTTGTTGGGCAACTCTACATGCATGGTTGGGTATGCTGCTTCCCACCATTTCATTCTTTTTTTCTATGTCAAAAGCAGATTTAATTAACATGGATGATATAAATGTATTCTCAAAGAAATATCTTAATTAATAGTACTGTATTGTTTATCTTATCAATAGTGTGAAAATGCAGAACAATCCAACGATAAAAAAAAAACCGTTAACTTTTCTTCGTCACCCCAACACTTCATTGGTTAGGAAGAGAGGAGGGTGTAAACATTTTCCAAGAACTTCTGCTTCTAAATGTTTTTTCCTTTTACACAGGGACCACGCCTAGCCTTGGGGGACTCGTTTACATTGTGTCAATGAAAGCTAGATTTCATCCCCTATGTATATTCTTCGTATTGCTATCCACCAAGGGATAAATCATAAGAGGTTACTGGGAATCACTCTCTTCCGTCTTTACTTTAACATAAGATATTTGGATCCACAAACATTAGATACACATTACTTTTAATATTTAAAAAGCAGCACTTTTCTTGTTCAGTTCAATTCCAATGTAAGCAGTTCAAATACTACTATCATCACAAATTTAGAAAACTGTCAGTAGAACATAGTTAAGAAAAAAAAACTAAAACAATAAGCGTTTCTTAACAATATATCAGCACCAATGGTCAATAAATCAGATATCGCTCATTTGTTGAAACAATGACGTAACTGATGATTACAGTACTTATCAGTTACGTCATTGTTTCACCAAATGAGCGATATGTTCAGTAAAGATTTTCTCTTCTTTTGCAAATCTTATTTATGACATGATATAGACACACCAAGCATAGAATTAATCTCACAATGCCCATTATTAATTACCAAAGGCCTGTAACAGACAGACTACTTAACTTTTTTTTAATAAGAAATACATTATACAGAATTTATGAGGCTCAAAATTAAAAGTAAGCAGAAACCACTAAAATTTTACTTGAACCATAATAATCAGCAGTCCCCTGAACCATTAATTGATGTAAAGGGATGGTTAGCTGTTTTAGATTTTCTTTCAGATTTTGGTTTGTATTTTTGTTAAAGAAAAAACTTACTTTATAATCTTGACATTTCACATCATGTGTATTGTTATTTTTCATATAGATTCACTTTGGCATTTCTTTTGAAATAAAATCTAATTGTTACATGTACCAATGATTAACTTTTCTTAACTTTAAGCCCTGAATTTATATATATACACTGTGATACCTACAGAAAAGATCACATTTATTTACGACCACTTGAGAGGCATATAATTTTTTCCATAGACTTTGTGTTGAAGAAAACTTTTAGGAGAGAATATTAAAAATTCTCCAAACGACCAGGCAAACAGTTGCACCAAAATGGGGAAAAGGTCAAATAAAGAAACACAAAAAAATATCCAAACAAAAATGTAACGAAACAAATGAGTAGACTAAAATGTATTCAAAATATTTGTTGTACGATCTTATTTAGAAACGTGACTCTCTTTTTGATAATACAACATCATGTTACAGTCAGAGTGCACGAAAGACAATGCTATCAATGATTTACTTTTAGAATTGGAAGTTAAATTAGAAAAGAAAAGTTATTTTAGAAAAAATAAGCATCATAAACAAATAAAACTTTTCTCATCTTTTAAAACTATCTAATTTTTATGATGTAAAATTATATGCAAGCTTGAACAAACAACATATTTATTTATTTCAAATAGCTTTATCATTCATAATTGGTAAATTTGTTTTAACACAATCTTATCAGTTGGATAATTTTTTATAGATGCTTAATTTTATAGCCACTTTTTTGACCAGTCTTTCCACGACGCCAACAAAAGTGGCATTTCCGAACCAAGAAAATGACACTGACTAAAATTAAAATCATTCGCGAAAAATCATGTGACTTTGATAACAATTTTGAAGCCAATGAACAATACCTCTAAGAACGACCAACCTCCATCAATGACCATTTTACTGTGGAACGGAGAGTGGTCACTCCTGAGAGATTTCACTGTATATATATATACAGGGGTCTGTCTAAGTTTTTCTGAGAGGGACCTGTTTTGCGAAAATTTAGACATAATTTGTGAAAATTAAAAATATTTAAAAAATCAACTCAAAAATATGAATTTATCGTTTCTTACGAGACACAAAAATAAAATTTTAAGAAAAAGTATTTTGTGAAACTATTGTTTTCCTAAAGTTGAATTTGTGAAGGAACTGATAAATGGTAGTAAATTTGGCTTAGACAGACCCTTGATATAGCTGAAGGTACATCAATTCAAAAAGTGAAAGTCTCAAATTTTTATAATTTTGTAGCTTTTAATCAAGCAAGATAAAATAAAACATTTTTTGAGTAACAAGTTATTTTACAACGATAGTTTTTAAGCTGTAAAAAATCATCGAGTTAACCTATTAAGCTAAAAAACAGTTTAAAAGAAATACTGATAACATTATAAAAACAGAAGCTCAGAATTTTCCTTAGTCAAGACAGTAAATCTCTTATTTTTAAGTCATAACAATATTTATCACCCAACAGATATTTGAGATCATGTATCAGCCATTCACTGCTGTAAAGTAGTAAGAGGAAAAAAGAAAAATAGTTTAAATATCATACATGTTTATGAATGTAGAATAATGACTTTAAAAGAAGGCAATCAGTTATAACTATTTACACCATTACATAACAATAAGAGTCTATATCAATATCAGGCTCCATTTAAAAGTTGCTTTTATTACTCCTTAAAAACCTTGAAGAGGCACACTTTTTCAAATAATTCCTTGATTTAGTAATTGATTTTTTTGCAGCAACCTTTCTAATGCTATCAACAGAAGTATGCTTCATCTTTTCCTTTTTCTTTGCAATATTAGATAAATTAAGTTTTTTCGATAATGAAGATCTAGACAAACTAGCTGAATTTATATCTTTTTCAGTATTAGCATTTTTATTTAACAAGAGTTTTTTCTTTTTATTTAAGAGTATTTCTCTTGCACGAGTTTTTATGTCTTGTACATTTTTAAAGCCAGATCTTTTCAACGAAACAACAGAGTTAGATTTAGGGTTCACGGTTTTTCTTGCTTGTTCCACTTTGGATTTTTTTAATGAACTTTTCTTTTTCTTAACAACAAGATGTCTAAGCATTAACCTTTCATTGTAACATTTAAATTCACTCATTGCCTTCTCTGCATCATTTATGGTCAATTTATGAATGCGTATGAGATGACGTTTTAAGTTATATTTAGAAGGAGAAATATATTTGCAGATTTCACATTTTATTTCAATCTGAGGAGAACATTTATGTCCTTCTAATTCATCAACAGCTTTATTGCATTGATCACATCTCAGGCCTTGCGACAGACACAATTTCGATCCTTTCTTTTTATTGATATACCGACCATCAGAACTAATGACTGCCACTACTCCAATAGGATCCAATTTTTTGTAGAATCTGGCATTGTAACTTGATAATTGCTCCATAATTGAATTTACTTTATTTTCATCTAACTTATGAGAACCCAAAAGATGTTTCTTTAAAACTGTTTTAGAGGACAGCCTTTGATTGCAAATTTCACACACTACAGCAATCGCTGGGACACAATCGTGGGAGTACAACCTACTTTCTTTATAAAATTGCTTTTTACACACTTTACAAGTATGATAGGAAGCAGTATTATGTTGCACTCTGTCAAGATAAAAATTTACTTTCTTTAAGTCCAATTTATGAATGTTTATAAGATGCTTCCTTAATCCCTTCTTTCTACAGAATCTAGTGTAACATATTTCACAAATTATTTCAACCCATTCAGGATAATCATCATCACTCTTTTGATCTTTTTCCATCGTTAAAAGTCTTTCCTCTTTAAAAAGCATCTTTCTATCTGTCATGCTATAAGACTCTCTTTCAGACTTGGGTTTATGGGTTTCAATGTGTTTTTTAAAGTCATCCGTATCACCAAATGACTTGTTGCAAGTAGGGCAGTCTTTGAGCTTCTGGGCAGGAGGAAGATATATCTTCTCATTCCACAATTTTCTTTTCAAAGCTATTTGTTTACTTCGCCTAGATTTACTATTTGACTCCACTTCACCTAAACAAACAATTTCTTCTTCCTTTTCATCAATCTGCTCTTCAACCTTTTTAGGTTTGGTATGCTTTTTGACAGCAGTAGACCCTAAATAAACAGGTTTGGTATGCTTTTTGACAGCAGTAGACCCTAAATAAACAACATCATCGTTAGATTTAACTCTTTTAGGTCTTTCATTATTATTAACTTTTACAATATTGCCATTTCTTTTAGTTCTCACAAATGTTTTTTTCTTCTTTTTGGCATCTTGCTCAACTTGAGACGGTATCGTATGCCTGCATTCTTCCACTTGTTCATTTCGGTGATCAATTAAAATAAAGCGAACATCTGTTCTTCCAAATTTATCTTTGACTACTTCTTGCCGCAGAATTTGATAATTCGTCTCCCCATCCTCGTTTTCAGGCGGTACAAAATCCTCTTTTCCATCAGCCTCATCTTCTGGACTTTTCGTTAACTCTTTATCAATTCCACTTTCTGGATGGTTCATAGAATGGTTTATTAGCTCCTCATCGCACGAAAATTTTTCACCACAGATATCACATGATTTTAAACCAAACGGCAAAATCATTTGTTCAATATCAGTAACATCCTCCTCTGCTTCCTCCAAACTGTGACGTAGATCATGAAGTTTAAATTGCTCCAAGTCGGAAAATACGTCATTACACAAAGAACATTTATAATCATTGTTTTTATTGTGCAGTTGGGAATGTAACTCAAGATCTGAAAGTTTATTAAATTTTAACTCGCAAAAAGAGCAACAATAGACATCAACATCAGATAACGTTTTACTCAATTGCTCCGTTTTAAGAATGTCAGAACTAAATTGTATACTCATATTTCTTATAGGTGTAAATTCAAATTTTATATTAGCAAATGTTACTAACGGCTGCAATAGTTCGCTTTAAGAGTATTGTAAGTACGGAACAGTTTACATAACCTATGGAATAGTATACATAACTTAATATCGAAAGTACGTTAATTCATATTAGTGTTCAAAATCAAAGTTGTAAACACTTTCTTACTGACAACTTACGAACGTGTTTGCCATTTAAAAATACAGTTATGAAATTCTAAATTTGAAACATTTTTGAGTGTAAACAAATTGCAAAACATTACATGAAGCCAGTTACGAAAAATTAACTACCCGCGCGAAAACTAGCCAATCAGAATTAGTCATCGAATACTATCGTATTTTGTTAATAATAAATAGTTTTATTTGCTATTTTATGTTATAAAACTTAGGATATTTTAAATTACTTGCCGAGAAAGCTAATTTGCTTCAACAAATACATTATGTTTATAAAATAATTTCGTTTTCTCTGCCAGGATCAATGCATTATAACTGCAACCGAGTAATTTATGACGTAACTTCATTCTCCATTAACCGTAAAGTCGCACGATTAAACTTTGTGATATAAAACTAGAAATGGCTTATGAATCGTGAATTCACGATTGCCATCCTAAAACATCTCATTCATTGACTTTGAATGGAATAAAATAATAAACACGTCAAATAAAAGCTTAATAAACATAATTGAAATAACATATCACTCAAAACAATTGTAGGGAAACTGGTGAAGAAACTAAATTGAGTTAGCTTCACCCTATATCTATAAGGGTACGACCGAAAGTTAATTAATAAACGCCTCTAAACTCAGAATTTTAGATTATATACACAGATTATCATTAAATATGATATTTGCTTGAAAAAAGGATTATATTAAACAAATATTATATCAACCAAACCAATATGGCGTTAGGCCTATCGACATCTGTCTGAAATTCACAAGATTTGTGATGCAAGATGGCTGCCGTGCGGTAAGTTTTTATTGACGCACGTCATAATTACTTTATCGTTGTGCCATTTAATGAATTTTGTTATGTAGTGTGAAATTAGTGTTTTCTATGTATAAGTGGCCTGATATGCCGAGCTCAGAGGAACTGAGATCTCGGCAATCAAGTAATCGTGACTCTCCCGGTTCTAGTGTAAATAGAACTCACTCATCTAGCCATAATAGAAGATCTAGGCATAATATGTCTGCTGGTGGTAGACGGCATAAAAAATCTGCTCATAAAGGACACAAGAAAAAGTACAGTAGATCTGATAAAGAACTACTACAACCTGTGAAACCTTTAGTTGAATACGATGATGTGAGTTCGGACTCACCCTTTTTTTCCGACCACAGAGAAAGTTCTGAAAAACTGTCTTCTCCAGAAAATAAACCGGACAAAAGAAACAGTAATACTAAACAAGAATTTCCTCATAAGTCTCGGAAAAACCGTGCTAAAGACAATTATGTTACAGAAAGAAGAGATCGAAGTAAGGATCATGATGATAAGTTATTCAATAAATCGAGAAGTACCAGTCATTCCAGAAAACGTGATAAATTTGAAAAAGATAGTTTACAGAGAGAAAGAGCATCAGGTAGTAGGGAATCCTCCCATTTCTCTCACTTACGACAAGCAGAAAATATGTATCAACCTCCTCAACATCACAGAGAAAGAACTAAGTCTAGAAATAAAAATAAGCAAAAGAAAAGATCTAGAAATGAAGGAGCCCCACGTGCCTATAGGAAGAGGACTCCACCTTCTCCTATTGAAAATACTCAAGCCTGGATCAACAAGCCCCGAAAAAGGACTCCTGATTCTCGTGCTAGGCACAAATATAATTTATCCAAAAGCCCCAGCCCTTATCCTAGAAATTTCAATGCCTGGTCTAGAAGTAGAAGTCGAAGCAAAAGTCCACTCAGGTAATGTTGTCATTCTTTCTATAAATATAATATCTAAAGTTTCTTATACTTTTATCACTGTAATTCCTGAAGGAATTTATGGAGCTAATTTTCAGTGTCGTTATTTTCATTTATAATGATAAGTGTTAGAAAGTTATAAACAACTGATTTTTGATAGCATTCCACAAAACTAAATATTGGGGTGGGGGGGAATCAAATTGAAGAGAATTTAATGTAGAATGTTTAACAATTTCTAAGTTCCCATGAAATGTATCTGCATAAGACGTGTAATTTTGCATAAGTAAATCTAAATCTCTTAAACTTTCAACCGCCTCATAATTCACTGATTTAATTTATCCAGTTCATTATTCATGACAACTTTACATAAAAATCATTATATTTTTGGAAACCATTTCTTATAGTAGCTTTTTTTTAATGTTGGCAAAATTAAACTAACCTGAGTTATATTAAATGGTAGCCACTTTTAGATAAGCATACATCAGGGTTTGAAAATTACATTACTTGAGAGGCATATAGAAATTCTAATTTGGAATGTACTTTTGACCTATACTAGCCTGGAGAGGCATGTTAATATTAAATTAAATATACTAATTAACATAGTTTGTTGATTTTAAAATCCATAATTCAATTTGAATTTGCAAAGAATTTTAATGTAAGATAGCTCAATTTTTTTCTTACTTTAATACTTATTGTGAACAATGCTGTAAGAAATTTTATAAGTATTTCATATGAAACTGCACTTTTTATTTGAAATGAAATTTTCAAAATTTAAAAAAAAAATTTGGAATTTTCAGAATCCAAATTGAGAATGCAACGGAAATTTAATGTTCTTATTTATTTAACATATATCTATACTCCTGTTGAAAATTTAATATAAATTAATTTTTTTGGAAATGAAAATTCTACCCAATCTGAATTTTTAAGGAAACTCTCTTTAAAAAAATTATAATATGGTACAAAAAAAATATCTAAAAGAAAATTCAAATCTCCTTTTTTTTTCATCTCATAGTGTGACGTTTTTTTTTAAATCACTGTAGGAAAAGATAAGATATTCAATTATTAAAAAATTTTTGAACTTGCAACTAAGGTTACATATAAACGCAATAATACAATTTATTTTGACAAAAACTTAACTGTTTTTTATTCATTACAAAAAACATTTTCAATTAATTTTAATTGATAAATTATTACGATGAATTATTTTGCTTAGTATTAAAGTTTGAAATGTAATTTATGATTTATATTTAATAATATTTCAATTCTGAAGTTATTTTAAGTAAGAAACTAAAATAAAATTTTATCAAAAATCGAATAAATTAAGTACATTTGGCTCAGTGTAGCCTCAGCAGATATTATTTAAATTTGAGAAAATGCTTCTTTATTATGAAACTTATAAGAAAAATTTCATATTAAATTGAACACACTAATTTCAGTATAAGTAAAATTAAAATAATTATATTCCTCAAAACCTTCGAAAATATTATTTTTTTATAGTATATAATGTACAGATTTGATTTCATAGCAAGTTGTATATACTTTCTTAAATGAAAGCTTCTTCAAGTATTAATTTAATAATTCTCTCAAGTTATGTGATATTTAATTTTTCTAGAAATAGAAGGTTTACGACATCTAGCCGAAGCTTTAGTCGAAGCCCGGTAAGGTGGAAAAATCGTAATCAGCGTTCAATATCTAGGACTAGTACTAAATCCAGATCACGTTCTAGTTCTCCTCATAGAAAACATTCAAAACGAACAAGAAGTCCGAGCATTTCCGAATTCGCTTCAAGTTTAGCTTCTGAATGTAAACACAGGAGAGCTAAAAGACTAAAACATAGACAAACCTTAATTATTCAAAAAGAACCAGAAAAAGAAATTGTTACCAATTCGGAAAATGGTAGTAACTTCCAATCTAATACAACAGCCGATTTTTCTGACAATTCCTTGTCTTCTACTGTTTTCAATTCACAAGAAGCTGTTTCAGTTACTGCGTCCGATCCACAAGAACAGGTTCAACTTATTGAGGAAACAAGTGTCTTATGTGATAGTCAAACTGAGGTTCCTCCTGAGCCACCTTCTCAGGATACCAGTATGGAAGAGAGCCATGTTGAAACTCCAGTTGTTCCAAAGTCTCCTGAACCTCAGCCTTCAACGCCAGAGGCAGAGACGCCTCCTATGCCTGAAACTAAACAACCTCCATTACCTGAAACGAAACCTCCATTACCCACTCTTCCACCATTACCACTTCCACCTGTTGGGCCTGATGATGACGATGTGTTAGATGACGAAGATGAAGGTGAAATTACTCCTCCACCTATATCTCCTATTATTAAAGAAAAGAAACCAAGCACACCTCCAAAGAAAGGTATTAAAGATCTTCCATTGCCTCCTGGAATCAAGGAAGAAGATATCATGTCTCCAGATGGGGAGGATAATAAATCTCCCATTGATGTGGGTAAACCAGAACCATCAGGGACATTTCAAACATCTCAAAGACAAATGTAAGTATTAAGATTTTTATTTTTTTTTAAAGAGATTTTTTTATGGAAATATATATATTTTTTGGAAGAATAAAAATTTAAAAAGTATTTTGTACTTATATTACAGATCTCAAGTTCCTTTCAACAGATTAGTTTTATTATTTGATGGTTTTCAAAATGAAATTAAACATCATAACAAATCTGTGATTTTTAACTCCTGTGAGTACAAAGCGTGCTGTGTGATTTTTAAATCACATGAATGTGAATCACGTTGTGTGATTTTTAAATCGTGTAATTACAAATCATGTGGATGCCAATCGTAATGTGATACTTTTAAATTGTGTTAATACGAAGCATGATGCGTCTTTTAAAAAATCGCAAAGTGTGATTTTTAAATTGTTAGAAGTATCTTTATTCCTTCTGGGAAGGTGTCAATTTTTACCGAAGATGCATCGATTTTACTGCGAGACAATGTCCCAATTTTGCCAGGTCAATTTTTGTGAAAGTACCGACAAACAGTTGTAAAATCTCCCTGTATTAGGCCTTGAATGTGTGTGTAAATTTATCTGAGTTACAATACTTTTAATTTCCCCAAAAACTGTTCAACAGATTCCAAAATTTTTTGAAATTTGTCATTTTGAAATTACTAAGTTTAGAAGAATATAATTGATGGAATGAATCTTTATCTTACACATAAAATCTGTAATTGTATTTGGTTTGAACTTATTTTTGTTGAAATATAATCTTATCATTTTTTGAATATACTGTTATTTATTGATTTTTTTTATTATTTATCTAGGCTTCTTAAAAATACAATAGCTCATCTGGATTCAATACCTAGGCATAAACGGCATTTAAGGTATGTGAATTTTTGTCTTTTTCTTCCTATCTTTTTTATTCAATATGGAAAAAAAGCTTGTTAGTGATTTAGCTCCTAATTTCTTAGTGATAGTAAAAATTAAAATAGAAACTAAGGAAATATTTTTTTGATTTTCTTGCCCAATAAAATTTAAAAATTTAATCTGAATTTATTAATTTAAAGTTATAGAAAGATTACTATGAAGTGATAAGTATCAAGTACGCACTTTTCTTCAAGTAGACTAAAATAATGTAAATGAAGGATTTTTCAATATTTTTTCTGCAGAAAAATGAATAAGTTATTGGTATTTTTTTAATGTATAGTTTGTAGATATCTTTATTATATTATCTCGTAAGTTGGATGTATAATTAGAAATAAATTTTTTTATTAATTTTGAATCTATGAAATCTTATTCCCTTACTGGCAACTCTTACCTACTACAAATACAAAAATCTTTATTTCTCACTGAAATGCTTATCCTTTCTTTTTCAACTTATATCTTTTAAAATTAGCATTTATAGTGCATTTCTATGTATTAATTTAATTTTTTAGTTCTTAAATGTTTTTTTTTTTTCTGACTTTGCTGAGCCATTGCTTCTTATGTATTTTTTTTATGCTAAATCTAATTAAAGATGCATAGAAAAATTTAAAAATTTTGATTTCCACACCATAAACCATCCTAACTTGTTAACATTTAGCCTTGTTGACATGGTTTTGTTCTGATTCGATGTAGTGTAAAGCAATATATAGAATCCATTATATTACTAGTCTATATTAATATGTCATATGTGTAAATAGGTTAAGTACAAAACTGTTCATTTTATTCATAAAAACTTTTTTATCAAGTCTAAAACTATTACTCTAGTTGGTTTTGTTTTGATTTAATTCAATTCAGTGTATAAAAAAAAACATAAAAAATAATACCTCACTTGTGCCCTATATAGTAATATCAGATGTTTAAATAGGTAGGTACCAGTTAAAATTTATATTGTTTTTACACTAAACTCTCTCTTGTGCTTTTTGGGTAAACTGTTGGGTACCTAACAAACATGAATTTGGTGTTGATACTTAAACATTCGTTTGGTGTAAAAAACAATGCCTTAGAAATAATCATTTCGTTATACTTTAACAAAACCACCTATTTTTAGGATTTTAAATAGAGACAATGATATTGATAATAGAACACCTAGTTGGGGTGAAAGATGTGTTGATGTCTTCAATATCATTTGCCAAATTGGAGAAGGAACCTATGGGCAAGTGTATAAAGCCAAAGACAGAGACACTGGTAAATGTCTTTATTATTCTTAACTTTTAATTTGTTCTCAAAATTTGTTTTTAAGATGCCTTAATCAGAGTTCTATAATAAGATGCCAAACTTGTAAACATAGGCAGTGTTTTCACTACAGCGCGAGAACATCACGCACTCTATTAATTAATTTCAAAATGCTCGAATTTTGGAAAAAAAAATTCGTCTTCTGCCATTTTGAATAAAATCCGTTTAACTTTTCTTCCTTGATCTTTCATTATTTTCAACATGGATCCCTGTTATCTAGCTTCCCTATTTACTAGTATTGTTCAGAACCAGCAGAACACAATGCCCCCCGAATGACAGAACACCTTTCAGAACACATTTTTCTGCAGCCACGTGTTCAAGGAAGGTAAGATTTCTTCATGTAAGATGTTTAAATTTTTTTCAATGCTACAAATTTACTTAGAGATTCCGAATTGTTCAGCATCTGTTGCAAGGTCATTTAGCACTCAAAACCGAATTAGGACAAAATATCTTATACAAATGACTGATAAACATTTGAGCAACCTAATGAGAATAGCTGATGAAAAAGTAGATATAGAACGTTTTCCATATGATGATGCAGCAAAAATATTCAATGCTTTAAAAATTAGATGTTAAAAATGTATTATAATTAAAGAAATATTTTTTTCCAAGTCTATTCGCGTTATTTTAATTTTTAGAAATCTCACTTAACTTTTTGAGATCTCACCCTGTTTTTGAGAAATTCTCTCTCATTTTTTTTCTGTAATGAAAACACTGATATAGGGATTGTCAACCATCCCTTTTGTTTTCGATAGGAATCCCTAAATTATAAACAAAAACATGACAAATTATTTTTTAAAAAATCTATATATGCAAACCTATAGTTTTTTTCTTTTTGACCGTAAAACTCGTTTTGTTCTAAAATATATAAAATACTATTCAATAGTTAACATTAATGATGGTTTTCAAAATNATGCAAGAAAATTTTAGCATATATTTTGAAAAGAGAGGAGTGGGGGGAGGAGGGTCCAAAAACGGCTATGCCTAGGGCCCACGAAAGGTATAATCCGGCTCTGTGCCTAGGGCCTACGAACGGTATAATCCGGCTCTGCTTGTAGTGGATGACACTTGATGCTAAAACAGTTTTTTCAAATATTAATTCATCAATTAAATTTAGTTAATTAATTTCAGTTTTATGTGCGAAAAAATTTTTTTTATTTATTTAATAAAAAGTAACTAAAATAAAATTTATTGGGTACTCGTTATGTTGTTGACAGCTAGCTGTACAAAGTGGACTTTTACTTTTATTATAATAATGTTATTAATCTTAAATAATATAAGTTTATATTCCTTCCTTGAATTTTATATCATAAATTAAACATAACTCATTAAAGCCTGAAAAAAAAATTAATGGGTTGTTGATTAATAGAATTCAATGAAAAGTGTTGAATTTTTTTCTGTCTTATAAATCGTAGTATAAGCTGTAAAACTTTCAGTTCATGTGGTAAAATATTTTTAATTTTGCTCCAGACTAAAAGTTTATAAATGCGTTATTAGATTATGTGAATTGAGTACATTTCTTTAATGATAGAAGAAGGGAAAAAAAAGTTCTGGGCATTTTCTTTTTTTTTTTTTTTTTTTTTTTTTCTAATGAAAATAAAATAAAGAACACAGATTGAACAATAAAATAAATTCCAAACTCTAATGTTAATTTTTTTTCAACTTGAAATTTATTTATTTAATAAAACCATGTAAAACCAGAGGTTAAATGGCATAATTATTTGATAGAATAAACCTTATCTTTGCTGTACTGTATAAACTCTTTATTATAGGCATAAATTCTTTTAACAAGTTATTTTATGATTTTAGGACAACTAGTAGCCCTGAAGAAAGTTAGGCTTGAAAATGAGAAAGAAGGTTTTCCTATAACAGCCGTGAGAGAGATAAAAATATTGAGGCAGTTAAATCACCAAAGCATTGTGAATTTGATGGAAATTGTTACTGATAAACAAGATGCTCTAGATTTTTGTAAAGATAAGGGTAAGTATGCTTAATAAAATTCGTATTCTGAAATTAATATTGATCATTAGCTTAGCTTAAATTATGGAATTAAAAAGAAATGTTTAAACATTGAAGTAGCCTTTCTCTTATAGGCCACAAAGTAAATGATTTTCCTGGTACCATTCTTCAACTATTTAGCATTTTGGCATCAATTTCATTATTTTTGAGATAAACATGTTTCAGTTATTTAGTACAAGTTTGAGCATCACTTTTGATTTTAGCCGCCTGGGTCTCAAAGTTAGTTTTTTGCCAATTTTGGGACACTGCATTTTTGATGCTTTAATTACTCTAAAACTTCATCAATTTTAAAATTTTACCTCTCTAAAATTTTTTACCAGCAAAAAAATTTCAAGCATAGCTACAGAGAAATGAACAAAGGCATTTGTTACATGGGCATTCAAATTAGTCATATGATGCAGAAATATATGCTTGTAGTCTTATGTCGTTTCTCCAGTCATTTCCAAGCACTAGGTTTACATCCTCTAATACTTTTCTATTGCTTGTTAGGAAAATTTTAAAACTACTCCATGAAAGTAATCTTCCTTTGGTTGGTGAAAAAGAAGAAAAAAAATGTGACAATATCTACCTGTAGAGCACCATGCCCTATGAAGTTATATTCAATAGTTTTAATTATGAATAAAGCAAAAAAAGAAGTTATATATACAGTAGGGAACCGATTATCGGGAATGATCGGGACCATCGCTATTCCGGATAACTGATTTTTCCGGTTTTCTGAATCGCTACAAAAAGCCGTTTTTTTATTGTTAAACCCATTCGAAAAAAAAAAAATTGGAAATAATCTTAAAAAGAAGAAAAATGATGAAGTAATATACTAATAATTATTTCCAAAATGATGGTAGGTAAACAATTTTTCAAAAAAGAAAGAAAAATCCTAAAATCTTATGAGGAAAAAAAAATTTTTTTTTTTTTAAATTGCGGGAAAATTTATCGAATTTCGTTCCGGTTTTTTGGTTTTCCGGTTTTCTGATTTCCGGATAACGGGTTCTGTACTGTACTTTAAAAAATGATGGAAAGGCATTTTCTTTAAATTTAAAATAGAGATGGCCTTTTTTTTAAAAAAAAAAAATAAAAGTGTTGTCTGGTTTGAAAAAATTAAAAATAATATTTTGAGGCATAAACGGCTGTCTACGTCCGGTTACAGGAGTGTCCACTTAGCAGAGAGGGTATATAATAGTTTATCAATAGATGATTCATAGGGAATTAAAAAATTTTTGTAATGAGAAATGTCTCTTTTGTAGAAGTCTCCCTAATGTGATGTTGCACAGTTTTTATTTATACAAGCTAGTAATGTAATAGACGCAAGATGATGAAATAAAAATATCATCACTATGAGCTCAATATTTTTAATTATAAAATCACATTAAACAATAAAGAGTAAAAAAAACATAACATCAACTAACTAAAAGAACTGGAAAGTTTTTACTCAAAATGAGTTGGAAAAGGGGAACCGGGATGGTTCACAGAGCTCGTCCTGCGTCATCTCATATTTTAAGTCAGAAAGATTTTTGATATCGTTTTTGGGATAGAGGGGTAGCGCCATCTAGTGCTACAAATAAACTACCCGTTACAGTAAGAATTAACATTTCAGTGCAAAACACTTAAAAACCAATTTTAACCATTGTATACTTTAGGAAAGGCTAAACTAAGGCTTCATGAACCACTTTTATACTAGCTTGCCTGAAGTCAGAAACAAACTCCTTAGATATGCAGTGAAATACTTAATAGGGTATTAGATGATCAGAATAGAATTTGACTGCATATTTATCATCATGTAAAATCTATTATTATTACTTTTTTATACCTGATTTTTCATATTCTATAAATATAAGAAATTGAAAATACCTTTTATCAGCATTATCTTACAAAAATACAATATTTACACATTTTATAAAAATTTAATCTTAAATCAAAAATTCCGCTACCTAAGTTTTTTAAAATTTTAAACTGCCTTTTTATAAAATATCCTACTTTTTAAAATCTAAAATGCTAAGAACATAAATTTAATAATTAATTTAAATTTAATATTTGAAAATTGATTTTGTTAAAACTTCTTTTTAATTTCCAATGTTCGTCAATATTGGTAACAAAGAAATGTCTCTCTTTTTTTAGGAGCATTCTACCTAGTCTTTGAATATATGGACCATGATTTGATGGGATTACTGGAGAGTGGCTTGGTTGATTTCTCTGAAATTCACATAGCATCTTTTATGAAGCAGTTATTAGATGGTTTGAGATATTGTCACATGAAGAATTTCTTGCACCGTGATATTAAATGCTCTAATATACTCATGAATAATAGGTATTCTGAAATATTTATGGCTATGAGTATTTGGTATTGTTGATTTTTTTTTTTTAAATCCCAAATAAGTCCTTTTATTATCGAACTCTGTTTTTCTCTATTAGATGTATTTCTGTAGCATTTTTAAGTTTCTGGTTCCTCAAGTCCTTTTCTTTTTTTCATGTATTCTTAGTATTAAAGCTATTTTTTAATCAACTTTTTTTTTCTTCCCAATTGACTGAAATAAACTGGATAATCTCTTGTGGAATTGCTTTTTTTGTTTAATTATCACAAGCTAGAATTCCTAAATCATATAATTTCAGTGGGACATTAAGCTAACAATTGTTCTTTTAATAGAGTTGAAGGATTTTTTAATGTAACTATTTGCTAATGCAGTTTGTTTATTTTACTATGTATTATATATTTAAATCAACAGTAATGCTCGTATCTATTCTCAATATTATTATTTGAGTAAATATAAATTTTGCCATAGTTAGAAAATTTTCTATGAAGTTTAATTTCTGTTTCTGAAATGTAACATTTACAAAGCATGGTTATTGTTAATTTATCACTTAATTTCTGCAAATTATTTGTAAATGCTTGCAAAGAGGAATTCTAAAATACCAAAATTGATGCTGTGAGACCTTTCTGTCTCTTGGTTCGTTTTTAAAGACTACTCAATACGGATGACCAAGGATTATTTCAATTTTAGCTTATTTANTTTGAATGTCAAAATAAGTATCGGCTACTTTTATTTTACCTTTTTTTTATTATTTATTAAATAGTTAAAATAACAATAATGTTGAATAAATAGGAATTTTGCTATAATTATAAAATTATTAATATTTCAATAATAATATATTTTTTTTGTTGCTATTCTTTGTAATGTTGATTGTAATCTTGTGCTTTGTATTCTTGAATGTAATTTAACACTATCAAGAAAATCAGTATTTTATTTTCTATCTGATTTTCTTTTTTTTAAAGAATAAAAGTTTTGCATAAATTACAACTTTTTTAAATGATCTTCTGTTATGCTGAAGACGATTCCTTGTGTTCAATTCAGGCTGGAATTAATCGTAAAAGTATCAAAAGCTTTCGTTTTTCTACATTTTTAAAATCTGAATCTATTTTATATAAAATAATAAATTCATTATTTCTTTCTCTGAAAACAAAGATTTTATAGAAATTTATCTCCGAAAAAAGAAAATCTGAAATATTCTTTAGAAATAAAATTAACATGGTTAAAATAAAAAATGAAAGAATAAAATTATTATTTTTTTTTATGAAGCATCATATGTATGAGCAATTTCAAGTATCCAAAACTCATTCTTACACCTTTTTTACTGAGAAATTTTTTTTTTCTTCTTTTGGCAAATTTTTGTTAACTATTAACAATGTAGTGGGTATTATTAAAATTTAATGATAGTATAAAATCAAACAAAAGGAAGAACATAATAGCTTTCAATGACAGTGATTGTAAATAAACGGTAGATGGACGCGTGTGACAACAGCTTGTGAATAATCACACGACTCCCTGTTGAAGATTAAAACAAAAATAAGAGTCTTTTGATTAAAAACAATTTAATAATTAGCATCCTTCAAAGGTAATAAGATGTTTTCTAGGGGTTTTAAGCAGGGTTTGTTGATTTAAATCAGCTTGACTTAAATAAAATGATTTTTTTTAAAAAAATCATTGATTTAAATCAACTGATTTTTTTAATATATATATTGATTCTAAAAGTTAAAAAATAGTGTTTTAAATTATTGATATTTTTATTTCTCTTTATTTTAAATAAATTGCTGCATTAATTAATTTTAGTTAACGAAATTACTTTCTTTCTTGGTGTGTGTTCAATTCCAACGCATTTGAAATTACATTTGTAAAAATCTTTTGACTCTTGAGATTGAAAGTACAGATTAAAGTACGCATTTAATGCCGTCTTAATATAGATTTGCATGGCTGTAGAAAGTAATTAATAAGCATGAATTTTTCTCCAAAAAAAAAAAAAAAAATTTCAAATAATGTTAATTAAAATTCTACCTTTTGATGGAAAAAACATAGAACTAAAATCTGCATTATATTTTATTGGTGGAAAATGTATATTTCTAAATCTTGAGGTTATATTAAAAAGAAATTACCCTAATATGCCAAAAATAAAAAGAAAGAAAAAAGGCTGATGAATTCAGATATTTTTTTCCTGATATGGTGTAATTTTTTCTATTGTAACTCTTTCAAAGTCTATTTGAAGCAGTAGAGTTATTAACTGGTAACTGGTATTTTTTTCCTCATAATATGTTTACAGTATCTTTGACATTATCAAATTTTCTATAAAGAAATTTTGTGAAAAGAAATTCCAATGAGTACATAGATTTTTTTAAAAAATTTTTTATCTTAACTTATCTATTTCGATATAGGATTGAAAATGAATATTTTAATATAAAAATATATAGATCAAATATTTATTTATTTTTTGATGAATGGCTACATTCATAAACACAATCTGTTACATTTATTTTGTCATATTAAAAATCAAGAGAAAAAAATCTCAATTTTAAATTAAAATTATGGTTTGCTAATTGAAACTTCGTTTTAATAGTTAAAGAACAGGAGACTATCCAAGCCAAATTTACTACCGCTTAGCGTTACCCTCACAAATTCAACTTCAGAAAAATACTTTTTCGTCAAATTTTATTTTTGTGTCTCGTAAGAAACGATAAATTAATATTTTTGTGTTGATTTTTTAATATAATTTTTAACTTTCACAAATTATGTCTAAATTTTCCCAAACTAAGTACCTCTCAGAAAAACCTAGACCCCTGAAGTATTCTTTAAATTCTCAATTTCACCTAGTCCTGAAATTTCAATCATGCATTTGTTTTAAAATGGTTGCTATGCATTCAAAGCAATGTTAATGTATTTATAACTGAAAATTATTTTAGTAAGTTTGAGCTTCTTAAATATTGTTATAATATAGTTTTAATATTAATTTAATTTTGATTATACGTTTATAAAGGTTTTTTAATCATAAATTAAAGTTCTAACAATTAATTTAAATAAAAATCAAAAAAAAATCTGATTTTTTTTTTATTTTTTTTAAAAAAATCACAAACCCTGGTTTTAAGCTAGGCTGAATGCATTAAGATTTTTTGAAAAATTTCTGTAATTAATCCATTAAAGCAGAAATTCAATCCAGTAACAATAGTAAAATATTCAGCTTGTTATTTTTTAATTTCAACTTTCAAATTGTTCATTTTCTTAAGTTTTTAAAATTTTTTTGCTTAATATCTTTTAAAATGTTCTTTTTAGGTGTGTTGGACTAACATTAGTTTTTTCAAATATTATTTTATTGTTTTTCAGGGGGCAAATAAAGTTAGCTGATTTTGGTCTTGCTAGATTATATAACGCAGATGACAAACAACGACCCTATACGAATAAAGTTATAACATTATGGTATAGGCCTCCTGAGTTATTATTAGGAGAAGAAAGGTATGGTCCACCCATAGATGTATGGAGCTGCGGGTAAAGTTACATTTTAGTATTTTTGAATTAGAAATAATTTATTTACTGAGTTTAAAAAATAAATGTTAAAAATTAACAAATTTTAAGTGTGCAGTATTTATTAATAACAAATTAATTTAATTATACAGTATTTACTTTAATGTGAATTTAATTTTATGTTATGATGAAACTGTGGATATTTTTCCTTTATTTTCTGATTTCCAATCCTCAGTCTCAATTTTTTTTATACAGCTAAATCCAGTTTTTGACATTTTATAAACAAAAATTAGTTTTAACATCAAAAAGTGTATTTTGAACTTAGAATACAGTCAAACAGGGTGTTTACCAGCTTAAAAAATATGAGAAAATCAGGTTTTTTTTTTCCTCACAGGAAAAGGCATAGAAAATTTTTTACTATGTTTATAAAGTAAATCAATTTTGAAAAATTTATTTTCCTTTTTTATAAACTGTGTTAAAATGTCTTTAAGATTTTTCCTCAATTTTAAACCATCAGAAAAAAAAATTTGTTATTTTTCTTAGAACAGATTTTTAACCCACCTTCTGTTTATTACTACTTCTATACATTCCAACTTTTATGGGGGAAATTACTCTTTAAAATCTTATTAGTTAAATCCTCCTCTTTTCTCAGGCAGCAGTTAGGTTGATTCTACAATAAAGAACCAATTATCAGAATACAGGGAGCATTGCTAACATGTATATTTAAGTTTCACAGTTTTCTTGATCACTAAAAAACACATTTATCAATGGTTTATCAAGCATAACCTTACAGACTCTCCTCTAGATCTAGCGTATCACATAACAGACAACTTCAAAAATTCCTGCCTTTTTATTACCTCTATGTATGAAGGTCACCCAGGAAGTAAATTTCCAGTAGCCCATAAAAAGAGACTAAGCAAAATTACTTCCTGAAAGGATATATTGCAAAAGATACAGAAATTCTTGAGCTACTTCTCAACTTAAGAACCACTGGAATTGAAAGACTCGTTATACAAAAGTTTTTATTGTCTAATAATAAAACCTTTGTTTCACAGCTGCCTGAACATTTAGGAGAAAATGATGGCTGGTCAAAAATGTATTCACCTTCAACAACAGCTGAGAGTTGTAGAATTTTACCAGATTTGTAATTGTCCCCAAAGGCTTCCACTTGTTTCTGCATATGAGAAAATTCTTGACCAGCCCTCAATTTCCCACAGATGTGCAAGCAGCTGTAATACACTGGCTCAATTGCCAGATAATAAACTCTTACGATGCTAGGCAGTCAACAAAAACTTATCCTATCAGAACGACAAGTGTTATGTTTCCGGTGGTTCTTATTTTGGGAAGTGGTTGTACCATTCCTGTATCTCTTTAACAATAAATCTTTTCAATTAATTAATGTGCCTCTTTTTATGGCCATAGGAAACTAACTTTCTGAAATACTTTTGTATATGTCCTTCCCTGGGCCAAATGCAGATGGTAATTTTCATCTATAACAGCTCTTTTTAATTCCTTTTAGTCATTTTGTTTTGTTATTTTTTAAATTTGAATTTTACTTGGATATTACATTGCAAAAGTAACATTTAAAGAGATGTGACTTAAGATATAGCATTGAACTCTGAATAAGAACTGTTTTATTTTGCTTTTTTGATCTTTTGTATAAAAATAGTATCTACCTTTTTTTTTAAATATTCTCATCATTTTTAATAATTATTTCAGGTGCATTCTTGGAGAATTGTTTACTAAAAAACCTATCTTTCAAGCAAACCAAGAAATGGCTCAACTTGAATCCATAAGTCGAATATGTGGAACACCGTGTCCAGCTGTATGGCCTAAAGTCATACAACTTCCTCACTGGCATACATTTAAACCAAAGAAACAATATCGTCGTAGACTAAGAGAAGAATTTTCTTTGTAAGTTTTACCTATTTTAAGAATCATTCTTCGTATGTAGTTTTAAAGTATTCGAGAACTGTAAAAGCATTCAACACATTTGAGATTATATATTTTTGAAAACCATCCCCTGAGTTGGAAACTTTTTCTTTTGCTTCATATTAACCATTTACAATTAAAATGTATGTTAGCAATGAGTCGCTTTGTAATTCGCATTCAACACATTTGAGATTATATATTTTTGAAAACCATCCCCTGAATTGGAAACTTTTTCTTTTGCTTCATATTAACCATTTACAATTAAAATGTATGTTAGCAATATAAATGAGTCGCTTTGTAATTCGCTTGGTACAAATAAGATAATTGTACTCTGTGAGTCCAAGTAACTTCTGGATAATTTTGTTACAAGGAGTAGATTAAAGACCAGATGTGCAACTCAAAACAAACGAAAAACATCAATAAATTGAATAAGATTTATTCCAAAAATAGTCTAGTAATATAAAATCATTATAAAATAAATCATTAAATAAAAATAACATTTTTAGAAACAGACATTAAGTATATCACCTAACTATTATATATTAATTTCTCTGTCTTCCACACATTCCGGATCACTATCTCTATAAATAATTTCAGTTCTTTTTCTTGCAAAAAATGAATCATCGCTTTTTATTTTTCTGAAATCCTGGTGGCTTTGAATCACTCATTTTATGGTCTAAATTGAAATGAATTTTAATTGAAATTTTATTTTTACACTCTTCTAAGATATACATTATTTTCCTCTTTAAAACCTAAAAGCTAATTTGCAAGCAACGTAAGACAGTATAAAGCCACCTACCTACAAGTGGCTATTTTGTTAAAAGAAATTTGATTTGTAACAGAATTATTAAATCAATGTGATATATTTGTCTTCCTATTTTATACTATAAAATCATAAAATAATTTTAATGTATGATGATTTGAAAATTTCATATCTCGCATTTAAGTAACAACTTTTTAATGCATTTCATTCTATTGTTAATCCACAATGCATATCAATATATACAGTTTTATTTTTTGTTACAATTATACAGTTATTGCTGTGGATCTCATGGTTTTTTAAAACCTGATACTGCGAGGCATGAAATGAAAACTGAGTAATCACTTTTTGACACACTTTATTTGGATCATAAAAATGTGTGGCATTCGAATTATTTTGCCTGCAATTGTTACTACTCTTGTTCCCAAGGTTCTTTAATTTCCCTTTATTTTATTGTATGAATCCTTTTTTTAAAAATATCTTTATTTTTCATAAATATTATTACATAATTTGAATTCTCTGTTTAAATTGACCCAATGATAGCACTGTTTTGGTTGAGTTTTTTAAATTTTTCGTGGATTTCCACATGTAATTTAAAATCCCAATATTTTCATACTTTATTACTATGATACAGGAAATTTCAGTCACACATTTGAGCATTCTCTATCTTATTGAATATTTTCTTTTTTTTTTCTTTTTTTTTTAACCTTCCCGTGATCGGTTTGTCTGCAGTTGTGGCTACTGGTTCCCTGTGGTTTTTAAATTCTAAATGTTTCTAATACGATGATCAAATCATTTACATTATTTACCATATCACTTGTGTCTTGATTGCTACAAGAGTGGTTTTTTAGCTACAGCATGTGCTTCTTACCTAATGGAAACTGAGATTTTTCTGATACAAAATTTTTTTTTACTATATACAAATTGAGTTTTTTCTGATACAAAACCAAAATTTTTCTGATATAATTTTTTGAAAGTGATTGAGATCCCTTTCAAAAAATTACACTAGTCGTTTATTGAACTTAACCATTTTATTTCCAGCATGCCTTTAGCAGCTTTAGAGTTACTAGATCAAATGCTAGAACTGGATCCAGAAAGACGTATAACTGCCGAAAACTCCTTAAGATGTGAGTGGCTTAAAGACATCGTACCTGAACAAATGGAACCACCTGAGTAAATATTCTTTTTTTATTTAAACATTAAGTTATACCTTGTCCTTGATTACAGTTGGATCTTATCACTACAATGTAAAGTGAAACCTCGACTAAGCAAACATTCCTGAGGTCGTTTACAGAAAGCGTGTTATATGTGAATGTATTTATAGTTAATTAAACTTAACAAAATTATAGTATTAGCAATACAAAGAGAATTACAGAAATTTGTTTTAAGTAGCTGCAATTTACAATGTTTTGTTTTTAAATCATTTAGCATTTTTTATAACAATTTCATCATTTTAACCCACTGACGGTTCTGCACGTAAAAAGTCGCATTTTAACCTGCAGTCTTCTCTGCATAGCAAAACCGGTTTTCCCATGTTAACTGATAGGGGAACGGTGTTAAGGGGAGAAACATTCTCCCAATTTTGCCCATTTCCTTAACCGCCAGTGGGTTAAGGTCGATAAAAAATGATGTCTTATTCCATCTTCAATACAAATTTGGGCATCTCGTTAAAGTTTTCTCTTTTAATTATTTTTCAAAAAGCATCAATTGAGTATAGGTTGCTTCATTATTTCTCTCAATGTCATTATTTACAAACATTTCCAGAAATTTGTCCATATTTTATATTGTTCTTTTGTGATTCAATATTTTGGTCCTATCTTCACAAAAGTGATGTATCACATAAGCTTTTGAATTATTTAGAAAGTAGTGGTGAACAATGACTCTGGAAAAATCAAATTTATTAAAATAGGAATCATACATTAAAAGACAACCACTCAAATCTATGTTATTTCCTAAATATTGTAATTTGTTATCACAGCATTTTATTAATGGAACAAAACTTAACCCCATGATTCTGGTTTCAAGAGAATTCTCACCCTTTAAAATTGCAGGATTTCACCTTTCCTTTTTCAACCGTATTTTGCCTTTGCGCAATTAACTAGATAACTTTTTTAATCAATGAATCAGAATATACAAAATATGTAAATATACGAAAACATTCCTGATTAAATGAATGCCCTTTTTTTTTAAATTTAGCTTTTGAAGAAAAAAATTTATTTTAATAATTACAATTTATGACAAGTAACTTTAAATTGGTAACTGACTGATTGAACTGACTAATTGAATTGAATAAAATGGTGCTGAGATAAGTGGAAACAAAAAATATTAGTCTTAAAAAATGTTTTCCTTTATTTATTGAGTAAAAAAAATTGTGTAAATGTTATTTCTTTCTCTTTTTTAAAAAAAAAAAAATGCAAAGAAACCCAGGGTGTAAGGCAAACTGTTTTTTGATTTGTGCAGGTCTAATTAAATTGTTTTCCACAAATAAAATTTTTTTTTTACTTTTTAGGATTTAAAATCTTAATGCTTAAAAATGAATAATGTTTGTTTTATTTAACTGAAATTTTTTTTCACCAGTTTACCTCTAAATCAAGATTGTCATGAAATGTGGTCTAAACGAAGAAGACGCCAGATAAGGCTGGATCAAGAAGCTCTTGCAGCTGCCATGGGGAACAATCCTACTCTGTTAGCTCAAACTATGGACAGCATGTCTATTTTAAATTCTGCTGCATTCAACCCAAAACTTCATCAAAATTATTCAGAAAATTCTGCCACTAGTACATGGACCTCAGACTTGCCAGTTACGTGGAATAAAAAAGATAAAACTGATGATAAAGCTGAAAGAAAAGCATAGCTATGGTTTCTTGTGTGTATGCATAGTTAAAACTGACTGTGATTAAAATCATGATTCCTCACATTGTATAATATCACTCAAAACAAGTTCCCACACACAAAACCCTCAGCCATTTTAGGACAAAATAAATAATGTGATTTAAAAAAAACAATGAATTGACCTAAATACCTTCTTCATGAAATGAATTCGAAAACTAGTAGGAATATTATTTTAATTTACTTGGGAAAGAATTGAGGACTCCTGTTGCATTGTGATTGAAAGCTACAAATTTTAGTCTTTTCTATATTTATCTCCGAAAAAGCATTTTCGTGACGCCATGTTTGGATTTTGTTATTCTTTAAGAGAAACTTACACGCCTACTGCATCTGTATATATATATTTGATTTCAAGTTACAACTTGAAACATATGCTTAAATGAATTATTTTGACATACATGCTGCCACGGTGTGTATTGTAATTTCCAATGAAATTTAGATTTATTGCACCTTGGTTTTTATGGTTATACAACAAACTCAGTTGTTATTTACAGGAAATTTCCATTGCTGCTACTTCCTAGATAGGTTGTGATAATTTTACCTATTTTGTGCAAACTAGTTGCCGGTTTGAGTCGATTGTTTTGTGATCAAAATATAAACTGTAAAAAAAAATAATTATAAAACTTGTTCTTGAGGTTTTTAAAGTGATCAGAAAAAAATATATACATCCTTCACAATGGTGTCCTTACATGCTTTTTCTAATTGTGTGAATACAATTGCAGAGCTTGTAATATCTAATTATTATTGTAATAAAATATTAAACTAATATTTGAATTACTTATTGTACTGTAAGAGTACTTGTTATTTAGAACTCAGCTTGCATCTTCCATTTCAATCTTATTTTTATTATTTATGAACCACTGAAAAAAATTGTATTAAAACTTACTAGAAAATATCTTAGTCTATTGTTAAGACCAGGTTTATGCACCTCTTGAAGATTAAAATTAGCATGATCCTTAAAAAGTGGAATAAGTCCATTTGAAAAGTGATACAAATCCAAGGTTTTTAAGAGTTAGTGTTTGCATGAATTTAAAAATATAGGCTCAATTTAGGTGATGGTTTTACAACAATAATTTAATGAAACATCAAAATGCAATGATGATAATGAAAATCATGAATACTAAAATAAAAAATTTCGAGCTTATTCCACTTTCAAAAATAAATGGCTCAAGTTATACATTTTTATCCCTTCCCAATATTGTATTTCAATTTTTTTTTTTTTTTTTTTTTTTTTATTTTTTTTTTNTCACTTACAATTTTGAACTGAATGAATTTGAGCTTTTATTTTTTAAGATTTATTATTGGTTTTTGATATATTTTTTTATTAAATGCAAGAGTTTGATCTTTAAGGCTTTTAATAAATATAGCTATCATAATATTGTATGAGAGGGTGGGAAATAGTAAGGATTAACGACTTTTAAGATTTTTATTAGTGTAGTGTTTTCTTGCCTTCTAATATTTTTATGTATTCTTGTAAGATGTATTGCTTTTTTTTTTTAATTGGAATTATTCCTCTAGAAAATAAAGTTTTCGGATTTTTTTTTTCTTTTTCAGAAATTAACTATGAACCTTGTAAGATCATAATAAAAAGGAGAAAATTCTTTTAAATTTGCATTGTTTAGAACATTAATTAATTCAATGGTAAATGCAGGAAAATACAAATTTTTGAATTGCTAATTTGAGTCATCATTTTTTAGTACATACAATCTGGAAAGATTCCATTGTAAGTCTATTTCGTTTTTCCATCGCCTTTTCAATGATACGAAATTCCACATGATTTTTTTAAAAAAAAAAAAACATGTTTTAATAGGATATTACGATGCATGAATTTGGAATTTGAGTAACCACTTTTTACTTAATATTTGCTTAATCAATTATTGATAAAAAGGAAAATTTTTATAGAAAAATTATGTTGTTTTTTTTAGTGAATTCTAGTAATTAAAAGTATTTAACTTTATACAAATATACTAATTTTTTTATTATAAAAATTTAGTGCTAGAACACTAACATTTATATAGAAATTTTATTTGCCACCAACTTTACTAAATGGATCATGGTATATGACACTAAGGTCATTTAATAAAATTTTAGTCATATTTTTGTTTTTACTCAGGCAATTATTTTTCATAATTTCCAGCTACTAAAAGCAACTATTTTGTTCATTTTTTTCTGTGGCAATCCTGTATATTGGAATAGATAAAAATTGCCTTGTGGCCGTGGATTGACTGCATTAAATTAAAAAAGTGTTAGAAATGCAAGATTTAATTTTTTGTTAACTAGCGTAAAAGAGCAAAATAAGTGAATTTTTCATTATGTTTTAGTAAACAATTTTAATATAGCATATTTATTATTAAATGTAAAGAAAATAAATGATAGAGAATATATGTCATTGGAAATTATGACGAAGAAACACAGATCAAATCATTGAACCATTCCTTGACTCTTATAAACAATGATTGGTTTTAGATAGGGATGCCCTAACTTTCTGAGTGAAAGGCCACTTGCACAACGGGTAGATTAACAAAGGGCCGCATGCATATTTAGTCATGTTAGCGGCAAATATGATAATTTTTATATACATTAGTGATCTATGCAGTAAGTTTTTTTATCAGTTAACTTAATAGCATATTTGCAGAAAATTAAATACTTTGAATTATTTGAACTTATTTAAAACTAAAAAAAAAAAACTTTTTCCATAATAATTCATTTACCAAATGTATATATATAAATAAGTATTGGGGGGGGGCGATTATAACTCTAACCAAAATGATGTTTACAGAATGTAAGTGCAAAAGATTNTAAAAAAAAAAAAACTTTTTCCATAATAATTTATTTACCAAATGTATATATATAAATAAGTATTGGGGGGGGGCGATTATAACTCTAACCAAAATGATGTTTACAGAATGTAAGTGCAAAAGATATACACATTTTATAGAGTTATATAAATTTGAATTAAATATTTTATGTAAAGAAAATTTATGATGTTTAAACAAAAACCAAATCGAAAAAAACTTTTTTATTGCATTTAAAAGCTCTCTCGAGCCACACATCAACAGCCGACGGGTCGCGTGTGGCCCTCGGGCCGCAAGTTGTACACCCCTAGTTTAAGGGGACATTTGACTTTCAGAATGAGAAAAAACCTTCTAAAATCCATTATTTCGTCTCTGATATACAGAAAAAATTCTCCCTTTAATAAGTAATATGCAACTAACTATGTTTAAGTTGGAGATTTCTTTACCAACTAATAATATACGAGTTTTTAAATGTCCCTACATCAATATGTAGTACTCATTGACAAAGTGGCTTTCTAATGGAATTTTTTAATGTTCTTACAACTTCAAAATGTTCCTTGTGCATAAATTTTTGTTTTTATTACGAAAAATTTTTTAGATACTCTTTGATAAGTCTTTTTAATTGCTTTGATTAATGCAAGACCTTAATTTAATTTTTTAATAATTGAACATAGTTGTAACATGTTTTTCAAAGAAGTTTTTGGTGAGATGTCGCAGAATTGTTATGGTATAATTTTGTCAGAAATAATCTATAGATTTAGAAGGAGAAACAATCTTGTATAACTTATTTCAAAGGATACATCAAAGTAGTTGAGTAAATAAGCAACCAATAGTTTGTTTGTGAAAATTAGATAAAATTTTGGGATTGTATAAATTACATTATAAAGAAAAAGAATTGAAAAACATTGAAACAAATTTGAAATTTTAATTAGAGTCGAAAGTTTTTATATTCCTTCCATCTTTTGTCATAAGTGAACATAGCTGCAAAAAATTATAGTTTTACCTCTATAAGTTTATCCTGTATGCCGAAAAAGCATTCAAAATACACTTTCGTTCAAACAAACCAAATTTCTAACTAAACACATTTTTTTTTAAAAAAAAAACACCAGCAAAAGAAGAAAAAAAACATTATTTTTTGTTAATTTAAGCATTTTATTCTGGAGACAGTTCAAAATGAATGTTTAAGAAAATGGACTAACTCAAAAAACTATATTTTAGAAATGGACACAACAGACAATTATTCACTTCTGGAGACAGTTCAAAATAATTGTTTAAGAAAATAAACTAACTCATTAAAAATATGTTGTTGTTGTTGTTAATTTACGTCGCACTAGAGCATGGGTGCAAGTCTTCCGTCCCCAGGACGGATTTCCGTCTTTCAAAAATGTCCGCGGACGGAAACAAGACTGACTCGAAGACGGAAATCGGAATTTTTTTTTCTGTCCATAAAAATATTTTTTAGGTCTACGTTATTGGTCTATTTTCTTATGTCCTGTTGTTATTTTATCAAAATACAGATGAATAAATATTTTTTGTACAGTATTTAATCTTGATGTATTATGGTAAAGCTTTCTTAGATAGTTTGCATATGTCGAGGGGGTATTGTGTATGTTAGGTATTTCAGTCAAAAAATTTTCAGTCTTGGCCTTTTTTCCAACTTGCACCCATGCACTAGAGCTGCACAATGGGCTATTGGCGACGGTCTGGGAAACATCCCGGAGGATGATCCGAAGACATGCCATCACAATTTTGATCCTCTGCGGAGGGGATGGCACCCCCGCTTCGGTAGCCCGACGACCTGTAAAATATGTTTAAGAAAAAGGGGAGCAATGCTGAAGTCTTGTTTTGGAAAATGACATAATTTAAAATTCATTTTTAAGAAAATTAATTCAATTCAAAAAACTTGTTTAAGAAAATGGCTACTGCTAATGTTGTCCCACACATTACTGTACTTTACCTTGGATATACAAATTGAAATTTTCATACCAAGTGTCGGGATTTTATGAATAGAATGATGATTTTATATATGGTCCATTTCACTTGATCATGTCAAAAAATCCTTTAAGTGGCTGAAGTCAACTATAATCAGTCAATCCACGAGTTCTCGTTTAGCTTTCGTAATAATTATTCAAGAGATATATCTGAGCCCCTAACTTAGAACATCGAATTGTTCCAACAGGGTTGTCACTCAAATCTGAAAAATAAAATTCGGTGTACATATTCAGGGGTCTGTTTAGAAGAAAATTGGGTCCGTTAACGGACCCTTCACAGAATATCGTTTCATAAAAACGGACCCTTCACAAAATGATTTTTCTTTTAATCGGACCCTTCACAAATTTGTTTATCTTCATTATTGTTTTGTTAATCGAATAAACCCTTCCCAGGGAGGAAAACAAGAAAGATAATATAACGAACTAAGTTTCGTCTTCAGCAGACGCTTCTTCCTTTATTCATCCGAAGTGAATATTCTGCATTCAGCAGTATAAGCTAAATACCAAATATTTGTATGTTGCATCTCTAATTTAGAAGCAGCAATTGCTGTTTAATTTTGAAAATTTAATTATTTTTTTAATTATAATTTACAGTGCTAAGCATAATCATGTATCGATTTACAATTTAAAAATTCTTTGAAAACTTTATTTTTTTGTTGCAATAACCGAACCCTATTTGCACCAATTCATAAAAGCAGGACCTTGGTTGAAAGAATGAGACTTAACGTTTATTCTATATCAAATTACGAGTAATTTTTTCACAATTTTACAAAAACCGGACCTTTTACAAAATGTTTGAACAGACCCCTGATATAATACACAACATAACAAGAGGAGAAACACAATCCCTGTGCTGTAAGTGTATTGGGCTAACTATAGTATAATTATAATGGCTGAAAAAAGGAACAGCTGAACATACTTAAATCTAATAATGCTATTGTAAGTTAACTAGTTTAATATAGCTGAAATATCATTCTTAATAGATTGCACTTTGATTACCATTTTTTAAAAGACGAAAATAAGAAACAAAAGCCCTGCATTTTCCTTGTTATTTTATGTGATTTTTAAATACCCTGAGGAGTTTCTTCCTTCCCACCTACCCAACTAGGCAGGGTCACCTATTCTAGTAGCTAAACTGCTCCTGCAGATAAGCAAGATGTACAATTGTGTGCACAAATGCTTCAATTTTTTAAAATAATTCTAGAGATATTACGAAATAGAGAAAGAAGGAAACTAACTTAGTGGTTGAAAGTTTGAGTGCCTTGAGGCACTTTCAACTGTTTTCTTTCCGTGGGATATTTACAAAATGCAGCTCCCCTTTTAATTTGAGAGTCAAGTACTAGTATTTACTTTTTGTATTTTGCAACTTTAAATATAACGTGCGCCCTCAGGTTAATTAGAGCACACTAAACATGTCAGACCGTGCAGACTTGAGATAATTCGAGCAGGTTCGTATTACATGCTGCTCAATTTTCACACCCAGATGAAAGATAATTAAGAATTGAAAACAACAATGTGAAGAAAACAAATCTTCTTAACAATATTCTGTTTAAATTTGGTTTAATAACAATAATTATTCAGAAATTATATTTTCAATTACAGTGTTTCACCAATTTCAAATGTAACTAAACATTTAAAAAAAAAATTATGAACTCTTCTGTTTATAATTCTGTTGCTTCAAATAAAGCGTACTAAAAGATACTCTTTTTTATACCAGATTAGATTTCAACTTCAGCAACTTTAATCAGTATTTTTTTTAGCCTGTCTTCCTAATTTAAACATTGTCATCATAAAATATTTAGTACATTAAAGTTTACCTTTGAACTAGTAAGATCGCACATTTGTACATGAAAATCTGAATAATGTATTAAAAGTTATAAAGGTATTCTTTTTTATTTTGTGCACTGTACAATGATTGATTGATTTGTTCGTTTACGTCGCACTAGAGCTGCACAATGGGCTATTGGCGACGGTCTGGGAAACATCCCTGAGGATGATCCGAAGACACGCCATCACAATTTTGATCCTGGCACCCCCGCTTCGGTAGCCAGACGACCTGCACGCGAAGTCGAGCATTTTACGGTAGAACAGTTTAACAAGGACCCTCGGCCCCTACGCAGACTGATCCAAGTGGTCACCCACCCGCACACTGACCGCAGCCAGTGATGCTTGACTTCGGTGATCTGCAGGGAATCGTGTCTTAACGATCAGTCCACTGCGGGACTCACTGTACAATGAAAAATTCTTTTTCATAGTTGTGTCATTTTGTCAATTTTCAATTTTAATCCCATGAAACCCTTTACTCCTTAGATTTATAATCTTAGTTTACAAATCTAGAAAATAGGGAACTGCATGGTTTATTTATTTAATTTCTAATTCATAAAAAAGTCTTATTATTTTTCTGAAGACTAAGGGAAGAGGCAGTTTGAAAGAAAACATTAGAAAAAAAGTACACATATTTAAGTCTAAAGTAAAAATGTATTTTTTAAAAAATGTACAAATCAAACAAAATAAGTGTTCATTGTATTATCACAGATTTTGTCTTCAATTGCCTGTATAAACTAATGTATTTGGCTGCAATACGTGCTTGAGGGGAAACATAATGTTGACAAAATGAATATTTATCTGCAATAAATGGGCTAAGATCATCCATTTTTAGTCTTCTTAAAAACGTCAAAACAAAAGTGTAGCAATTATAGTTTTCACTGTCATACCTGAAAAATTAATTTTATTTCACTTACATAAGCTAGAAGAAGAAAAAAGATGAGTAGTTAATTATAAGCCCTGGGAGGTCAAGAAATTTTTAATAGTTTAATCTCATAAAAGCATAAATAAAACCATATTATTAAAATTTAAAGAAGAATTTTTCCTAATCTTCATAAAACTATTTTAAGCTGTCAAAAGAAAGATATTAAACTATTTCTGAAAATTTCTTTCACTCCCTTCAAAAGTTGTATATAAACAAAAAATGAATAGAAAGAATGTAAAGTTACTCAACTATGTCTTGCCATGAATTATAAAATTGCAATAATGTTGCTATGCAAACCACTGAATTGATTCTATGCCTACAGTCACTCTTGTTTCAGCCTGCATTTTCTTATCTAATTTATCAAAGGCAGGACATGTTAGTGATAGGGAAGAAATTATTTAACCATAGTATTCAAAGACTTTTTTTTTTTTTGTTTTTTAAAAAAAATTGCACATTTTCCTGACATAAATGGATGTTAGTGATGATATATTTTATGCAATAAGCATTATACATCAAAGAATTAAAAAAATTTCAATCAGAGAAAAATAAAACTCAAATGCTATTCTACTTGGAGGGAGAAAAAAAATTACTAAAAGTAATTTTTAAGCATTTTTTAGCACAGAACAGCTTTTTCTAATAATTTATTTGACTCTGGTTTGGCAAGCACCCTAATTTAACAAGCAAATTGTTCTGGTCTTGTTATTAGTTTTGTTAATTTTCTTTCTGCATCTCCTTTAAGCTAAGCTAATTAGTTTGACATAAATTAAGAATTAAAGCAAGTTAATTTTTAATTCTTAGTAAATGCAGACATATGAAGAAAAATATGGAAGTAAGTGTAGACATCTAATTGAAGTAGAAAGATTTCATTAATTATGACAAATCAAAATTAATGGAAGATGACATAATTAGACTAGTTCAGTATGGAACAGGAGAATAATACTTTACAAAGGGATTGTAAACAATACATGCTGAAAATAGAATAAATTGCAAACAAGAAAACCAGATCATAATCACATTAAAACTTTTATTCTGTAGCAGAGCTCAAGCTGTAAAATAAAGTTAATATCTTACGTAACAAACATTTTAAGAAAAAGAATAAATTTAGACTAATGCTATTAATAGAGACAGTCAATGGCGATTAACTCCCCACGACCTGCCTAATTATAAGCCAATTCGAAAGTGTGAATTCAGCCAACATTTTTAGGCACTGGAAAGATCCATTTAGGATTGTTATTGAAAAAGGACATTGTCAAAAGTTAAGACAAATCAGCCAACCCCAATATCTCTATGTTAATATTGAAATAATTTGGCTGAAGATTTAAGGCCAGAAAGTTCATTAAAAATTAAAGCAAACCTAATAAGAGTTATGCTAATGTTTAATGTAGTTGGAGAAAGAAAGGTTAAAAATGGATTTTGATACTCAGTTGAATAATAATTTGTTTCATTTTTGTAATTCGTTCATTATTATGTATTGAGAATAGAAATCTTTGCATTTGTTCTTTATAAAATTGAATTAACCAAGACTAAGTATGCAAAGATTTACACTTTTTCTTTAATTAAAAAATATATTAAACTTAGTCTTTTAATTGAGATAAATCGATATAGATCTTACATTGTAAATGAAAAGATCAACATAGTTTGAAGAGTTTTAAAATCTATATTTATTATCAAATAAAATTTATAAATTTTTTTTAAAATAGTTGCTTAATATTTTTTTAAACTTTAGTAGCAATGTCAAGTGTTTTAAAATTATACAATACATGCCTTACATACACACAATATACAATAATGAATGCCTTTAATATATATTTTAGAATTTTTGTCAAATGATGACAAAAAAGTTCTTATATTAGGGTTCACAAATTAATATTTGTATTAGGTAAAAAAAAAAACATTAAAATCAGATAAATTACTATGGAGGATGACAGTAGAGTGTGAAAAATATCAAGACCTGCTTAATTTCTGAAAGAAATGTTAGAGAGTTTAAAGATAACTTTTAAAATTACATTTTAAATTTTATTTGGTCATCTAACAGGTTTTAATGTTTTGTATACCTGCTTTTCTCAACAGTGAGATATTGATAGGGTTTTTTCCCCTTATTTTAATTTAGGACCCCTAATGTTTTTTTAAATTTTTTTTTTTTATCAAGCTTCTAAAACTATATACTAAGGGATTTGCATATACTATTGTAAGTAATGTAGTATTCTTTTTCCAAAAATAAATTATTACTCAACTATAAAATTAATCAACAAATAATTTCTTAAATTAGAAACATAATTATTTTACCGTTGAGGTGTCCAACATTCTTGTTCAAATGTTTCGTTTAAAACTTCATCCCAATAGCGCTGAAATGAGGAGCTTTTGTTGGAAGATAATTTTATGGCAATACATTGCTTCCAGTCTTTTCCATTACTCTTTAATTTACCACTGTAGTTATACTCAAAGACACAGCCTATAAAACAGAGTTATAACTATATCAAGAGTACTTTATAATTATCAATTACCATTCTTCTAAACATATATTATTAATATTACTAACAGAAATAATTTCAGATAAATATCTTTTTTAAAATTTTATTTATACTATAATTATTTTTGAAATATTTTCTTTTTAAAATAAAATATTGTATGGAATTATTATTATTATTTTTTTTAAATCACAAACTCTTAAAATATACAGTTCTTATTTTGATAAAGTAAACTTCTAATGATACATATTAGAAATAAAAAAGGATGAGGATGAGTAAATTAGAAGAAAAATCAACTATCTAAAAAAAGAAATGAAATACAATGTTAATACAGTTTCAGTCAATAATTTTTCAGTTCAATTGTTTTACCATTTGTATCTGTAACACCAATGTGAAGATCAGATGAATTCTCATAAGAACTGGAATAAAAAAAAACAAATTTAGCCAAAATTTATATAAAGACAGTGTTTTCACTACAGAGCGAGAACGCGAGAATCTCGTATATTTTTTTCTTTTCTCGCAATAAAAAATTATTAATGCGAGAAGTTCACGCACTCTATTAATCTATTTCAAAATGAGCGAATTTTGGAAAAAATTTCGTCTTTAGCCATTTTGAATAAAATCCGTTTCACTTTTCTTCCTTGATCTTTCATTATTTCGAACATCGGTCCTTGTTATCTATTTTCCCTATTTACCAGTATTGTTCAGAACCGGTGCGAACAGCCGAACACCCCCCGAACCACGGAACCCCTTTCAGAACACATTTCTCTGCAACCACGTGCTCACCGTAGGTAAGGTTTCTTCATGTAAGACGTTTATATTTTTTGTGCATGAATGTAAGATAAATACCTTGTTAAGGCGACATCTTCTTCGTAATGGACAAATGAAAATGAAACAAATGTTGGTAGAAACGGTCAAAACGAAACAAATACGGATATTTTTCCGCCAAATAAATGTAATAGCTGATGAAAAAGTAGATATAGAACATTTTCATATGATGATGCAGCAAAAATATTCAATTAGAAGACGTTAAAAAGGTATTATAATTAAAGAGAAAAAAATTTCCAAAACTATTCGTGCTTTTTTAATTTTTAGAAATCTCTCTTAACTTTCTGAAATCTCGCCCTGTTTTTTAGAAAGGGTGAAAAATTCTCACCAATAAATTTTCTGTAATGAAAACACTGAAAGATATGCATCAATTTAAGAAATGCTGTGTTTAAAAGTAGGCATTTAATTTGTTGATAAGATAAGGCTTAAATAACTGAAAGATGGGATAAGCAAGGGTACAGAATATGTTTGATCTCACAAATGAGATTTGGAGAAAGTCAGAGAGCCCAGTCAAATTAAATTCGTGCTAATTAAATTCGTCAAATTAAAAAAAAATTTTTGATAAAAAAATACAAAACTTTTTATGATAAAAAAATTTAATCGCTTTACAATTTTTTTTACTTGTTAAAAAGAAAAAACACACACATAAAATCTTATCAAGACAATAAAATATCAATATATGTATTTAATATAATATTTTTAAAAAAATTAATGCAGACATGAGTAATCACTTCTTGGCACACTGAATTTATGGTGATATTGAGTGAATTTCTATAAATTACAATACATTTCTATACTCTAAATTTTTTAAAGTGCAGTAAATTTTATCTACTTTAAGCAGTCAAGAAAATATTGCCCAGTATTAGTATCATTAAAACTTTATAGAGTGCCATAGTGAATGATAGATTTTGTGGGGTAAAATGCAAAATTATCCAACTCAAATTTGCTTTAAACCCCACTAATCAAATCTGAGATTTTTATTTTTTCATATTTTATGTTTAATTAGCATTTTTTTATAATTCATTTAAAACAATATCAGGGATAGTCAAGGTTATTTTAAGAGGTTCCTGTTTTGTGAAAATATAAAATTAATTTGTGCAAATTAAAAATTATATTAAAATATCAACACATAAATAAGGTGAAATAAGAAAATATTTTCAAAAATTGTCATTACAAATAAAAATAATTTATGACTGGTAAACTTCAATACATATTTTCCCCATCCGTTCAAAAAAAATTTTGCTATTGTGAAATTTTGGGCTTAAAATTACATCCAAATTTAAAAATCCATAAAAATGATTGTCTATTGTTAAATTTCACCTTGAATTTAATAAAAACATACTTTTAACAGTACTAACACTAAAAGTTATCTTTGTTATGATTACATTTTTGAGTGGGTCTACAAAAAAAAAAAAAAGTTTCACAGAGAATCTTAGAACTTGCTTTTTTAAAAGAAACTATGGTTTTTCCTTAAGTTTAATTTGTGAAGGTACCGCTAAACGGTAGTAAATTTGCCCTGGACAGACCCCTGAATATATTACTATTGATACCAAAAATTATCTGGTTTGAAACTCCAGAATTTTCCTCCTATAATCACTTTAAAGTTTAAAACATTTCTGCATAAAATTAATGCATCAATAAATAAATACTGAGTAATATAAAAAAATTTGCATTTTTGGTTAAAAAAATACTTTTTAATTCCTATATATCAAAAATAAATGTGATTTGAAGAATTAAAAGAGGGGGAAAGAAATGTTATTTTTAGTTATTCCAATGAAAAACAGATCCTTTCACTGAAATTGAATTTGTGTAAACATGAAATCACAAATCAAAAGCACATATCAATTTCATAGTAAAAAAAAAAAAAGAAAAAAATGCGAATTAAACCTAGGTAGCAATAAAAATAATAATGTTATAATATTTTATTCAGTCGGCCAGCAATTTGAAAATATAAAATCATCAGCATCAATTTAGACCAAAAAAATACATCAATTTACTTATTAATAGGCAGAGTTTTGTTTTTAAATGCAGCTTTGACAGAGAAAAACAACTAAAAATTCATCTGTTGGTAAGATATTTTTTCAATCAGCTTTCTCGCCAATTTAAAAAAAATATCATAAACAAAAGCAAATTTTAAAAAAATCAATAGGTTTATCTGTCGATAGGCAGACTGGAGTATTCCACTATAACTTGCAGACTATCCCTTCTTCACTATGTCCTTGACTATATATGACCAACTAAAATTATTGAATATGGTACTTCATAATGTTTCACAAGCAGTACTTTGAACAATTTATTAAATGCTCAAAGTATCATTTACGAATTGCTATTTTGTGTTTTGAGGTATTACTATTTTTTGCTAATAATAAACAGTTAAATATCACTAAAAAACAGTAACACATCAAAAAACCATTATTTAAATAATATAAAACTTAAGGTTAACGTAGTACAAAAATAAAGAAACGATTTTTTGAACGAATTAATTATTAATTAAAAAAAGGTCATAAAAATACTTTTTTTTAAAAAAAAAATTAGGAATATTGAAAAAAATTAACCATAAAGATAGCAAAACAAATATAATTCTTAAAAAAAAACATACTTTAAAAAATCCCCAACAGAAGGTTTAATAACAACGGAGTTAAACTCGTGAGAAGCACCTTTGAATGGATAAGGTATGCGAAAGGGAGGAACTCTCAGTTCAACATCAGAAATATCTGCATGACACAAATCACACACGTCATGAAAAATAAAAGAAAATATTTTCTTTTTTGCGTGGCAATGTTGATAGCAAATAATTCCTGGATCCACGTCCATTATTCAAGTAGATTGTTATTGCTCATTTCAGTGATTTCTACTTCTCACAAAAAATATACAACATTCACGCAATAAAAATAATCCAAAACTTTAAGTCAACAAAAATTGTACTCTCACAAAAAATAATTCGAAAAGCTAACTAATGGGAGGGATTTGTGAGAAGTTGGAAGCTATTTTATATAATAGGGGGAAAAAAAAACAAATAACTCATAGAGAAGTTTAATAAACTAAAACAAATCTAGAATAAATCCAGAATTGTTTGTGAATAATAGTTAAAGCACTGCCTTACGCTTTGTCTGAACAACTATAAAAACTTAAAGTAGTATTTGGCAGAGGGCGCTTCAAATTTAAGTCATGTGAAGAGCCATTCTTACTCTGAGATGAGTCATTCTTACCTCATCTGCAACCGAGGTTCAGGAAGATTAAAAACCTGTTTGGTTAAAAATACTCTTGTGCGAAAAACTAACCAATCAGGTTCTCCATCTTTTAAAGGTGATCGGAGGAGCTTGAATCGCAAGGAGTGAGAGCGGTCTCTAACATCACAAAATATTTCCGAAACGCAGATTAGACGAAGGAAAAAATGTAGATCGTTGCTGTTGTAGTTCATTTACGTCGCACTAGAGCTGCACAATGGGCTATTGGCGACAGCCTGGGAAGCATCCATGAGGAGGATCCGAAGACAAGCCATCACAATTTTGATCCTGCGCAGAGGGGATGCACCCCCACTCGGTGGCCTAACGACCTGCACGCGAAGTCAAGCACTTTACGGTAGAACAGTTTAACGAGGACCAATACCGCAACCCCTCGACCCCTACGCAGACTGATCCAAGTGGTCACCCACCCACACACTGAGAGCAGCCAGTGATGCTTGACTTCGGTGACCTGCTGGGAACCGTGTCTTAACTATCAGTCCACTGCGGGACAGAAAAACAAAAGGGGAACTTATAATAATTAGGCAGTAATTCCAGGACCGTAATATAATAACAACTAGTTTCCAGCACCGATCGTCCTAATATGAAAAACTAAATTACACAAGTGCATCACACAGTTGTTCATTTATTCATACAGGTATCAAGAGTTACGCACGAAGTGCACCAGGGTTTACTTTGAATTAACTATATTTAAACTTAAACTTCAAAAGAACCAGAAGTTTAAAATTTGATTTCTCAGGAACCATTCGATCGATTTTGCTGAAATTTAGCATTTTTCCATGTAAAATTACACTCTTTAAGGCGATGTATATCTTGCATTTCAAAAGTTTTTCGATTTGCCTAAATTAATAAATATTTGTAAAGTTATTTTTTGTATGACGCCCGGTGGCTGAGCGGTAGCGCTTCGCGCTGTCGTGCCACAGGCCCCTGGTTCCTCGGGCCGGGCAAGGTTGACTCAGCCTTTCATCCCTTCAGTGGGTCGATAAATGAGTGCCAAGCATGCTTGGGAACTAAACACTGGGGGTTCCGCGTTCGGCTGACCACCTGACCGGAACATCTGTTCCTGCACCCCAGAGCCCAAGGTCAAGAAAACTGAGATGGGCACAGTAGGCCTTGGCCCTCTATGGGCTGTCACGCCACTGAGTTTATTTTTTTGTATGGAATTATCTTTGGATAAATGCATTTTAAAATTGTGTGCAAAAATTTTTCGATTCACTTTGAAGTTTCTCGAGATATGGCGAAATACGCAAAAAGTGAAATTAACGTTAGGGGTTTAAACTTTGGCGGCTCTCATGACCAAACTATTGGGGCATATTTCCCATATTGCGGCTACCCTCAATACCTTGGGGGTCAAAAATCTGATTCCGCCGGTAAAAGGGATGTTTTTTCAGAAAAAGTACGCTTTTGTGTCTGATTTTGTAACTAAAAATATCTTATGCATCTTACCTAACATATTTGAGATCACCCCTGTAAACCTTTAGGATTGTCCTAGAACTTGAAGGTTTGGATATTCCAGGTGGTCAGTTTTTTATTTTGCGCACTGTACATGAAAATATTTATAAAACATTAGAAAATGTTATTTAATTTTACTAAAAAATAAAAACAGAGGTCTTAATTAATTATGTGTGCATAAATTTTTTTTCTCATTATTAAGTGCATCACTTGATTCTCGAACGCAACCATCAATAGGGGGCGTTATTATTTGAGACGAATGACAGCTAGCAGAACAATAGGACCATCAGTTGCACTGAAGATTTCTTCAGTGTAGCATAGTAACGTTCCTTTATTGTGGAGTGTTAAATTAAAAATAGAAAAATGCTCGATGTTCTTTTTTATGCAAGTGAAAATAAATGGAATCTCTTTTTTTTGGGGAAGGAACCTCCAACGCACATCGGAAAATATTTTATCAATATATTTAAATTTTACGTTCCATACTTCTCTGAATCAGTATAATATGCAAAACTATACAGAAACACATTATGTTATACCATTTAATTTTGCAAAAAAAAAATTTCAACAGCAGTTTTATCAAAAAATTATAAACCAAAAAACGTAAAATAAAGAATGTTTACAATGAAAAAAAGATTCTAAAAATTCCACACATTGCAATAAAAAACTTCCATATTCTTTCTTTTTAAGTCTTAAAGCTCTTAATCAGACGTAGAAAACCACGCTGAAGAGAACTATCAGGAGAATTCCAAACGAAATCTTCTTCATTCGAAAATTTTATTTTCAAATAATAAATTCAGATTATCCCTTCATTACTTTTAGATGACATATCACACAACAAAATTTTATGATTGTAAGATCTCAATATGAATTTCAATATGTATCTTTAAAACAGAATAGCTGAATTCTAGTTGAAATTACTCATTTAAAATTAAAAAATACTTACCAAGAAAATGATAAAAATTTATTAATAATCAACACAAATGACACTATTTCAAGTAATTCGGATAATTCTTTATAATTTTCTGAAATTATATAGATGCAGAAATATATAATATTCTATAACTGTTACAGTTCTGTAAGTTCAGAAATCACATTAATTCATTAGAATGAAGTAAGCTATGTTGACTTCTCTTTAATGTGTAATGAACTGAAGACAACAAAAAATTTGTATTTACCGTAGTACACACATCTGTAACAGTATGCGATCACGAAATGGGAAGTTGCGGGTTGCAAGTTGGTTGATAATAGAAAGGTTAAAATTATTGAGAAATTGTTATTCAAATGTTGGGCGCATTCTGTTTCAGAAAGATTTACCAATGTTCTGTGTCGTTTTTTCAAGTTCTTCTGCCTTTTCCTTAGAGAAATTTTGCTTCTTATTTGCTGCTAAAAAATGGCTTCCTAATCTGCCAATGATTCTCATAGAACTAAATGAAGATTTAATAAATAAAAGCCTTAAAATAACCTATCCGCTAGAGGACGTATGTAAGAGTTGCGATCACAAATTGACATTTTAAAGGAGGCAGAAAATTCTTTGGAAATGTTTTTTTACTATACTGTTAAAAGCTACACTTATTTATTTTTTTGCCTCTAGAAAGCTATATTTTACAATAACCTTCCTTCAACATAAATTTAAACAATTTCTATTTTGTTTTGTTAGAACAGAATAGATTATTGAATTATGTACATGTTACAATTATTAATTTTTTTATTTTTGTTGTCTTATAATTCAAAAAATAGCAAAGAAATTTTTTAAAAAAGAATTTAAAATCAGAATGCTGTAAGAAATGTACCAGCATAGTAGATCACCTGTCAGCTCATATTACGAACGCTCCTTCATTGTACAGCTTTTTTCAAATTTTTTATTAGCAAATAATATCCTGCTTTTATATTTCTGGATATTTATTCCACAATTGTTGTGTAGTCACTTTTCAGCAAGCACTGCTTATGTTAATAAGGACAATGGCAAAATATATCAATATGAAAGACTATTTTTTGAAAGAAAAAAAAATATTTGCAATCTTATTATTATAATATTTAATAATAGGAAAGTTATCAAAAATTAACAAGAATCACAAGCTTCAAAGAAATTTCTTAATAGAGAAATTTAAATGCTCAAGAGAAATCGGTTGAATTATATTTGTGAAGCAAATCGCAATAAACTGTTAACCTGAGTTTCCTACAACAATATTAAAAATTAATTTTTGTACACCTTCAATTTTTTCTGTCTCATTTTGATAATAATTTTATTGCATGAGAATTCATAAATCATTTAACCTTTTTTTTTTTGTAAAAGGAACAGAAAAGTACAATTAGAGCTAGAGCCAATCATAGCCCACAAGGCAAGCTTTAACTAAATTTAACGAATAAAAAAACTATTTCTTTTCTTACAATAAAAATATAATGATGGTGTCTGGAGTCCCAGTTTTCCATTGTTGTCCGTGTATTTTTATTGCCAGGAAAATCTTGTGGTAGAATCAAGTTTTTCCTCATTTATTTCAATATGGTTTTGGTTGTCATCTGCATAAATTTGACAAAAATCATAACAATATTGTTTTTCTTTAAATATGTTTTCATCCCTATAAAGTTATTTTCATGTACTACTATTATTATGCGTTTAATTCCAGAGTTTAAAATTAAGAGATTTGTTGTTTGTTTTTTTTAAAATTATTATTATAATGTAATTCTGTGCTACATTTTAAGATAAAGCTATTTAGAAAGGTAGTCTAATCTTATTAACTGTTTTACAATTATTATTTTTTGTGCAAATAACATTAATATATTGTTATAAATTATAGTTAAAGAGATCTGTTAAATGATTTAATCCTTAACCATAGATTTCATGCACAATGAGATGCAAGCAAATAGTACTTAATATATCGCCTGTTTGGTAAGCAAAAATAGCCACTTATTCATGGTTTCGGGTAGGCAGCGTTTCCTTGACAACAAAAATATTAAATTATAACTGTGAACACATTAAATTTAGTTGAACAATAATGTTATAACTATATGTTATTTTTAAATATGATTACTTAGAAAAATTATGATTGTTTACCGATATAACTAAATCTTTATGATACTAATACATAATAATAATTGGATGTGGAAGGTGGTGGCACAAGCATAAGCAAACAGAATTCCTTTTAGTACATAGATGTAATAAGAGGGAGAATTTTAACTTAAGTAGAAAAGCTATTTTCTACCAAGAAATAACAATTATTGTGAAGCGATCATCGAGGTTGGTGAGCGGCAGTGAACAGGAGGCTTAGCCCCCTAGCAGTATGAAAAACTTAAAATTTGTATCTCTTTCAACTTATATCATAAAATGTAACACTTTATACAATGTAAATAAATTATGTCAACTTAAAGAATATTACAACAATAAAAGTTTCTTTTAATTTTAAAATAATAAACAATTGAAATATACATTATTAACATGTGCCATAAAATATACATTTTTCTTTTAAGTGTATAGTGATCAAAGAATATCATCAGTAAAGAAATCAGATTTCTTTTTCAAAACTGCTCTATGAAAAACCAATTCTAGGTATGAATATTTTTCATTATTTGTATTCATTTGAAGCCACTTATTCATGCTTTTGGGTAGGCAGCGTTTCCTTGACAACAACAACTCGATCAGGGCTGGGGCAACACAATCTGACACAAATTCATTTTCTAGAAAGAAAGAAAAAATCACGTAAAAAAAATTTTTTTTTTGCAAATAATTACCAGCATACAAAGTATCATTCATTCATGCAAACAAACTAGCATTGTGAAACGGTTTTTCCGATCCTAAAGCCTATAAATAGATTTTACAATTAATCAAGGTATTTTTATAATGCTTATCGAAATATTCACTATAATATTGTTTCTTCTTTAAAATTTTATATTAAGTAAATTTCTTTTGTTTAAATAAAATTATAATTTATTGTTAATCATACATGTCAATACTTTTATTTTCGTTACTTTTGAAAATACTTTTCCCCTAATGCCTAAATGTTGACTTTTCAATTAATCAAGGTACGAAAAAGGTGGTTAAGAACGACGGTTCAGTGGTCAAGGAAATGAACTGACCCCAGCTTACCAATCTTAAATGTACAAATTACTACAATAATGATTTTGTATCCTATTATATTTTTCTTTCCGTATACTCAGTCTTTTGATATTTTTAGGCAATAAAAAAATCAATGATATTTTGCATCAAAATATATTGGTCTGGATTCTATTCATGACTATTTAGCATTATCAATATTTATATAGTATTTATTTTTTACAATGAAAAGAAGTTAAACACATAAAGAGAAGTGTTTAAGCACTAAGAAGAATATAAAAATTTTTTCATTCATTTTTCAAATTAGCAGTTGACTTTCCATTGGTGAACAGTGCCACCTCATTTTTGGTACATATTAACTGTTTCAAAGAAATAATAAATAAAATTTTGAAAAATTTGATTTAAAAAAAAATATCTAGTAATTTTAGTAAAATATGGTATTTTCGGGTTAGCTGAGCACAAGGAAATTCTACTATTTTTTTTAAAAAAAAATTATTTATTTTATTTAAATTTTTTTTAAAATTTTATGTGTTAAATAAATGAAATTAAAATAAGTTCATGGAAGTCTTCATTTTTTAGCAATTTTTCGTTTTCCAGCTCACCAAAATGTACCTAAAATAACAATGAATAATAACTCTTAAGTAAAATAGTTCAGAAACTTACTGTGATTCTCATTTTCAAATAAATGGAATAGTACATCTTCCGGACTACAATTCTCAGGATAAAAGAAGCATACTTCAGCTATAAATATATATATAAGTATAGATAACATTATAAACAGTATAAATAACATTTCATTAGTTAGTTCTTATTGCTATAAATATTTATTTAAAAGCATATTTTACAGCCTATATAATTTATTTATAAGCATCTAGTTTACATAAAATATGTTGTGGATTGCCCAAATCTGACAGTTTTTTTTAGAGGTATTAGGGATAGAATGAATATTCGTCCACTATTCGGCCCTTTTGTTGAATATTCGGTTGGACGAATGTTGGACCAAATATTTGGCAAAGTATTTATTCTTTTGGGAAAAGTTTGTAATTGGTGATTTATTTCTGAGTCAAAACATTTGGTATTCAAATTATGGAAGATTTTATTTTTGCGGTTCTCTCCATGTACATTATTTAGCTGGCATTACTCAAAACTGGTTGTTCGTAATAAAAGTAAGTATGTAAACCATACTGTTTGTCTTTCTACTGATGCTATGTTTTAATTGAATTGCTTTAGTGCAAATTCTTTAACGTTTTTTTAATTTAAAGAAATTGAAATTTTGCCGCTGTATGTAATAATTGTTAATTTATGGGTATTTTCCCAATTTTTTGAAAAACAATGCAACTCCGGTTTATTCGTCACTCCGCTTAATTCGTCAGTTTTTCAGAGGTCCCAAGAGCGTCGAATTACGAGGTTTGACTGTATTTACTTGATATTTTAATACCTGCTGAGGATAGATTAGGAGAAACATCAGTGTTCAGATTACCAGTTAAATGTATACCGGGTAGTGGCACTACATTATTAAAGCTGTTACATGATTTAGATTCATATTTCATTCAATTAATATCTTTTAAAATACTATTAATTCTCTCTTTAGGCAAGAGTTAAATACTAAACTCAAAGTTTTGGTTGCTCCATACTAAAAAAAAAAAAATTTAAACTCACCATAAAGCTTACAAAATAAAGTCAAGGCCCCTTCGTTTGGTTCAGTTTCACTGTAAAGCTTAATTTTTGGAATAAGATGTTTTTCCACTACATTTTGCTTTGCCCATTCACTCCCTTTGTAGGCAGCAAATATAACAATAGATGATGTAACAAAAAATTCATAAGATCCTAAAAAGAGAACATATTTTAAAATGCACAAAGCATAAGTTAATTTTATAATAAAATCAACATTGCTTAAAAATAATAATACAACCACACAATTTTTTACATAAATATGCCCTTTTATTTGTCAAACGCACTTAGGGTTCTCATAACAAGCTTGCTAATCTTCCATAACCGCTTACACAAATCAAATTGGCTTTGCTCATTCAATACTTTCATCGATTAGACTAATATACTAGCATTATTTATTTATTTTTTGTATAAATTTCTAAAAACAAGTAATTTATGCATCCTGCAATTTATACGCATATATTTCAAATTACATACATTACGATTTCATTTACATACAGTCCAGTGCTACTTGAAATTAACATTTTCAACAAATAAGTCATAGAATTTCCCTATGTACACAATTATAAATTTCAGTCATTGGAGACACAAGAGTTTTAAGTCCTTTATTTTAACTTAAACTTATAAAAAAAAAAAAAACATAGTAACAAAAGTAAAAGTAGAAGCAGTATATTGAGTTCAAAAAAGTTCTGTAAAATCGATGAGAATATTTTTATTCAATTTCCCATGATAAAAAGCATCTCTCTCCTACATTAAAAAAAAGTTTCATTTACATAGATAGAATATTGTTTGTATATGTCTTAGGCAAATGTTCGATGTCTTTTGTTTTTAAATAATAGAACACTAAAAAGGAAGTGCAGGTGAGGGTTTATCTGCAAATGATTTTGGAATAATTTGATTATAGAATGTCACATTAAGAAGTATGTGTCCAGAACAGAAATTCGGAGAGTGATAGCACTGTTCATCAACTCCTGTTGGACACAGTGCACCATAGTTGTTGCAAGTCATATTATTTTAAACTACTTTTAATCATTTCACCAACAGCAGTAATTACATCTAATCATATTATCAACAGCAATAACTACTTCGACTCATTTCATCAATAGCAGCAATAAATTCACAGGAAATCTTCAAGAAAACTTCGAAACTATATACTCGCAGTTGTTTGTCCTAGATATTGTTTGTTATTAACAGCAAACATTTGATTACTAAAGTCATAGACAAAATACATTTAACGTCTGCTACTAAAAATATACTGCTGAACATTGTTTTGTTCTGGAAGCTTTTATCCTAAGCATGACTTAACATTTATGAAGCGTTTCCTAAGTTATACACAATCTGCAGACCTTTATCTTAATTTCTAAGGGGTAACTGCTTCTGAGACTCTAGCATGCATTTCATTTGGGCAACAATTATACTTTATAGTATTAAACATAAAAGAGTATGAATAAAGAAAATATTCTAAATTATAAATTTGATGGAGAAAAAAAAAAATTCCAAATTTAAATTTCATTTTCCAGTACATTATTAAAGCTCAAGTCCTCAAAATTTTATATATTATAAACTTAAAATTCTGGAGAAAAAAAATTTTTCCTCGAGAATTCGCCTCAATTACAAGAGCAAATTTTATTTTATAACAATCATAAACATGTGTTATATTTTAGAATTTTTTTTTTAAATTTCTTTATTGACACTTCTTGATTTCAATGGATTATTGTAGGTGTTTGACCAGCAGTTCTTGAATAACAAATGTGCATTCTCCACTCGTAAACCAAAAATTTATTGGAAGAACCTACATAACTAACATCTATAATAATAATAAAAAAAATAAAGAAACTATAACATTAAAATTGCAAAGCACCAGTTCAAGGTGTTTCATTCAGATATGTTTTAATATTTAATATTAAGTATTATATTCTAAAACCAATCTTTTTCTGAATTTATTTTTTTTAACTTTTAGGTAACATAATTAGGTAACAAACATAAATTTATTTCCCCAGACTTTCCAGATATCTTTGCTGAATTCCTAATATATGTCTATCCTGTGGTCACCGCAATTTTATATTTATGCTTTGTAGTTTCTTCCTGTAATGTGCAAGTAAATTCAGCTATTTTATTTATTTATTGAAAAAAAAAAATAGCTGTCACATTAAAAATTTAATATAAAAAAAAAGAAAAAAGATTTACTTGCGCTTGATGACTTTGCATAGGCAACTTAATCGCCAGCACAAGAGAAATTAAAAAGTACCGGATAAGATTACAAAAGCCATGCTTTTTTACAGTAAATTTGACCACAGTGTCCTAAAGCTTGTCCACTATAAAATGCTTTGCAGTGAAATTAACACAAACTATCCATTATGCATAATATAAATATTTTTATAATTTGAATAAGGGTTCATTAGAGCTTACCTTTCATACATCTTTTTGAAATAGCATCCATCAATACATCAACAATTTCTTCTGTAGGTTCTAAAGGAGAAACTGACATAAATTCTCCCAGAATGTCACTTGACACTTTAAATTGAGAAGGATACATTTGAAATTTCGATCTCAGTTTTTTAGATTTGATGTTGGGGCACTTTTGAGAGCCCAGAGCTATAGCTGAATGGAAAATGACTTCCTCATCTACAAAGAAAAATAATTTCATTTATAACAACTACCAATCAATGAAGAAAAAAAAAATAGTACGTAGTTCAAATTGATTAAGCACTTACAAATTTAAAAATTATAAATGAAAATAGGAGTTTGCATGAAAATAGTGATGAGATTTAGTCGGCATACATGTGCTAGTTCTTAAAATTTCCTGGCGCTATTGATTTAAGACATTCAATTTTGGTATGAGTTCTCATCTACCATGGTGGCCTATGCGGTAATCCCTTTTTTGTTTTGGAGGTTGAACATTTTATTTTTTGCCACTAAGAACTTTTTTTCTTTTTCCGGGTCAATGGCACTTAAAAATTGGCAAGGTGAAAAGCACAAGGGACTGGTAAGATAAGAGCAGGAGAGTGCAACAGAAAACCTCTCTATGCATTCTTTCCCCAAATCAGAAAAGCACAGATGAAGACTCTCAATTTCAAGAAAGCAGAGAAGAAAAATTCAAATCAAAGTTGAAAGAGATTAGTGGGGAAAAAGTTGTCGGAAATTCCAATTAGGAACCGTTGAAGCAATGGTTTTGAGAATATGCAGAATTCTCTGAATTAGTGGAAAATCATAAACCTTACTTAGTTATGAACATAGAGAAAAAGTATGGCTGGAAAGTTGAACTACTTCAAGTTTTCTTAAAAAACTTTTTATTTTTAGCATTGTTTGATAAACTACTGATAAAATAAGGATCTCAAAAATATAAAGTCTCAAAATTCATGTAAACACGCTAAAATATTACATAGCTTTTCAAGAAATTCTTCATTGCCTTAAATTATTTTTAGGAAAATCTTTCTAATGACCATATTGCATATGTGCCTTTAAAATCAGCTTTTACACAAATTATTAAGCTTCACGGAACTCGATTTATATCACTGATAATCAGTAATAAAGTTATATTTTACAAAATTTAAACATATTTTTAATTTGAAAATCAGATTTAGAATCTGAAGAACACTAAAGGTTGATATAAAAAAATTTAAGCATTAAGTTTTACTAAACTGATGTTCAATCATAATTTATCAAATTTGCTCATATAAATTAAATGAAAATAAGCTAGATAACTAAAAAGTAACATACCAGATGCATTATAAGGTACTTCAAACAGACCAGGCCAGACTCCAGCAATGCAGGCGATTATCATTGGAGAAAATTTATGCAAAGTCTTTAACAAATCACAACACAGCGTTAAAGCCATCATTTCCTTTCCTTCTGATTTGCATATTTGAGCATAAACTCTACTCAGAGCACAACAACCTTTCAGTGTTAAAGAGTTCATTCCAAGTAAGAGTTGATGAATATTTACAGTGATGGAATTTAAAAATCCTTTAGAATGAGATAATGTACTGGAATTTATCTTTTGTATAACTAATACAATACACCTTTCTACTGGAGGTAGAAATATGGCGGGATCACGTGTTTCATTGAAAAAACGAATTGGATTTTTATTCACAAGGGAAAGGAATTTCAAGACATAATATATTATCTCACTACTTTTAGTAATGAGTTTTTCATCAATGAGTATATCAAACAGGATCTGCGAGTAATAATTTAAATTATCTTTAGTCAAAACCCTTCTCTCGAGATCAGAAAATACACCAGAAAGTAGCGGTGAAATACTCGCCAACTTATTTAGACGATGATAGTCAATGTATCTCTTCTTTACTGCCATGTATTTGTTAGTATTTGTTTTAACACTCAAATTTCCAAGTGTTGGATCTTTACTAAGTTTTACTGCTTCGGTTGTTTTAGTTTCAAAAGCATTGGTTGAGGTTGGTATCATTTTAACAGTTTCATTTTCACAAAGAGAGATGTTGATATCAGGTCTTACTTGTTTTGTGTTTTTTTCTATGCAATCTTCTAAAATTATTTTTAAAGGTTTGCATTTCATCAAGAGACATTGGCTTTCACCAGAAGCAACACAGTCATTCTTTTTTTCAACATCATGCGACACTACACCATCTGCTAAATTTTTTGCATTTTGTTTCAAACAGTCTACTATAACAATCTTTGGCCATTTACATTTGAGCTTCGGAAGAGAATGACACTGCTGAGGTAAACTGCTCAAGGCATCTGTAAAACAATAACTACTACTTTAATACTAAATAAACTAACATGTATACATGAACAGTGTACAGAGAAAGAAAAATAATTACAGTTAAGGCTTATTTCTAGGTAGGTGTCCACCTCTGGAGGAAAAGTTAAAAGTAAGAAAAAGAACTCCCAGAGTAAAGTTTGATCTAATGATCGATTCGTAACTTACTAGAAGTTACTGTTACTATGGTACAATCTTCATGCTCATGAGATAAACTACACATATATGCTAAGTGTGAATGATAATTTCACCTATGTGATTACTGGGTGTGGCAGAATAGTCCCAATGTAGCTCATGCATGTCTTAAAAGGAGGGGCGTGGGACCAGCTACCCCAACCTGTAAAAGACCCCCAATTTAAAAAACTCAACAATGTGCATATACCGGCTTCATTTTATCCAAATGACCCCAAATAATCTGCAGTAATAGGCTTAGATGGCTGGGCCATCTATAGAGAAGCCCTGAAAATAGCAAACAAGAATTGTCACCTTTGAGAGCCCCTCGAGGGGTTACGTCCCAGAGGTCCCCTACCAGATGGTTCAATCTCATTGAAAATGACTGGAAACCCTAAAGATTGGAAATTGGAAGGGGGTTGCCATGGATGGGAAGAACTGGCGTTTGTCAGCTGTTGAGGCAGACAAGCTGTGGTTGGTGCAAGCCGGATGCGGAATTCTTTTCAACCAGCCATAGCTGGGATCGAACCCGCTTCACCTCATTGGAAGGCGAACGATCTATCAACCCGAGCCATCGCGGCTCTAGTAGAACTATATTCTAACCGTCATTGAACAGCGGACTCAATTTTGAGTTTACGACTACAAACCATATTAACGAACTCATAACTATGTGATTAATCTATAATCAAAAGCTATAAACGAAGGTTAGCACTGCAATTCCCTTCTTTAAATCCTCCACACAAAACTTTATCCTTCTCCTTACTCCATTTAGGTTTTTAAAAAAAAAAAAAAAAAAGATTCACCTTTTTATGAAATTCAACTTTTAAAAAAAATAGTAAAAATTTTTTTAAAAAAATTATGAGTGACAATTTTGAAGGAATTTTATAAGTCATTGAACTGCCGACCCAATTTTTGGGTTTACGACTACTATGTTCAACTCCGTACCCTTGTAACTTTGAACCAATCCAGAAGACAAGGAAACTCCTGGATCAGTACCCCCAGAGGCATGATTTGTTATGGGAACATGGACTTTGAGACTCGACAGATTTAATGTGCATCAGTCACCATTTACTACACTGGAAAAGTTTCCATAAACTAATTAGCAGGGAATAGACATCTTGTAAAATTGCATGCTTCTTAAACAGATGTGCAGAAATTAGAGCCAATCTATGGTTTCTGTATATAGAATGTGAGGACATATGTCTGAACCCCAGATAATTCTCCACTCATAACATTTGCTCCATCTAATACCACAAAAAAAACAAAAAACAAAAAACATTTGCCATATTTATTCCTTTTACCATCATAAATTTCTCTATTGCACTGGTTATTGATTCAGCATAAGTTGAAGCCAGGTTTATCACCCCAAGATATTCTTCTTTGACCATCGGGACTCCTTTTAATTTATAGTAGGCTATTAAACCAAGTTGCCCCCATTGTGATTCATCTGCTAATGTAAAGGAGTCTACTACTTTTAAATTCGTACTAGTAATTTGCTCAAGATAGAGAGAAATTGCACCAACAATATTATCAACAGAAACATTCGACAAATATGTTGCATTCTTGCCACATGCACTTAAATAGGATGGAATGAATGTCTGAATCATCCAGATCTTATCCAATAAACTTCACCAAAGAAACAAAATTTTCTGTTACGGCCCATTGTTTCTATACCATAAAATAAACTATTTTTATGTACTCAGTGACAAGTTTTCTGTTAGCCTCTTTGTTTCTTTCAGAAATTATTTCTGCTCCTTCAATAAATGATTCATGTAACGATTTTCTTGGAGTATTTTTTCCAGTTGCTATTGCTGAAAAATGTTTGGAACTGTCTGGATGTTTATTAATAACTCTACTTGGATGATCGCCAAATTTTACAGCTAGGTAAATCCAAGGTTCATTTTGATAAATAACAGAACATATTTTACACAAAAATCCTTTAGCTGAGATACTGTAATAGAGCCAGTTATAAAGTTTTTCATAACGCACAATATTCAGAGGTAACTTTTCTCGTGCAATTTTCGGCACCAATCTTTTTGGCTCACTAGTCGACGGCAAGTACTCTTCGGTATTTGGGGGCTATAGTTGACCTAGTTCAATATTCGGCGGGGATTGCTCTCACCCTATAATTGGTTGTGGTTGACCTAGTTCAATATTCGGCGGGGATTGCTCTCGTTCAAAAATCGGCTGTGGTTGATCTAGTTTGGTATTTGGCGGCGATTGCTCTCATTCTATAATCGGTGGTGGTTGATCTAGTTCTGTATTCAGCGGCGATTGCTCTCGCTCAATAATCGGTGGTGGTTGCTCTAGCTCAATACTCGACGGTCCGTTTGCTTTAAAAAAAGATTTAATAGCAAGACACCTTGTAGCATCGGTCGGTTTCACTTTCTTTATGTAATAGTCAGTATTTCTAATGCCGCAATTCTGATGTGTATACTTCATGATTTGAAATGGAAACACGTGAGAAAACCAAACAATGCTCTAACTAGCAAGAAAACATGTTTGTGAAATAAATAAAACTTGATGCGACCAGCAACAAACTTTTATGAGACGAAATAAATGTTATCTGCAGAGAAGCTGAACTTTTCTCTCTTCCTGCCACATGCAAAGCCAGAGCACCGACCAATGACGTCATCAGCCTCCGAGCAGTCTGGAAGAGAACAGTGGAGGAGGAGATGGTGGGATGAGAAAAAAGGACAGCTGGTTAAAAGAATCAGAAAGAAGCATCGACCGAAGACAAAACTTAAGTTCATTTACAACCGTCTTTCTCCCCCCCCCAGGAAAGGTTTATTTGATTAACAAAACAATAATGAAGATAAATTTGTGAAGGATTCAATTAAAAGATAAATTATTTTGAGAAGAGTCTGTTTTTAAGTTAAAATATTTTATGACTGGTTCGTTTTTATGAAAAGATATTTTGTGAAGGGTCCATTAACAGGCCCAAATTTCTTCCAAACAGACCCCTGAAGAGTGCAACAGTTTTTATCAACTAATTTTATATTAAAAAAATTTTTTCACATAAAAAATTAACTTGACATTATTAATTAACACTAAAAAAATTAAATGGTACCTACGTTTGTTTAAATGTGAAGTGATTTTTTCATTCAGGAAACAAGTTTCTGAAATCTCAGGTATTGTTGAAGACTGTGCCTCAATATCCATAGCAACCTCTTCATCTGTTGAGTCAATAAATGCTTCCATGAGTCCAGTATCGAATAAACTTTTAGAATTTGAGCTTACGTGTGATCCAGTCTCCAAATCATTAATTTCTACAGCAGCGTTATTAGTTGAACCTGATGAGCAAAAAGGGAGTTTTGTTTTTTCCTTCAACATTTCATTAAAATTGGATTTGCTTTCAGAATTTGATTTTGATCTACATGGATGCTCAAATTCTCTAAGTGAAGGTATAGATGATATATTACTCTGTGTGTCAAGAATAGGATTCGCTCCAGGCTTCAGAATATTATTTTTCACTCTAACATTAGGATTAGCTGAATATAAACCAGTATTTTTATCAGCATTACTTTCCTTGGAAAATAGCTTGTTGAACCTAGAGTTCATTTCTGACGAAGATTTAAATTTAATATTTGTTTCAGTTATGGTGGAAATATCGAGTTCATCATTTGTTTCAAAAGAGCTAGCTGTGTCAACCAATTTACTTTTCTGCAAAGAGGATCGAAACTTTTTAAGAATGTCCGATTTCTTTAATGGGGAATTCAAGGATACATTATGGATGTTCATCTGAGATATCGCAGAGTCATTTATTTGAAATGTAGCAGAGGTACGGACAGATGCTTGGTACTGATTCATTTTTTTAATAAGTTCTGCAGAACATGTAGAAGAATCAGTTTTTAATCTATTAAAGTTATAACCAAAAGTTTCACGGCTAAGTAAATTCTTTACTTCATCTTTGGCTTTGGGTGGTTTAGACTTAGTTCGACTACTTCTTCTCACAGGGACGAATGGCTTGGACAAAATTTCAGAAATATTTTGATGATTTAAAGAGTCTGATTTATGTAAACTGTTTGAGTCCTTATCCGGTTTAGCAAAATATGGTGTTTTTAATTGAACTGACTTTATCATATTTACTTTGCTTTCTTCAGTTTTATCAATATTAGTTGTTAATTTGAATTTAGAATTTATTCTTAAATTATTATTTTTTTGACTTAGTTGATGCAGATCTTTTTGCTCAGGCTCAAGTAAATTGTCTTTCTTTTCAATCAAATTTTCTGCATTTGAGAAAATATTTTTATCATTAGAGTCATCTGAAAGTAAGCATAACCTGTTATTGTTTTTTAAACCTGACGATTGTGAAGAGACAGGGTTTTTTGTGAAAAAGCATTTATGATTTCTTTTTTCATTAATTTGAGGGCTTCTTTTAAAAAGTGATGAGCTCAACCCATTTTCATGCAAATTGGGGTTACAATCATTCGATTTCCTCATTGAAAAGTTTGGAAGTTCTGAAATTTCCTCTGATGTCAGCAATTCTTTTGGAAGAAAAGTTTTACCAGATGAGCAGAACGATGCTTTATATTCTTTCTTCATTTCTTTAACTAATTCAGAAAAATTAGTTGATAATGTTTTTATACTGTTACAGTTAGATTCATAGTTCCCTGGCAGTTTCAAAATTTTTTGGGTAATATTCTTGAAATAGAAGACATCATTTCTATTACTATTAACATTATAACGGGATGACTTTAAACCTAATCTTTTTTTCTCATATTCGTTTCCACCAGGAGGTTTGTAAAATGTATTAGCAGAACTTCTCACGGGTGGTTTATCCTTTTTAGTATAATTTGAAATGTATTGATTAGTATCGTTAATCATTTCTTTAAATAATTTGCCTCTTTTTTCATTTCTATCAGAAATACCAGACTTTTCCCTGAAAGAAGATTCTTGCGACGAAGAGGATCCCTTTACTTCGACAATGTTGAATAACTTTTTAAATTTTGACTTTTTGTGGGGGGAAAACTCTCCCTTCCTTTTCAAAGAAATAGATTTTGTTGACCGTATCAGCTTTTTTGAATTGCACATATTACTGGGATTGCTATCTGAGTGATTAGATATGCAGTCAGTCTTCTGATATTTTTCATTTAACACAATAGGTTGGAAGGCTGTGCTTTCTTCATCATCTTTGGAGTCATTCTCTTTGAATTTATCATCTTGAGGAACTTCAGGAAGTATACCTAAATAATTCATAGATTTATAAACATAGCAAATAACTTAAATCACAAAAAAATTTTTTTAATATCATAAATTTTTATGCAGTAATTATGAAACTAGCAAAATTTGCTTTTTCAGCATAATTTACTTAAAAAAAAAAAAAATCATTTACCTGTTGCAACCTTGTTTCAGATGAGTTGCAATATGCTTAGAGAGGAAATTGTGATATTGTTGTTTGCCTAACAGTGTTATAGCTATCAGTTTTTAAAACCTTATTTGTTTTCACAAAAAATACATGATCATATAACATTAAAATACATACTGAGAATACAAAAATAAATTGTAAGAGCAATAAAATTGAAATTACTTTCGATAAAGATACCTTGTCCAGGCACTGCATGAAAAAATTTACTATTATTATTTTTTTTAAAATTTTAACACACAGACTGTTTTTCATATACATTTAAACATAAATAAATTGGGGTTTGAGAGGACGTTTTAACATCTTATAGTAAAATTGAATTCAGAGGTAATTATTTTTCTCAATATATCAAACAGATTAATTTCTATGCATATATTTTTTACATCTTGAGACACAACTAGCTTGGATGAATTAGCTTGGATGAATAATTTTCTGTGGAACAGTACAATGTAATATTTAAATCAGGCATTTAAAATTTTTTATATGAAACAATTTTAACCAATAATCTCATCGAGTGATTTTGCAGTTACATTGTTTGATTTACTTTTGACAAATAATTCAAAATGTTGTTCGTATTTGTTGTACCTTTAATAGTTGATCTTATGTGATGAACAGACATTTAGAATAAATACTTTTGTAACTATATCTCAAATCAAAACAATGTGTACAAAGTTTTTCAATCAGTGAGGTTTTACTGTAACTGTATAAAAGTGATTTTTTAAACAATCGGTTTTCAGGAATCACGAGGACAGATCGGAAAGAGTGCTATGCCGACCTGAATGTCTTACCTCGGACTCACTATCACCGCCGAAACAGTTTGAGCAGCTCATGCTACTAGATCACCATTTCAGCAAACATGATTGAGTTCTCATAAACCAGAAGCTATACCATACTGGATCATCTATTATATAATATAAGACCTACAGGAGAAATAAATTAATATGAAAAGATTTGTCTATTACAGGAAAAAAAACTACAATACAAAACTTGATCTTAACTGTGTAACTTACATTTCTCTTCAAAAACAAGCACCTGAAATAGAAAATATAAAAAGTTTTAATTTATGACAAATGAGTTTTACAAATCAAAGAAAGTATTTTTAAAATAAGATAAAACTAGTAATGTATAGACCTATATTGATATTTTTTTAAAAATCATAATGGAGACAATTTTCAACTACAAAAAGAAACCTTTAGTTCAAATGAAGGAAATTTATGTTCCACATATATGCCTTATTTTAAGAAAAACAAATTATTTATATTAATCACCCTAAAATAGCATTAGTGATTTTTTCTTCACTTGCAAAATAAATTATGAGCTACAAAATTAGAATTTACTAGACACATTGAAAACAGTCAAATCATTTTTTTTCCAGTCATACTATTTTTTAGCGTTTACTTGATTGATAGTAAATAAAATAAATAATAGGCAAGTAAAGTACAGAGAGAAAAACTAATCTTATTTTGATTTAATCAAACAAGAAGTATCTATAATTGAAATGACTTTTCATTATATACATCACATTAGTCTATAGTTATGAGTACATTAATGATCAGAATCAAAACAAGCTTTATATAAAAACTAACTCTTTATGTGCATACACAAAAAGACTGATACAGTCAATTCGCTATAACTCGAAGTTCGATAACTCGAATCTTACTATAACTCGATTTTTTTATGAGGGCCCGACCATTTTATCTTCAATTTCGTGTTAATTATTCTCGATTACTCGAATTTTACTCCCGTTAACTCGATTTTTTTTGGATCTTTTAAAGCAAGAAAAAAAACCTAGGAGTTGATATCTTGCCCCTTCCTTTGCAACAAACACACACAACGTCTTTCGCACTCTTCATGGAGAAGCTAAAGCTGTCCCTCTTGAAGTATGTGAACAGTGGTTAAATGAAACGTTACCAAATTTACTTCAAGCATACAGTTAAAATGATGCTTTCAATATTGATGAAATGGGTTTATTTTTTAAATGTCTTCCAAATAAGACTATGATGTTTAAGGATGAAAACTGCTCAGGGGGTAAAATGAGCAAGGAACGTTTGACTGTCCTAGTTGGAGGAAATGCGTCTGGGACAGAGAAATTGCCCTTACTTGTTATCGGAAAATACCGAAATCCCCGATGTTTCAAGAATGTAAAAACGTATCCTTTGGATTACAAGTCTAACAAAAAGTTTTGGATGACATCAGTTTTATTTGAAGACTATGTAAGAAAATTGGATCGGAAATTCTTCGCTAAAAAAAGAAAAGTGATACTCTTTATGTATAAATGCACAGCGCATAGTGATCTACCTAATTTGAAAGCAGTAAACTTGCGGTTTCTCCCGCCAAACACAACAGCAAAGTTGCAGCCGATAGACCAGGGTATCATAAAGTGCTTAAACAGTCTTATCGTAAATGTCCTGTCAGAAAAATGATCTTAAATATTGTAAGCATTTGGAAAATTTGTAATTGATAAGCATTTATTAAATAATCCGACAATATTTTGAAAGTCCAAACCGAAACTAACGGTAAGTCGAACTTCCGATATGTCGAAGTTTTTCGTCAGTCCCATCAGATTCGAATTATCGCGAATTCACTGTATTTCTCTAAACAAATATGAAATAGGCAACATCTTTTTATCTGAACGATATAGGTTGAGGCCACGCAAGTTGAAATGATGCATTAAATGCTCTTAATTTCCCTTCCCCATTGAAAATTCCTTTCTACTTTCATTAGACATGTAAGGTTGTGCTATTCTGGAGGAAGTTTCTTCAATCGGTTCTTTAACACGTTTCATGGCATCACATATTCAATAGATATTTGATTGGTGTATTTTTGATTCATTGTAATTCTTTTGAATGCTGTCATAAATTATTTAAATATAATTACATATTACGGTTTTTATTAATGTCACTTCATTATGATAAATATAAATAGTATCTGGGTAGAATATGTAGTAAAAAAACTATCAATATAATTTAAATATTGTTAAAAATTGATTTTATCTTCTTTAAATTCTCATTTATGAAAACTCAGTTTATTAAAAAAGAGTTTTGAAACAAAATCATGTAAAAAACATTAATTCATTCAGCTTCAATTTTCATAGAACATAAATTGTTGGATAACACAGGGTTCTGTCGATGTTTTTTTAAAAGGTATCTACTATGTGAAACTTTATAAATAATTTGTGAAAATTAAAAAATCAACACAACAAGTACACAATACCATTTTAATTAGTATTTTACCAAGTACTAAGCACACTTAGCATATTGAGATAACAGTATACTGAGATAAAATAACAGGTTTTTAATATTAACATACTCAGACAAGTTTTGACGTTGTCCTCGGTAAATACTGAGTAGTTGCAAAAATTAAATATTAATAAGTATAAATAAAGACGAAGATTTTTAGTAATAAAACAAAAGACAAATATATATTCAAACAAATTTATAGCATGCAATAATTTACTACTGCTAACTCAAAAAGTATTTTGTGAAACTACTGTTTTTCGTAAAGTTGAATTTGTGAAAGTACTGTTTGATTGAACGGTGAATATGTGAAGGTACCGCTAAACGGTAGTAAATTTGCCCAGGACAGACCCCTGTAACATAATATTAAAAAAATAACAGTAGTATAATTTAAATCAGGGTGGCCACTCAAAACAGATTTCAAATTTCCCTGATTTTTCCAGGTTTTCCAGGTAAAAATCTTAAAATTTCCAGGTTTGTGTTTTTTTCCTTTTTTCTTATAAAGTGTAGGATGTGTACAAGAAAAGTGCCTGTATTATAAAATATCTTATTCAAAATGTCATTTTTTAAACATATCTTGAAAAAAAATTAATTTCCTTACAAAATATTTTTTTATTATTTTTTAATGTTCTGGTACAACATTAATTTTTAAAAAATTAAGACGTGGAGAAAATAATATGTTCAGCTTGCAGAATATATTGTTTTTATTGAATTTAATGTGTTACTTTAAGTAGCATTTGCTCAAAGTGTACCCACAAAATGACAAAATCAGAATAACCAATAAAACCATGGATAAGTATTGTTTAATATATTTTCATTAAGGAAAAGAAAACCGTTTCAGGTGATTATATATCAATAATTTTTAATAATTACAGTGGCTCCCAAAAGTGCTCACTCACTTATAACTTATATTGAAATAGGAAATAAAAATTCAATAATTAAAATGAATATTTCACAATGGGTATTTGATAATAAGATGTATAATCTATTCTTAGCAAAACTGCACGGAATATTTTAAAAACAAAGCAAAAGTTAATTTTTTAATCAAATAGTAACAAAAATGTTACCCCACGAAAGTCATCGTACATTTAAATGTTTTGGATCTCAGAATTAAAATTATCGTCAATTGCTTTTTTTATTTAATTATTTTTCATTTAATTTTTTATTTCTTTATTAGCAATTTAGTATCAAACCTATAATAGCAAAATTATATTTTAATTTTTGCTTGCTAACTCCGTAATATTTTATTTTATCATTTAAAAATGACTTGTGGTCGTAATAAAATAGACCAAATTTGATTATTTGTCTTCATAAGAGGTAAATCAGTAATGAATATGTTAAATTAGTTTACTGTATTCAATTGAACTGTGCAATATGTGATAAAATGCTTAAAAGAAGGACTTCATATCAGAGATTAAAATTATAAATTTTGTGGAAAAATTCATAAATTTGCAATTGAGTGTTGTAAAAGTTTCTGTAAAAATTTTAAAAAAATATTCTGCACGAATTTCACCTGACAAAAAAAAAACTAGTTACACGTATTTTCAACCTTTAAAAGCTATTGTAGATGCTAAAGGAAACTCCACTAAATGTTAATTTAACGAAAAATTAGATTTACTAATAGACTGAGTTTTTTCTTTAAAAGTGTATGATGACTTTTGTGGGATAAAGTTTTTGTCACTTTTTGATGATTGATTCCTTAAAAATAAACTTTTCCTTTGTTTTTAAAATATTTCATATTGTCATTTAAAATATTTCAGTTTTGTTAAGATTAGAACACATTTTTTATCATTAAATATACATTCTGAAACATTCATTTTAATTAATGGATAGTCTTATTTCATTGAAAGTCATAAGTGTATCAACACTTTTGTGAATCACTGTAATTACAATTCAATATAAAGCTGTACTGTATACTGCATTATACTGTATTTCATCTTACCAGTGCTTTTTATAAAATTCACTGATCATATTTTCCTTAAACCAATATCTCAAGTCAAATTTTTAAATAATGGTATTTTGAAATAGCATTTTTATTTTAAGAGATTCAGTATAAAAAAATAAATGTCAGAAATGTAAAATTGTCTAATTTTTAGTTCTATACTCTATAGAAGAAAAAAAATAGATAAAATTCCTTAAAATTTATACTTTTTTGATTTTTTTTCTTATTTGAAATTAAAACATTTAAAGAATTCCAATCTAAACACACAGTTTTTTAGTTTAGCATAGTTAATTGTTTTTGTTTGAACAACTGGAATCTTGTACAGTGCAGAACTAAAACACTAAGTTTCGTTTTCCTTCTCCTGACTAAACACATATGAATAAAAAAAATTATATTTTATGTATATACATCATTTAATATGTTTCCTATATATTCCTTAGTCATTGTCAGCTTTTTTAGGTAAAAAGAGGAATAGTTTTGAAATATCATCTCTGGAATGCAAGCAACATTTACGAACTTTCGATATTGTGATAACTATACAATTCGAATTTTGAATCAAAAAACTAATATTTACCAACAAAACCGTAAAATTTGATATTAATATATAGTTAGTTCTAAAAAAAACTTTTTTCAAAATAAAAATATACTATAAAAGGTTAAAATGAAATAGAAAAAATTAGCATTAATGCAAGAATTGTAACAATTTGTCGACAAACATTGCTGTTAGTGATGGGGGAAAATGCGTGATTGGTTGGTTTGCTGAGAAAAAATAATTTACAGATTTCTTTGAATGGGAGTTCAAAAGCTTTCAGAAAAAGAGTGCAATATAAAATCTATTATTATTAAATTATAACCAACTAATTTTTAGAGAATTTAATAAAGTTAAAAATACAAAAACATTTTGACTCATTTTGTCAAAATAGAAAAAAATTACCACTCTCAATTGCGAACAAACTTGAATCATTGTGTGAACACGGACAGAATTTAAAAACCGAATCCTAACCCCGTCTTCCACATCCACCATAATCTTTGCCTTTCCTAAATTGCACAGTCTGCATAGAGATCAAAGGTTTCTACATTTGCATGGGAGAATTTTATGTTGTATTCTAGTTTAACAGGGTTATAATGGAGCAAATTTTGATGAAAGCAAAGTAAGTTGATGATATTTTAACTGTTTGGAGATACATTTCCGTCTAAAAAATGTGGGTATAATGGATGAAACAATTTAAATTAAGAAAATTAGCAAATAATTTAAATTAGTGAAATTAAAAAAATATATAAGAAAAAATTTCCAGCTTTTCTTTAAAATTTCCAGGTTTTTATCCATATTTCCCTGATTTTTCCAGGTTTTTTCCAGTATAAAAAAAATTCCCTGATAATTCCAGGTTTTCAAGGTTTTCCAGGTGGGTGGCCACCCTGTAAATACATTTTTTCACTTTGACTCAAACCAATGTTATTTTTTGTGGTTAACAGAGAAAATATATGAATAGAATGTTGATTTATAATTTTGAAAGCATATTTTAAAAAGCTTTCTTTTCAGTACTTAAATTAAGCATTCATCCAATTAAGAAAATTGAATACATTTAAAAAAGTACTAAAAAAATTTATAAGAAATCAAAAAGATTCTTATGTAACAGTTAGTACAAATTGTAAGGCGGTAGAAAAGTATTACAATGAAATTACTGTTTAGTTGATAAAATTGACATTAAGAATGAAGTTACAAACAATTTAACATTGAAAATCGAAACCACCTCATATTAAATATTTATTGAATAAAAATGGTAATACTTATCCAATTACGAATGAACCTAGGGAGATTTTATTCCTCACTCACGGTGGCAAATAAGTTATTGATATGGAATTAGAAAAAAAGAAAAAAAAAGAAACCCAACATAAGAAAAGTATTAAAGTAAAGAAAAGTAACAGTAGAAACATAAGAAAAGTATTAAAAAACTTAAATATTCCTAAAATTTTATTCCTTAATAAACTAATTTTGGTTTTATAAAAAACTGTATTGAGGAATTTTTTGTTATGATCTTTTGCAGTTTTCTTTTCTTATGAATATTTTGTTGGAGAGCCTGGTTTAGAAATTTCAAATGTATCATAGTGAGAAAATGAGTGATGTTCTACGGATTAAATGAATCTTTTACACCCCTCCTAAAGTTTTGATAGTGATTTCTGTTTTGGAAAACAATGATAACTAATTCCTTTTCCTTCAGATTTTTAGAACCAGGTTTTTCAAGTTGCACTGACGCATACATTGAATGGCCTATATATTTATTTTACATTTAATTTCCTCATAAACAAAACCTTTATTTCAAATTTTAACAAAAATCAACAAAAGCTACAAATATGAATGCTATTTTAACACAAATCGAAATGGTTCTTATCCCTTGGAATTCGAGAACATTTGTGTCATTATCATAACGAAACTAAAGCTTACCAAAAAAGAGTGCGGAAAAATAGATTCAAACACAATGTTATTATAATATTTATTACCCAAACAGATTTTAGAAATAAGAAGAAAAAATTCTAAAGCAATTTTGAATTAATACAAGGAAGATTTAATTTAGTAACATATTAAATCTAAACCAAAAATAAGTTTTAACTTTAGTAAATTTTATCGGGGAAAAAAATTGTCTTAAAATGATTTAAAAACATAACAGTATTGAATTATTATGTTATACAAAAGCACAATCTGCTACAAAATTTAGTACAAATTATTTTAACTAATCTTGGTAATTTCTATTTTACAATTGGTCTACTTTTTCTTCAGGATTTTCAGTTTCTTCCACTATCTTGAGAAATATAAATTTTTCTCTGGACGGAACCCAACCTCACATGCAATGTTTCGGGTTAAGTTCTGAAAAAGTATACAGTCAAACCCCGCTATAGTGAACACGGTTTATAGTGAAATCCCGGATATAGTGAACGAATTGTTCGGTCCCGTGCCTTGCTATACACGTGCAATGCTATTTTTTGTGGATATAGTGAACCAAAAAAGTGAGGAAGTTGGATATAATGAACTTTTTTCTGTTTCAACTGATTTTTTTTCTTAATTTTTTTTGTATTAATTTTGAAATTTCTACTTCAAAATAAATACATATACCGATTTTTAAAACGATTTATAGAGGGGAATGTAGCGATAAGCATTTTTTCTTGTTTTCTTCTTTTATCTCACTTTCCCATCCCTAAGCAAACCAAGCAGATGTTTCCAACTCAGGCAGATGATGCACCTGTAAGGTGTCAGTGGGATCAATATGCATTTTCTGTCAGAGGGAATGAGTAATTATTCATTATTGGTCAAAGGGTTGGACACTAATATGTGTTGATAAGGCCCTCATTTCAACTCCTTTTTGCTCTCAGTTCAGTTAAAAAAATCCTGCAAACAAGTGTCTCAAATTTAACTATGGCGAGCAGTAAACGTAAAACGTTCTCCATTGATGATAAAATGATGGGCATAATCAGAAAAAATTGAAAATGGATGCAATCAAGTTGATATTTGCAGGGAATATAAACTATCCAAGTACATATGTAACATATGGAAAAATAGGCAATTAATAATTTCTGCTCATGAAAAAAATTTAGATGGCAGAAAAAAGTTGAAAAAAGCAGATCACAAGGATGTTGAAGAAGCATTACTGAAGTGGTTCACCAATCGAAGTATCTGGACAAATGTCGATGAATTTGCTAAGCGATTTTATGAGACTACTTTTATATGCTCGAATGGCAGGTTAGACAGGTTTAAAAAGCGGAATAATAGCAATTCAGGGAAAATTATCTGATAGTCAAGAAGTGTTTCCATATCTGATGTTAAGGATTGCTCATCAGCTAAAAATGACAAATTTTTTGTTGCACGCAAGACGAAGAGTAATGAAAAATAACGCATTTTTTGCTATTACATAATATTTTTCAGTCATTTATTTGAATAATGTGCAATAAAAGGGAGGAGTTTGGGAGCCATTAGTTAAATTGCTTGAGTAACGGATATAGTGAACTCCCGGTTATAGTGAACAAAAATTTCGGTCCTTTGAAGGTTCACTATAGCGGGGTTTGACTGTATATCTAATTTTTACATTGAAAATATGAAGGAAAACTTTGCTTTATCTTTAACATTAGAACTTGGAATCTATTACTTAATTCAAAAATTTCTATTATAAACTTGAATTGCTAGTTATATGAATATCATTGATAGCTCGAAAAGTGTATAGAAAAAAAGACATCAGAAAGAGAAAACCTTACTGTTTAATAATCTTGAATTTGACCTGTATTTAACACAGCTAGGTAAAAGTGATCAGAAATCTAGTAACCAAGGAGTTTATTACAATCAAACAATGGGCATGTTCTAGGGGGTGAAAACCTAATGATTGGAACCAACTGGGGACTAAAAGCTTCTATTTGGTATTCTACAACAAACTTGAATGTCTTTTGAAAAAAAAAAAAAAAAAACAGAAAATGCCTCAGCAGAAACGGCATTTAGTCTCAGGTAAAATAGTTGCTTTGCTTCACTTTGTTACAGTAAAAATAAAGAGCTTTTTCACTGGAGATATCGAATTATGGATATATTTCGCCAAATCATGATGCGAGATTTTAAAATCGTGTGAATTACGAATTGCTATGTTTGATATAAAAAGTGAGAATATGAATTTAAAAAAATCACAATGTGAGACCCTTTAAATTGTGCAAATATGAACCTTGATGTGTGATTTTTAAATTGTGTTAACATAAAATACATTGTTATAGCATTCATATTCTTCATATTCTATCATTTTATAATTGATAAATATATATATATATATATCAAGTTTTAAATTAGACTGCACATTGAACAATCATCCAGTTAAANAACAGAAAATGCCTCAGCAGAAACGGCATTTAGTCTCAGGTAAAATAGTTGATATAGTAATAGTAATATATCAAGTTTTAAATTAGACTGCACATTGAACAATCATCCAGTTAAAATGAAATACATATAATTAAATTGATAAAAATAATTAAATAACTAAATAAAGGTTTTCCTTACCAATCGTTTCTTTCCATTTGGACTTTTTTCCTCTTCAAGTTCAAAATTGGATATAGGTATAGTGTGATTCTTTTCACCCTCGCCTACACACACACACACATAAAAAAAGAAACATTTAAGTTGTTTTAAGCCAGATCAATTTTTAAAAAAAATCAATATAAAAAAATCAATCAACAAAAAAATCAATTTCAAATAGCATCAAAAATAATAAAAAAAAACAGTACATAATTTATACTATTAATTGGAAATCAATAGATATGAGATAGTGTATGATTGTTATGGAATAAAAAAACTGAACTGATTACACCTTTAAGAGAAAAAAAATCAGACTAATATCAGTAATTATAAAAAGGATTTTGAGCAAATCTAATGAACTGATTACACCTTTAAGAGAAAAAAAATTAGACTAATATCAGTAATTATAAAAAGGATTATGAGCAAATCTAATAAATATCTCCAGGATACCAAAAATTTAAAAAATGAAGTCTTAAAAAAAAGAGAGATAAACAGAAATAAAATATTTTAAGAGCTTCAAAAACTAGCAAATATTTAAAATAGAGAATGAAAAATGATCACTAATTTAGGTTACGCATTTCAATTAAGTGAGCTGCAAAATGCAAACCAATTTTTTTAATTATAGTGATTCTATAACATACCTGCCAACATTAATGAAATAAAATAACAGAAATACTGATAGTGAAATTTTTTAGGCTACAAGTAAAGTTTTGATACATCATACATAATAGAAATATATCATACATAAAAGGTAAGTCAAAAAGAGAAATTCAAAATTGGAAATAATATGAGCACTTACATTTACCACAAGGTAAAAAATATGTATATAAATCTCAATTTAAAGAAGATTTATTTGAACCATTATCTATAATTATTTAAACTATTAACACTCAACAAACTGCAGTGCACTATCTCTTGAGGAATAAGAGAAGTATTTTCGCCATCAGCAATATTTTATGACCAAATTCCAACAAATATGGAGAAATTTGAGTATATACAGGTTAACAGGAGATAGTCGTAAAATACAAAAATACAGGAATCTTCGTTTAAAAAACAGAAGACGTGGCCTGGCATGGCAGGTATGCTATAATTATACAAATATTTTAGGATTATAATATTTCAAACCCTGAGAAAGAGCATCATGCTCTAAATGAAACACAATAATATTCACGGGTAAGTGTGGCACAAAGTGTAAAGCTCTGAAAATTTATCTAGCAAAATATCAATATACACGCTTCAAAATTAACATAATTTTTTTTAAAAATATTTATAATTAAATTGCCTATGAATGAAGAATATCACACCTTTACAGTACCTTATTTAAGAAAAATCTTAGTTCTTACAAGAGCCGCAATGTTGGAATTTTAAAATCCTGTGAACCCGAATCATGATATTGGATTTTAAAATCGCATAAATATGAATAACGCTATTGGAATTTAAAATCGTGACATTGGATTTTTAAATCCCGTGAATACAAGTCATGATTTTTAAACCAAGTGGATATGAATCGCAATGCAAAACTTTTAAATTAAATACGAAAATCTATGTTTGAAATTCAAACCATGCGAATTAGATTTGGTGCAGTTCCAAATATTCAAAATGGCAAAAATTCACTTAACCAAAATAATCAATTGGCGGAAGAATCACCTATATGTAAGCGTCTCGTCAAATTAGCGAAAGTTTAAAAATATGAATTTAAGATTGCGGAATTCCATGAAAATTTTGCAACATTATAAATCTGTAAGCTATTTAAAAGACAAACTCTTAAACAAATAGACAACTCCTCGCCATTTCTATAGTTTTATTCTATTTTTTATCATTTTAATTCAATAATTAAAAAAAAAATTAAAGATATGAATATCAATATGTCAACTTTTTCAGTTTTAAACCCAGATAAAAAAATTTTCAAAGAAAGGACAAAGAAGAAGAAACTGAACATTTACCTTGATTGGACGATACTTGGTGTTCAACCCCTTGCCTGCTAAAATTGAAAACAAAAATATCCATAAATAAGTTATAGCAGTAATTGCACAAATAAAATAATTGAACAATTTAGAATAGAATATGTAACAAAAGAAAAAATTGCAGCTTTGTTTATATAGCAGAATGAAACTAAAATAACATATTTTTGTTCAGCAATAAAATTTTTTATAACTTTGCTTTTTTAAATAAAATCTACAACAATTTGTAAAATTTGAAAAAAAAATTAAAAAACTTATGAACATTCTTTTAGAGCATTTAACTAAGTGTAGTACTAATATCATAATAAAATATTCGATGAATTTTTAAATCAATATTTTTTAAATTAAATAATATAATTTTTTAGAGTTGATTAACATTTAATTAGAGTTGACTTCAATTAATTAACATATTCTACATTATCAGAAAATCCAAATTAAAATAGGATAACATTGTTGTTGTCTTCCACCATTAAGGCAGAAGGGGTGTGATTGTTCTTGTTTTCAAGTGATGGCCCAAGAAATTGAATTTTGCCACAGCTGTTTACAGGGCAGACCCATTCACACATCCATCCAATGATCATAATTTTGACCTGAACCAGAGAACAATCAACCTCCAATTCAGTACCCCAAGAGGTATTGATTTGTTATGGGACCATGGAGGAATTAGTGACTCGACAGTTGTAACATGCATCAGTCACCATTTACTTCACGGGGAGTCCTCAGTCAGCTGGATTCGAACTTACATTCTCACTAATGGATGTCCAGGGCCTTGCCAACTAGGATAATATTTAAAATATATAACAATGAAATACCATTTGATCTAAGATTAGATTTTTGTGTACTAAGATGTAATTGCTACGGTTCTAAGGAATAAACCTTAAACATGTTAATAAGTAGTGCAGAAACTATTTTAAGTTAAGAAATCAGATACACGAAATTCAATTCCTAACACTTATAAATTTTATTTCTGATAAATTCAATCTTTTGTCCCAGAAAATACAATCTTAATAGATTAGAAATACAAGTGCCCTACCAACAACTTTACCTTGACCTTAGTAGGGCTCAAAATTGGCTTAATAGGGATCCTATATGAACATGCACTGAGGAACCAATATTGGGATGGCTAGAATTTTTAATATTGGTACTATATAGGGCCAATATCGACCTATAGGGGCTGAATAATGAATATAATATATCGGGTAAATCGGACAATTCTATATAGGGCTGATATTGGTTGCGAAATAAATGGCTGTAAAATATAGGGTGAATCAGACAGTTCTATATAGGGCTAATATCGGAAAATAAAGGCTTTTTGAACCCTTATTAAGCCAAGATTCCTGAATATTGGTTCAATGAGAGCCCAAATTGTTTTGGTGCTACAGTGGTCTATTAAATATTGTAGAAAACTTACCGTCTGTTCAGATTATCATCTTCCTTTTGGGCACTAACAATACCTTTTAAAGCTTCAAGAACATTCTATAATGAATAAAAAAAAATCACATAAATTAATTTTATTACAAATCTAAGTCATGAAAAGCTCATACATAAAATTCAAAACAGTTTAATTTTTTATAATTGCAAATCGCAGTACATGGTTGTCTTAAATTCGACAGAGTGGTCCATGTGGTAATTTTTACTTCAAATCACAAATTAATTATTTTTTTTAACCATTTAAGGAATGCTAAAATATTTATTTACATCTTACTCCCAGCCCATTTTTATAATTTCAAGTTTCCAAGTATCATAGATTTTGCATAGCTAAACAAAATGTAACAGAAAATTGAACACCTAAAATAGTTTTCCTAAATAAAAAAAAAACTATCAATATTGTTGTTAAACATATATGAGTATTTTGGGAAAACATTGTGCCCAGATGTTTATGTTTATTCAGTTCAGACATTTTAAAAAAAATTTAAATCAGATTTCAAAATTATTATTTTGTTTTACATTTACCAATTACAACTCATGCAAATTGTACTAATAACGCTAAATATTATTTTGAAAAATATCTTAATTAAAATACTTGTAATTTAGAGTTAAAATTATTATGAAATAATCGTTCAATTAATCTCACAATAAATAAAATCATTGTTATTTTTGTTCAAGCCCAACACTCTCATGAACTTGGAAAGATAAAAGCCCATTTTGTCAGTTAGCCATCAAATAAAGAATAAATTAACATATAACAAGAAACATTAAAAATTTTTTTTTTTTAAAAATACTCTGAACAAGACTTTTTTATTATTATAAACTTCAGATTTAATAAGCTTTATAAAGTAATCTACTTGTATCTAAATAAACATAAAATGGGTACAATTTTAACATGCTTATCAAACTAGAAACTATTTTTTTTATGGAAAAAACGTGAAAGCAACAAATTGATCCACATGAAGTCTCTTTTTTTTGTACTTTTTTCAATCTATTAGTCATTTTGAACACCAAATAATAATTTGCAACTAACTTCAGATATAACTTTTAAAATCAATGAAATCAGATCCTAAGGAGTATATTTATAAATTATTTTGAAGAATATTTTTGACTTAAATCAATGATTTCTAAAAATAAAAAAATCAGATGATTTAAATCAATGATTTAGAAAATAAAAAACATGATTTAAATTGCAATTTAAATCACTGGTCAAAATTTTGAGTACTGAACATGCTTATGTTACTTTGCTTGCTGTTTTTTCACCCAAGAAAGCTGTTTGTTTTAAAAGCAATTTAAATTTCTATCTGTCTGTTCAGTATTCTGTTTCAAATATCAGTGAAATGCAATTTAAGATTACTATTCCCCAATGTTAAAATAAAGACTTCATAGAAGACTGTGAAACATTATCACAATAAAGTAAAAACTAGGCATATCATTTTACACATTGTTATACACACTTTTGCTCTGCAATATTTTAGTCGCTTAAATATACTGCTTTTATGTACTTTGATTAAAGTGTAAAGACTGGAAATATAGCATGTCAAAATTATGAGTTTTAAAAAGTCATCTTCTTCTTTTCTTTAAAATATCCTTCTTTAATTACAAAGATAAAACTTATCAATTTTTCAATTAGGTTTACAAATTATATTTAAATACAATATTATTTAATTACATTAAAAATGGACACTTGTGCAAAACAATAAAGAGCTAAATTACAATCATAAAAAATTATTTCACTTTACAACAATCATATTTTTCAGTGAAAGAAAAAAAAAAAAAAAACTACCAATCTTTTTGATTGGTTATGAAAAAGATGGATTAGTATTCATAAAATGTGGAAATAGCTTCAAAATCATATTTTAAAAATATGAACTTTAAAACAATTCAGAAATGTAAGTAATAAATTCAAATAGAAAATAAAATACCTCCAAATGATAAATTTTCTGTTTTAAACTATTTGATTCTTGTTTATTTTCTTGCAGTTTTTCCATCAGACATTTGGAATCCTAATGAATAATAACAATTAATTCTAACAAAATATTGAACAGAAACAATTAAATAATCACATGTCTAATGAAAATAATTAAAATCGATCTAGGATATATTTGAACTGGATCATTTAAGGATGAAAGTGTTTGTTTTATGTTAAAGTTGTAAAAAAGTCAATGCATAAAACTGTTCTTCTTCTTTTCTTTTTTTTTGCAGTTGAACTTTTATTTTAAGAGACATATTGAGCAAAATCAAACACAAAAGAACACAATACAAAGCTTATATATCTACACAGATTTAAAAAAAAAAAAATAGTTGCAAAAAATTATGATTTTCTTTTAATTGTATTTATTTGATTTAAAAAGATTCTTTTACTAAAATTAAATTTTTTGATTTCATTTTTTTTTTTTTAATTTACTAGCCAAAACATCTGATAAGATATATTTATGGTACTTAATAATTATTTTAAAATAATATCATAGCTAATATAGTTAGCATTCCTTACCAAAATGGTTAAAATAATTATTTAAAACTATTCATTGAATAATAAGATCAGAGTTATGTTTTTCAAGCTAACTTGCTAATGAATGTTAAACTATTTATCAATTAGATTACAAATGAAGAGTAAATTAGCTTAGATCAGAAAATATAACTGAAATTTTTTTTAATTTTAAGTTACTACGGTTAATATAGAGAAACTACATCATTAATAAGTTTCCAAGGCATAGAATTTCAAGAAGTATAAAATTATAAAAATGTTTCTTTTTTTGCATGCAAAGTATTTAGTATAAATTTAATAATAGAAAATTATGATTTAAAAGTTTCATAACACTCTTATCTATATTTAGTCGTATTTTTTTAAAAGTCTATTTTGAAATATAATAATTTAAAAGCATATCCTTCTTAATATTTCTTGTCATTATGAAATAAGACTAAAAAAAAAAAAAAAATCACACCCTAAATAATATATTTTTTAATCATATTGCATAAAAAATATTTTGTACTTTAATTAATAATTTAAAAAATCAGTTGATTTAAATCAATGCTTTTTTTAATAAAAGGGATATGAATATAAATAAATATAATTTACATGTATATCTCTTTCACTATTTCGTAGTAAAAAACCTTCACTAATACTAAAATTAAACTTTTATAAAATCAGACTCTAAAGAATGTGTCTATTAACTAAATTATACAAAAAATATTTTATACCTTATAATTAAAAAAACAAAAAACAGCTTGTTTAAATTAATGGTTTTTTCAAAAAATATCAGGTGAATTAAATCATACCAATTCTGACAATAATAAGAAAAAAAAACAACATAATTAGGTGAAACCAAAAATAAAAAGTATTTGGAACCTTGTTATTATTGAAATCTAATACAATAAACTTTGGTAAACAGAAAAATTTAAAGCTATAAAAATATAATACAAATTTTATAATAATCACAAAAATATGAAAACAAATTTATAAATTATGGATGCTTAACATGCAGTCCTTGGAATGGTTTATACAATGACTCTTAGCTTTTAGTCAAAATTCAAAAATTTATAAATTTTTTTCTTTGAAGTTTTCTTATAATAGCTAATAATTTGAGACACAAATTTGAAACACTTTTGGAACTTAACACTTAAAAGAAAAACACATGAATTGTTTATTTTAAAAACAAAAAGTGGATCTTTCTGCGACTGAGGAAAGGAATTATGAGGAGGAGGCGATGATCATAAAAACACAGCAGGTGATGGGTGTGAACAAGTTTTTCATCCCCTGGTTTTTTAAACTCTTTTTCTGACCTCTTACACCACTGTAGTTAGCGATAATAGTAAAGGCCATCAAAAAAGGCAACCTGCAGTTTTATTTAGCTCAAAAAAATAAATAAATCATACGAAATCTTCCACGGTAGTTTCAGTAGATTTAACAAAAAAAGGATTATAAAAACACTCATGTGTCAGATACCAACTTTTATGAAGGTACATGGGACACTTTATTTTATTTGTCGTCTTGCAGTTTCCAATTTTATAAACACAGAATTACAAATATAACTTGGTTAACAGTTAAAGAAATAATAGTTAAAAGCAAAAATCATGAATAAATAACACAAGCACTCAAATTTATCACAGATTTCAATATCAAAAATTATTTCAATAAAAAGAAGAAAAATGATGTATTTACCATTATTTGAAAGAGGATGATGTCGCTCTTTTACTTGCAAAAATGATTCATATAGACTACTGAAAGTACATTGATTATTAAAATATGTATTGAAACTAATTACACATTGAACTAATTAACCAATAATGAAAAATAACTAATGAAATTTAAAACAGCTTAAAAAGATTAATAAAAAATTTTCAGACATGAAAGAAATAAAAATCGTAAAACTCAATGGAAGCATTATCCATTTTAATCTCCGAATGATGCAATGCGAAGAAAAAATTACAAAAGCAGATATAATTATCCCAAAATCACATATTTTAAAATAATTAACAGTATTATAAAATCTTAGAAATTTTTTGCATTAATATCTAGTATACATTAGAAACTTAGCACAATTATGAAAAATTTTGACAATGGCAAAATGATGCTTGTCGCCAAGGCTGAAATGACGCTTTATGATTGCAGTCAAGAATTCATGTAGGCAAAAACATAAAAAAATTTAACCTGCAAATGGGAAATTTATAAATATACCTTGAAAAATGCATATAAATAAAATAAAAAACCCATAGAATCTAGGCAAATCTACAACTGCATATTGCAAACTTTATCGTCATCCCAAATATTGCTAAATCCACAGTAGAAAAGCCACAACATCTTTTTCATTAGTCGCTTAATTACCCATTGCGGTAAGATTAACCCTATTTTTCTTGTGGGCAATCATTGTTTTATAACATTGACCTTCCATTCCTCCCAGAGAGATGATTTGGTACTTACATACTACCACAACCACACCAATTTTAGAAATACCGTGAAAAAACTGGCAACCTGAAAGGTACCAAAGTAGCAACTATAAGCTTCTCCTTTCGAAACACTTTCCTACCTTTCTATGCTCGTTAAAACTGTTTGATGCAATGACAAGTGTAAGTATAGGAATGTGAATATAGGATTAACCAACTAGTGAAAAAGATGTTGTGGCTTTTCTACAAAAATACATTTTGACTTTTGACAGACAGTTGGGAACAGGAAATTGGTTCGAGTGAAACAACATTTATCCAGTTAACAATTGTTTTATTATATTCCTTAATTTATAATTTTTCTTTAGTATTATTTTCCTTAATTTTTTCATTCATTCCAGGGTTGGGTTTTTGACATCAAAAAGTGGTTTTTGACATGACAAGGGTATAATACTGGTTTAAACCGTCAAAAACCCGTCAAAAATGACAAAAACTGAAGTTTGCCAAGAAAATATATAAACTTCAAAACTACCAACAGTTGCCATGCATTAAATTGAAATTTAATTATACTATAGGTAATCAGAACGTTTTAAAATATTTTTTAATTAAAATTAAGGTAAAATAACAGATTTAAAATCTCAGAAATTTATATTCAAATGCATGTGCAGAAAAATTTTGCACAAAAATTTTTTAAATATTTATATTTTAAAAAAAAAAATTTTTTTTTTGATACTTAAGAAAATTAAAAGTTTATTACTATGCATTTTTGACATATAAGGAACATATAACTAATATTTATAAGGAACTTACAAGTTATGTTGTATAAATACAAACTTGATATAAGATACAAGTGTATAAAAAATTTTTTTTAATGTTATACCGAATATCTTTATTATCCAGTATGTTAATTTGAATTTAAAAGTAGTTATATTTGTGAATAATGATAAATATAATTCATATTGTTTATTATATTTATTTATAATTATTACACTTATCATTTTAAAACAATTTTTATCTCTTAATTTTTTTTTCTCCACTTGTATTAAGAATACAAATAATGCATATCTTGAAAGCAAGAAGTAATTATTCAACAGCTGAATATTTAGATATTCAACAAAACTATATAGTATTCAGCAAAATGAAATTCACAAGTATTTGGATAAACTAAATTTTCAGCATAGTAAATGAATAGGCTGAATATACTGTAAATCGACACTAACTACTCTGTGTATTTAACAGAAAGCACTTAAATTTGTATTGTCTTATGTTAAAAAGATTATTAAGAAGATTTAAAAGAATATTAAAAAGATTTTTCTTTAAAAGATGTCTAATGTACAAAACTGCTAATGTTTATCTTTAAAAATGTCTAATTTTTAGTATAATCTATACTATACACTAAATTTGGTTATAAATAAATTTCTTAATAATATCACTGCAGATTTTCAATAACACATGAAAATGAATACATAATATTACAAAAGATGTGAGCTTTCAAAAGTACAAGATTTTGGTTACTATTCAAAATATAAGTGTTTCTTCAAAATTTTAAATTTATTTTTTCTAGAACATATTTAGAAACACTATCCTTTATAAAAAATATATAAATTTTATGTATTAATTAAATTTCACATATGAATACAGGTTTTTGACATTTTCGACATTTTTGACAGTGAGGTTTTTCACGTGACGGTTTAAACCATGGTTTAAACTGTCAAAAACTGTAACATGTCAAAAACCTGCCAACCCTGATTCATTCTCTTATTATATTATTTACAATTGTATTAGTACTTATTAGAGTTAGTTCTGAGGCCATCCATTATTTTTTTCTCACAGCGGCTGTTATGTTACAAGACCAATATGGTTGCGATAATACATTGATTTTAGCAATGAATTTAGTTTTCAATTAATCTCTCTCAACAAAATGATATTCGATTCCAGATCACCACTTCTCCATGCATAGAAAAGTTCATAAAGTAACTCACTCTATGTGCCATTCCTTTGCTCACGATACATAAATTATTAGATACTCTATTGATAAATTCTACTCATATGACGACAATTATCTTCCAGACTATAAGAAACTGTTATAGAAGTATTAGGTTTCTTTTAACTCAAGTGGAAGTAATCTAATTCAAATAATAGTAATAATTTCCAAACTATTTAACAGATTATTTTTTAATAAATGAAATCTAAAATGCAAAATTGTAAAAGAAAATTTAATGGATTTCTAAAGAAATTAGAACAACTTAAGCCTTATTCAATTTTTAATCTAAAGTAGTTGGCTCAAGTGTAGAATTAGTGGGCCCCTTGGTTTGGCAATAATTTTCGTTGCTTTGTTGAAATCCCATTTCTGGTTACCATGATCTACTTCACAGTGTTTTTTTCCAATGGTATCATTTTCGGGTGTTTACCTTTATGCGATTGGTTCCTGGTTTGTTTACAGAGATATTCCTTAATTCGTAAAGTGCCGAAAAAGAGAAGGGTCCCTGAACAATTACCTAATTATGTAAACTATTACCTATTTAAACTATTTACTTATGCAAGGGAATATTTCCATATCGCCATCTGCCACACCAACTACAGTAGCCAAGGTTTCATCCGTGCTGGAAGGTATCTGCTACCTGGGTAAAATCCAGTTTCATAATTTTATGGGGGATATTTCCTTACAAGGTGCCAAATAGATTATAAACTTGATATGTTTTTTTTATAGAAAAAAAAAACATGTAGATATTTGCCCGGGGGAAATTTTCACATCGTGATCTGAGGCAAAATAATCGCCGAGTATCTTTTTCTGGGCAGTGCTCCGCGAAAAACTTAAAAAAAAAAAAAAAAATANACTCTTACAAAAAAATAAATAAATAAATGAATAAAAAAAAAAAAAAAAAAAAAAAACATCTCAGAAAGGGACCAACTTGAAAGGTATAACTCCTAGTCACCCTCCGGCATTGTTTTTTCTTCTTTTTTTAAAAAAAAAACTAGCAAGTTTAAAATCTATTTAGCAATTTTAGTTTGCCTAACAGATCACGATACGGAAATATCCCCACTATGGGTCATACCTTTGGAGTTGGTCCCTTTTTGTGATGTTTTTTTTCTTAGTTTCTGAAGTCTTGCAAGACTTGGCGCTTATTCGGCCACAGATAAAGAGATACGGAAATCTCCCCCAAGATTAATAAGAAAAATATAAAAAATATTTTACCGCAATAACTTTGATCAAGACAACTTTTAACAATTACAGACAGCAAGTACAAAGAGTTCGAATTCCTGACCGCTGACTGAATCGATTTAGGCGGTCTATTTCTTTTCGATTCAAGTCGTGAGTTTTTATTTTGATCATGTTGCCATTTGAAGAATATAAATTTTATTTCATCTTTGTTACAGATGCAGCACTTTTTTTGACAATTTTAAATTTGGCAACATCAACAATAATCAGAAGGAAAAATGTCTGTTCAATTCAAGGAATTTAAAATTAAAGAAATTTAAAAACTTAAGTACCCACAATAAAACAATCGCTTTGCAACAAATCGATGTGTAGATAAAATTCATAGTGAATATACATTCTAGTACTTAACACTACGGTAAATAGTGTATTATATATGTCTGCTTCCCTATTAAACTGCCCATTATTTATTTGCATTTTCTCAGTTAATCGAATTGAATAGTGTATTTAATCAAAGTTCTTAAAAATTAATGTTAACAGTCATGTGGATTCTATTTGTTGTGTTTTAATTTAACGCTTTTATTCTAAGAACTACTGCCTGTTATTTCTTTAACATTTGAAGAAACTTTAATGAAAAATTACTGTGATTTATCATTCATTTTACTTCGTTTTATTTATCTGACAGATAGTTAACATTTAGGTTGTAAGTTCGTGATATTTTTTTAATGATAGCAAACTATTTTCTAGTAAGAGAGATTATTCATATTGATTTAGTTGACTGTTTTTTATGAAAATAGTTATTAAAAGTAGTTATATATTAAATTGACCTAAAGTCTTGCTGTAATTTAGTGAAGCTTACATTATTAAAAACATGTAACCTTTTTTTGAATTTTTGAAAACTTAGCGAATTTTGGTATTTATAAACTTAGCGAATATTGGTATTCATAAACTCAGCAAATTTTGGTATTTATAAACTATTTCTTATTTTAGATGGCTTCAATTACTCAAAAAGGAAGTAGTAAATTGAAGAAAAAACACTTCAAACCTAAATACCAAAAGGCCAAGCTGTTTCGTGCCAATGAACCCTTGATTAGCGTGTTGATGTGGGGAGTGAACCATACTGTATGTTGTTTCTCATATCACTTAGTCTTTTTGTTTCATGTTATATATATATGTATATATATCAGTGTTTTCATTACAGAAAAAAAAAGGGAGAGAATTTCTCACCCTTTCTCAAAAGCAGGGTGAAATTTCAAAAAGTTAAGTGAGATTTCTAAAAATTAAAAAAACACGAATAGACTTGGGAAAAATTTTTTTTTCTTCAATTATAATACATTTTAAACATCTTCTAATTGAATATTTTTACTGCATCATCATATGAAAAATGTTCTATATCTACTTTTTCATCAGCAAGGTATTTGTCCATCTTGCATTCATGCACAAAAAATATTAACGTCTTACATTAAGAAACCTTACCTAAGGTGAGCACGTGGTTGCAGAGAAATGTGTTCTGAAAGGGGTTCCGTGGTGTTTGCACCGGTTCTGAACAATACTGATAAATAGGGAAACTAGATAACAAGGACCGATGTTCAAAATAATGAAAGATCAAGGAAGAAAAGTGAAACAGATTTTATTCAAAATGGCAAAAGACGAAATTTTTCTCGCATTAATAATTTTTTATATTGCGAGAAAAGAAAAAAATATGCGAGATTCCCGCGTTCTCGCTCTGTAGTGAAAACACTGATATATACACAGCTATATATTGTTATATATATGGCTTACCAATTCTTTTATTAGTAATAAACTTTTAAATTTTTATAATAATGGTCTCTCAACTTATAGTTTAAAGTGTTGCATACTTAAAAGCTTTTTGTAAAATCTTCTGATTTTTTTGGACAAAATTATATTATAAGTTTTTTTTTTCATGAATAATTTAAGAGATTAATTTAAGAGCTGTTTGGGTCTAATCAAGGGGAGATTTCCGAATCGTGATCTGTGGCAGAATAATCCCCAAGACTTGGAAACTTCTGGGCAGTGGTCCGCAAGAAACTTTAAAAAAAAGCATCACAGAAAGGGACCAATTCGAAAGGTATAACTTCTAGCCACCCCCAGGCAACCATCTACATGTTCTTCTTTTAAAAAATTTGCAAGTTTAGAATCTATTTGGTACCTTGGTAATTGTAGTTGGCGCGCCAGATTAAGATACGGAAGCATCCCCCTAATCAAGTCCATCATGATTAAAAGTCATATCATTGTTGTTTAATAGTAAAAGTTTGCTTCTTCCATTGTTTGCACTATTTTTATTTTTTAAATTTTTAGATTAATGAGCTGACCCATGTTAATGTTCCTGTCATGTTACTTCCTGATGAATTTAAAGCTTTTAGCAAAATTAAAGTTGATAATCATCACTTTAACAAGTAAGATTTTTCTTCATGAGATTTACTTTCAATTCTGTGAAGAAGGGATAAAATTTAAATACAATGGATCTGTTTCAGGGAGAGCATGCCGAGTCATTTCAAGGTAAAAGAATATTGTCCTTTGGTTTTTCGAAATTTGAGAGAACGATTCAGCATAGATGATGCAGATTATATGGTATGACACATTTATGTGTGCATGTTGTTTGTTACATAAAATCTTTCGTTTTATTTTTTTTTAAAAGAACATACTAGTAATTATGAATGACATTGTTTACAGAACTCACTCACAAAATCACAACCAACAGCTGTTCACTCACCTGGCCGAAGCGGTGCGAGATTTTATCAGTCTTATGACAGATTGTTTATGATTAAAACCTTACAAACAGAAGAAGTAGAGCAGATGCACAGTCTTTTGAAACAATACCATCCAGTAAGTGTTTGGCTCCTGTTTTAATTTTAGAAAAAAGAGTTGCTATTTTAACTAGATCAAAGTTAAAATTTTCATCTAATATTAGAAAAAAATATGAGAGAAAGAGAGTCAAGTAGATTGCTAATAAATCAAAATTATTTCTGAAAATTAATTTTTTTTTTACATGAAACTGTTATTTATTGAATGATTAAAGGTACTACTCCCAGATGAGTCTAAAAAAAAAGTTTTCCGTCTTAACCGACCAATGTCGTCATGCAAGCTACATAAGTGCTTTTACTTTCTTGGTATAATGTAGCCTATGTATGGCTGGGTTGGTTTTGGATCTCAAAAACTGGTTTTTCATTTGACATGTTAAAAAACTGTCGAAATGTGTCATAAACTGTCAAAAACTTGGTGCGAGTTTCTTTTTTGATATTTGAGGCATTTTATTATATGCTAAATCATGCAGAATACTTGCATTATATACTACTATAATTATGGTTTATATTATACACCTATCACTTATAAAAAATGTGACCAAAATTATTGAAACTATTAGGTTTTCTAATGATAAAGTTAATATATTAAGAGCCATATCATAACTATTTGGTGTATATTACTGGTAATAACTATGAGTTATTATAATTAATCAATCAGGTAATAACTATGACTTACTGTAATTATTATCAATCAAAATATTGATTTTTATTCTTTTATCTTACAATTCAGACAGATTTTTTAGATTGGGTAAATTTAAAGTATTTGCCAATAATTGTCTTATCTCCACTTGTATTTTATCTTATTGATTCTCAATATTTGTTATTATTAAATATATTCAGGGGAGCAGAATTTGCCTAACCTCACAAACAAGGCACTGAAGGAAATTCAGGCATCCATGAGGAAATTTTTGGTCTTAAAAACATTCCTACAGAATTTTTTGTTTAAAAATTTGTCGCTTCGCAAAACTTTTTCTTGTTAAAAAAATATATGTCAATTTGTGTATTTATTATAGTTTGAATTCCTTAAGTTTCAAATTGGGACCTTAAACTTAATATAATAAATTGTTACTACTTCAACATATTATGATTTCTATTATTTTTTAACACTTAAGCTTGTTTATTCATGAATCACATAAAATCAAATGAATTATTTTCTTGTATAAACTTTATTTTCCAAAAATATTTTTAAAAATTTATTGTACTAAAAAACTGCTAAAATGTTTGTAAATTTTGATCCAAAAAGAAATTTTGTTCATAGGGAATATTAGGTTCTGAAAATTTTCTGCTCTCTTGCTTATATTTACATGAATAATTGCAATAAATCTAGATTATAATATATTCATTCATTAGTAAACTAATTATGATTTATAAAAATATGAATGAAAATTCTTTAAATGAGTAAATAATTTTTTCAATCAATCAATTCAAGAGTTTATTAAATTATTATTAATATTTCATATAGCTATTAAAAGAACATAATTAAATGATCACTTGTAATTTTATATGTATGTTTATTTATAAATATTTATTATTTATAACAGCTAATGAATTTATTTTGGGTTTTGAGAGGCATGTAAAAAATTATGTCTAAAAGGGATGTTTGACTGATGGATAAAACTGTCAATTGTAAAAAGCTTAGCCAACACTGATATACAAGCAAATATTTTTTTTATTTTTATCTTTGATGCAATTGTCATATTTACAATTAAATAAACAATTTATGTATAGAAAAACTAATGTTATAAATTATTATAATTAAACTTGGTTCCTGTTAAGGGTTAATACTTGAAAGTATTACTTTTAACCTTTCTAAAAAGATCATTCCTTAAACCAAAGTTGAACATTTTCTTAACACTGGGTATAAATACCTTCTGATGTATCTTTAATAGTGTTATTCCTTTCAGAAACTTTTAAAATTCTACAACTTCTTTAAAATACATTCATGGAAGTCATTTTTTTCCCGACAAATTATTTGTTTTGCTAGTCAACCTAATATAATAAACAGTGTTAATTGACTTATGCATTAAAGTGAATACTTTTTCAGTATATTGTAGAGAGGCATGGAAAGACTTTACTACCTCAGTATTTAGGCATGTATAGGCTGACTGTTGAAGGTGCTGAAACCTACGTAGTTGTAATGCGTAACATCTTTACTACTCGACTGAAAATTCACAAAAAATATGATTTAAAGGTATAAAACTTTTATTTTGAAACTTATCACTTGACAAATTGATATATTTTAAATGAATTGAAAATTTTGTTTAAATTTTGTCATCATTGATAAAAGCATAATAACTATACATTCTTATTATAAAAATATAAAAACATATTAAAAATCAGCTAAAGTAATTAGTTTTTGTTTTATGTTAATATTGAAACAGGGTTCATGATTTTTTTTTATTTTTTTTTTTATTGAATTAGACAGATTAAAATTGATTTCTTTTGAAAAAATACTTTTAAGAACTCTATATAGTTAAATGTATATTACTACATTTCTACATTATTAATTCTACTGGTATTTCTTTTTAAATTAACTTTTTAACTTTATTAGTCAAAATTGATTTGATTCATCAGAAAGTTTAATAGTACAAGAGCTGAAATATTACTTCCAAACCCCAACTTTTTATTTAAAAAAAAAACTTACAGCTTTTTTTTAATTATTTTTTTTATTAAGTATTTTTTGAGATGAGAATTGGCATGAAATAATGAAATTTTGTTTTAATCTTAAGTGATGCTGTTTGTACGAGCTTGGGACAATTTTTTTTACTTGTTTCAATGGGTTATACAAGTTTTATCTTTTCTTTCACCACTCAAAAATTTAAAAAATCGTAGAAATTACTTTTTAATCATTGTTTTTCATATTTTAATGATTTGCATCAATGATTTTTTTTAAAGGAAACAAGTCAAGTGTTTAATTTTAATAATTTGGTTTAAATTATTTATTACCTTTTATTAGCCGACCTGAATAGAAAGTTTAAGCTAAATTTGTTTAAGCTAAATCATTAATTCAACCCAAAAAATGATTATCACAGCATAAAGATATATTTTGTGAAAAAATATTTCGAATTTTGATATTTGGAATGCAGAAAAATAAAATTAAAAATGAAGTAATGATGTAAAAACAGTGCTGGGGACTTTTTTTCTAATAATGATTATCTTTTAATTTGTAATGAAATGTCTTATTATTTTTCATATTAAAAAGTTCCTGTTTTTAGGGAAATTAGTATTTAAAAATTGAAAAATTAAAATATTTTCATTTATTGCTTATTTAAGGGTTCAACTGTTGACAGAGAAGCCAGTGATAAAGAAAAGGTAAAATTTAAATATGTTCTTTCCTGACTTGTGTAGTTGCTCTTTAATCAATTTAATTGTGTGATATTATTCAATAAATTGCTACACCAGATTACTTATTGTATAAAGCTTTTGTATCACATATGATTTCATAAACTTTAACATAGTCAACATTATATTAATATCATTGATATTATTTTTTATATTTTGTCTCAAGAAGTTAGTTTTGTAAATCACTTATATTCAAAGATTATAATTTGGAAAGTCTAGTTTCTTGAATAAATAATGAGTGCTGGGGCATTTTTAAAAGCAGGTATATAACTTATAGGAAAAGCATCAAATTTATTTATAATTCTACCCAAAAAAAATTGAATCTCTTACTGGATTTTCTGTTAAATAAGTTTTCATATCAACGGCGTCATGATTAATAAAGATCACTATGAGAATAATATTGAGGAAAAATTTCTCGTTTCAAAGTGAAAAAATACTTAACATATGTGTTACTAGAAATAAAGATGGTAAAAGTGCAAGGAGCTTAAAAAAGAAAAATGTTTTGTACCTTTAAAGGGAAGATATAAATTTTAATAAGATTGAAACATGAAAGAATTTGTCAGAAGAGAGTGCGGTCGCACAATTTAAACTTATCGTGGTATTTGCAGAAGTTTTGTATCTAAACTAAAAGCTTTGTTTTGACTTTAGACTTATGTTTCATTTTGTGCAGGAAAAGGATATTCCTGTTTTAAAAGATAATGACTTTGTCAAAGACGGATGCAAGATGAACATAGGGTCAGAAGCTAAAGAAAAATTACTAGAAACTCTAAATGCTGATGTCACAGTAAGTAACAACTTTTGTATTTTATATCAAATTATAAGTGTAGCAGTATAATTTCGAAATATATATTGTTATAATAGGTAATTTATATTGTTATACTAGTATTATAATTATTCGTTATAATAGTATTATATGTTGTATTATAATTATTTGTTATAATAGTATTATATGTTGTAATATTATTCATTATAATAGTATTTTGTTATAATAGTAAATATATATTGTTATAATAGTATTGTTGCACACCTTGTGTAAGATTTTAAGGTGCTCATATTATTAAAAAAACCTGTTATAACCTTAAAAACTTATCACTTTGTAATTTTGCAGCTGTAAGATTGTTATTCTTAATATTGCAAAGGTATCTTCAATTTTTTCCTTATGCATTGAGATGCTTGCAAAAAAAAGAAAGAAAGAAAAATTCTATGCATGCTTCAATATTTATAAAAACGAATTCTTTACTATAATTTTTTTTCCGCTCCCCTAAACAGTTCTAAAGTTATAAAATAATTCTCTTAGTATTTTCATTATTTTGTCCAACCCCCGTACATATGGACAGTTTTTGATAAGATGCTGTAATTTAAATATTAGTTAAGATTTTTCAATATTGTATGAATGTTCATATCTTTAATTATAAATTCCAGACATTGGGTAAGTACAATAATTGTAACTAAAGTATTTCACAATATTAATCAGCTTCATTCAGTAAAGATATTTTGAACATTTTATCTTATTCCATTTGTTTAACTTTTTTATCATTAACCCCTTAACGATCGGTTAATTTTCAAGAAAACGATCATAAAAGTGCCTATTTTTTTAACTTTTGTATTTATATTACGTATTTGATTAGTGCTGCAACTAGTTTGAAATAAACTATCTACAATTATCTTAAAAATATCCTGTTACTGCCATCAGGTGTGTAAAATGAGAAATAAAATGTTTTCCGGGCAAAGGAAATGAATTAGTTTTATTCTTATTGGCACATTACTACTGAGCACTCCAGCCTGTCAATATCACGGGAGCAAGAAGGAGGAGGTTAAACAATAACAGCTAGAGTTTAAAACAATTTGCGACCGTGACTTGGGGGATTTGTTTGGCTCACTCTCTGTGTCTGTCTCTCTCTCTTTTTTTGTAATTGTAAAATGATTATGAAATATGACTGTAATAAAATGTTGCACATATATAATTTATGAAAAGCAATTTTTAGTTTAGCCTTTAATATTCCAACAATTTTTCTTACGCAATTAATTGTTATGATGACTGTTAAGTATAACTGAACTTAATTTTTTATTGAAGATTTTTTGTTCTGTAAATAAGAATGTTTGTTTGATGTTCTGTCTGAAGAAATTGATAATGTATTGGTCTGAAGTTTTCCACTTTTATTAGTTCCTTGCTAGCATGAATTTGATGGATTACTCAGTATGTCTTGGAATACATGACAGTGAGCGTAGTGAGCAGGATGCTCTAGAGAAAGAGAAACCTGTGAGCTCTGAGGGGGAAGGCAGTGGACCAGAAAATGGATCTGCTGAAGATGAAGATTCTGCTGGCAGTGGGGTCGGAGGATCAGTGCCTACACCCCCAGATTCACCTCAAGCACTCAGAGAAGAGATGGCCAATGGGGATGTGTTCAACCCAACCCGAGACATCTATGCAACACCAAGTGCCGAAAGTAAGAATCATTTGATTTTTTCCCTTGACTTATGTATGAAGGCAATTTATCCTGTGGCAGAATTTTTTGAGCTTTCTGTGACAATTTTCTCTAGTACTGTTTAATATGTAGCTTTCTGAAAGAAATTTTTAATAGTAGTAAATATATATGTTAATATTTTAACGTAACAGAAGAGCTTTCTGTTTATAGAAAAAAATAAGCATTCATGTATAGAAGATAACAGTTTATAAATTCTTTAATTATAATATAAGACTTTTTTTATTTTTTTGAATCTACATATAAAGGAATACATATTATATCTAATATTATTGGCGATATTCTCCTGTTATAAAAAAGATTTTTGTGTAGTTAAATTTTTGCAATTAGGAAATGATTTCTTATAATATCAATCTTAAATTCTAGCTAAAGCCAAGTCATTGCAGAATTGTTTTATTCTCAAAGTAAAGTTTAAAAAAAAAAAATTATGAACGTTTCTTCCACCTCCAATATGTAAGAAAGGTATTTTTCGATGATAATTCTGTTGAAAGCAAAATAAAGCATAAAGCAGTTGTTTCGTAGTGGCGATCCTCAACATAGGTAATATTTTCTGCCGATTGTAGTGAAAATGCTCAAAGTTTTTCAACCGCCAACATAAAATTTTAAAATATTTCATGAATATTCTAGAGTCTGTTAAATAAAGGTTTGGTTGGATTGAAATATTTGAGTTATTCTTTTGAAAAATATGTTAATTGAGTTGCATTAAGGATACAACTTCTAATTATTAGCTAATAGAAAGGTTTTCTTGTATTTTAGATGCTCCGAAAAAAGAGCTCTACTTTTTGGCTTTAGTTGATGTTCTTACCCATTATGGCGTAAAAAAGAGAACAGCCCAAGCAGCCAAAGCAGTTAAACATGGTACCAATGCTGAGATCTCAACAGTGCATCCAGAACAGTATGCTAAGCGTCTTCTTGATTTTATGTCCAAAGCTATGGAGTGAAGACAACTTCTGTGAGATTGATTATATGAGACATAGAAATACATCAGGTGGTGCCATACACCACGCTGTGTTCATGACACACATAGCTTTTGCTCTTTGATGTTGTGGCAATTCACACTCTTTAAACTGTAGAACAGTTCCAAGCATTTCAATGCACTAACGTTATGTTCTGTTCCGATTTTTGTTTGAATGTGCTATGCATGAACTCTTTAAGTTCCTGTTTACAAGTTTTTTTTTTACATCTCTCTAAATATTTTGGCAGTATCATTCAAAAGTTAAAAATACTCAAAATGAATCAAAATTTTTTAGATTACTTGTTTTATATTGTTAAATGTGAAAATTTTATTTCAAACATTTGTTTTTAACTGAAACTTTTTTTTCTATCGGGACTGTCTGTTTATATATTTTCAAAAATAATAGTAAAATTAGTATTATGTTTATTTGCCAAATACAACTTTTCCCTTCTCAAAGTTTCATTTCAAAGTACGTTTATATTGTAATTCAAGAAAATTAAATTTTAAGTGAATATAATTCATATTCTAATTTTCCTTAATTTCTGTTTCATAATTTTACGAGAAAATTTAATTTCTTGTAAAGAGACTACATGCATTTGAATATTTAAAATTTTACTCTCTCTCACACACTTCTGTTCTATAGAAAAATTAATGGAAAAAAAATAAATTGTATTATGATTGTTTATTGATCTGAACATTTTTATTATAAGTGTTTCAAATTTATTTTAATTGTGTATAAATCAATTTCATTTTGCTGTGTTTTGTTGCTCTGTCATTGCTGAGAGAATTAAGGGAATCGTTTTTAGAGAGTTGTTTAAAAAGGAAAGAATTCTCTTTGCTGTGAAAGTATCAAATCATTCAAAATTATTTATATCCTTAAAAATTTTTAACCAGTGATGTGGCTGTGTGCAAATAGTTTTTTTTTTTTAAATAATAATTATGTTGGAAAAATTACTATCACTCATTCAAATTTTTATTTAACTAGGCATTATTCAATGGTTAAATAAATATTTTAAAAACATATTTTGTTAAAATCTTTTTTTTGAAATATAAATAATGGAGAGTAAAAATTATCAACTTTTATCTGACATCCGGAACTGATTATTTTGGAGCTACAACAGTGATATAGCAATGCACAAGTATTTATAGACACTGATATGTTAGATCATTCAAAACAAAAAGAAATCTTTTTTGATATATATATACATATTCTTGCTGTACTTGTCAAGCATTCTATTGTGATATATATTGTATATAAAGCTTTAAAAGTCATTTATGTGTTTCTTTTTCTGTGTTCATGTTCTACTTGATGTTTTTTTAAAAAAAAAACTAAATTCTAGTTCATGTTATACTCCGTAATTTTAACCTTTAAACAACTTCATGTACCTTGTAATCTTGCAATTCTAAAATCCAAAAAGCCGATTTTTTTTTTTTTTTTTGCCATCATGCGCCACTCTTGATGCGAAAGAAACTAGCTAATTTTATTTTTAACTGAAAAGCCTGAGACAGAAAGTCTATTCCTCCAAATTGCATAGACAGAAAGGAGAAAGATTAATTTCTTTTCTTTTTTTTTCTTTCTTTATGCAATGTTAACATTGGACTATGATTGGTTGAAATCCCAGAGGACCCACTAAAGGAAATGTGGATCCTTTAAATTTTAAGTGAAAACTGTATAATTGCAACTTATTTTTTATTTAAATATTTTTTTCCCTTCATATATTTATTTCCTGTTTTTCCTCATTGAACCAGAGAATAAATAAAATCTGATCAATTACGCGAGTAGCCACCCTCATTGATAATGACGTTCTTAAGTGTATTTTATCTTACTGTTGAAAGTATAACTAAAATATAAAATGTGTATAGTTTGGTTTTGAAATGAATAGGAATTCAATGTTAAAAATAGTTTTTCTTCAAATAATGTATTTATTAATCAGTGTACGAATGAAGACTCTATGATCTAAGCTTTATAATGTTTTTTAAGATCTTTTTTTATTGTAGGATTGTGACATACAAATGCTTATGAATGTTTGAAAAAAGTTTTAATTTGGATTATTCTAAATAACAGCAATTAATAAATTTATAAAAATAGATTGTAGTGGTTAAAAAATATTTAATTGCTTTTAAAATAAATAAAAAATCAAGTAAATGATATATATTATAATGAAAATAAAGTAGAACTGGTCAAACTCTTAAAATCTGCTACGGGTAGTGAAACCTCCATGGCATTTATTTGTTTTAGTTGAAAGCTGTTGTTTCTCTAATGATAGAGTATGATAAGTACACATGCATACATATATAATATATATATATATGAGTGTGTGAATGCAGAGGTACAAAGAGATACAGTACTCATATATATTATTATTATTAAAATTGACTTTTGAGTTTGGCAGAATGGCTTATAGTGCTGGCTGATGTTAGAACTTTAATATTGTGCTACATTGTCATAATATCTATATTTTTCCAACTTAATTAATTCAGATTATTTTTCTGTTGCACTATATTTTTCGTATCCAAATCAATTTAAATATAAATTTTTTCCGAAATTTTCTTTAAAAATTTTAACTATCATAATTAAAAAATACTAGCGCACTAGGTAACGATATTAATAATGATACTATTAGCAATATCTTATTGATCCTAATTTTACAGTATTCCATATTTATTGTCAAGGCTAACATTTTGAAAATTTAAAACCTGACAACATGTTTTAAAATAACTATATTTTATGAATGATAGGTTGTGTAACAAGAGTATTTTCATCCTTTCAGATGTGATATTGTTTTTAAGATTTGTTTGTAACTCACATTTTGACTCTGCTTTTCAGTTTATTATCTTACGTTTATTTGCTGTTGAACAAATCTTATGTTGAAAAATAGCCGATTATGAAAGATGTGAAGTAGTCTTGCATTTTAATTTTGTGATAATACTCTTAATTTGTAAAATTACACATACATAGAGGTTTTAACAAAAATTTGAATGAATTGTATGCAGGTTAGCAACTTATTTTCTAAAGAAATGTCATGTTATTTTATGCCATAACAAAACAGAATTTTTTTTTCCATCTCAGAAACTGAAAATTCAAATTAAAATAACTGATTTTTTTTGTAACAAATAATTGTTTAAATTTTTCATTTATGGAAATATTTTTAATTTTAAAATTTCGATGTTAAACAAATCAAAATGCAGTGTATCTAGCATATTTGAAAAATTGATTTTTTTTTTAAATTTTGAATTTTTGCTATTGAATTAATTGACACATTATGTAAATTGTACAATTTTGAGAATTAAATAGTTTTCCACTTTAGAACTTAGGATATTGAATAAAATAAAACATAATAATGCACTTTACACAATAATAACGTGTACATTGTGCCAAATTTGAAAGCTAATTTTACTATATTTCTGATAAATGATAAGTGCAAAATTGTTTCAACCTTTAGCATTCGATGGAAACATCAGTGTTTGCATTCCTTCCTCATTTAAGAGTTCTGTATTTAAGTGTATTAAACCATTATACATATTTTATTCATCTTAATTTTTAAATGTTAGATTTCATACAATTTTGTTCAAATATAGAAATAGCTCAAATGAGTAATTTCAAGATGCTTTTTTACATAGTGAATGAGTGGTTTTGCTATGAAAGTAATGTGTCTAGGATCAGTGACACTTATTACTGCAGATCATACTTTTTAATCACACTGAATAGTTAAATTGTTTCAAAAGGTATCTTTGAATCATAATTTTATATTGTATTTTATTTTTTAAATAGTTTTGATGGTGGTGTAACTTTGCATTTGTCCTCACACTCTACCATTTTTCATTATAAATTTAATTTCTTAACTTAATTTAGTGGATTTTTTTAATGTGAAATTCCTTTAATGCATGTTTAGCACTAACTATGCATGTACCAATCAAATTATATTTCTGATAGTGCATTTGAAATGTTCTACTTTTTTGTTTATATTCATAAATTAATGTAACAAGTTTTTTTTGTTAAAGAATTTTTCTTTGCATTTAGAAACAAAAGAAAAATTCTTTAATAGGGTCTTACGATTACTTGTAAAATTTTTTTTCTTCTGATATTTGAATAACCTCTAATTTTTAGTACAATATACTCTCGATATCTCGAAAACCCTGTTATGTGAAGGGAAAGAAAAACATTTCCCTTGACATTATATGTTTACCTAATTTTAATATGAATTCCTATGTCAGAGTTTCTTCTCAAAGCTTATTGTAAATCAATTCTTTTCTATTTAATGCATAATTCTTACTTATAAAAATAAAATTATCATTGTTGTATTTAGACTTATAGTCAATTGTCATTAAATCCATATTTATCAGTAGTTCTTTTCACATGTCATGATTCTAATTTTTAGAGTAATATTTTAGAATATATTTTTCTACTTTTTATGAAGTTACTTAGTTCTGAACTTCTTATCTCATAAAACTCAGTGTCTCAAAATTTTTTTTAGCATCCCTTCAATTTTGAGATATTGAGAGAATACTGTATTTATTTTTTGCATTCAGATTAACGATATCTTCAATTTCTTATAATTTTTCATACTCTGAGTGTTGATCTTCATGAAATTTGTATTGGAAATGACTACCCTTAATGTATATTTTTAGATACAAAGTGAAGTAAAAAACAAAAAAACAGTAAGAGTTCCAAATTAATATTTACACGACGAAGCAAAAATGCTGTTGAAAATTAAAATACTAGAGAGGAAGGCAGGAGCAAAAGCCAATTTCATTACTTGATGAAACTTAAAGATGTTTCCAATAATAGTCTTTCAACTCCCCCCTATTTCCTTCCACAATAAAATAAGTTTTTTGATGTTTTCAGTGCTGCCTTCCTTAGCTGTGATTTGTTAGTTTTCGATAGTGTTTTTGTTACTTTCTTGATAAAATGTATGACATTGACCAAATCTGAAACGATTTTTTTAAACTTTACTATTAGACTTTTTATATGAGCTAAATTTTTTAACAAACTCCTAATTTATTGCATATTTAAATTTGTTTGCATTTTTAAGTGGACTTTAAATTTCAAAGTTTTTGCTTATCGGGGTCTGTGAAAGTGCACACTTGTCATAAAATTTTTGACAGCATCCTAGATTTTAAAGAGTAATCCATTTTTTCTGTGTGTTTATTATTTTTTTTTCTATCTTGCTGTACTCTTTAAATATACTTATAGATTTTAAAAAGAAGAAACTGCATTTAAATAGTTTAAAAAAACGTGTTCTGTGGTTTTGTGTAACAAAACTGAATTGTAAAAATAGAAATACTGTTGAATGTAGAAAAGCAGTAGTTGTGATGTTGAACATCTGTATTAATTTGTACATTATTTTATTGCAATAAACTTGTTCGGTGTGGTTTTCTAGTTTAGTTAGCTTTATTAAACTTTAAAGGTTTAATTATTACTGCACCATAAGTTTTCATATTAAATTTGAAGCAGTAATTGAGGCGCTTATGGTGAAAATGTATTGTAATATTTTTAAAGAAAATCAGCATTTTTAATTCAGTATACCTCCTGGAAAAAAGTATTCTATCACTCAAGGGTGCGTAGTTTAAAAAAAAAAATGCTTAAAAGTGCTTTTATCGTTGGTGTTTAAAAGGTGCTTTATTTTTCCTTTTCCAAAGTAAGATTTTTTTCTCTTTACTATGCCGATTTTCGCCACGAATTACGCAAACAGCGAGCTTGCAAAGATTTTCCTCACGTTATTAAAGTTATTCTGGTATATTGGGTTGAATGTAGTGGAACAAACAGCCTAAACGAAATGTTAATTATACTCCCAAAGAATTAGGAAAGAAATTTACGAGAAATATTTCGATAGAATTGAACACTGGAATTAGGAATTATTTCTTAAATGATGGAAGTCCTTGGACCAATAATTCTTAGTATTAAACAAGAAAACGTGCTCAATAGAGATCAATTTAGGTATGTAAATACTCCTTCAGAAACATTCTTCTGACAGAAATTGAAGCATTTTGAGCATTTAATTGAATAAAAAAATATTTAATATTATAGATCATGATGGTAAATTTACTGTATGCGTGACTCTTAATGGCAAGTGGTAGATACTTCAAAGGCACAGTGCGTCAAAAAAAAACTGGACCACCCTGAATAGCTTTTGATCTAATGATCAGATCTTAGGATTCGATCTTAATGGCTCGGCTAGTAGCAATTTGGGAAACATGGGCCCATTAGTTTGATCAGGAGAGCTCTCCTAAGTTTGGACACCTTAATGTGAATTTTACCTTTTGCGTATTTCGCTATATCGCGAGAATTTTTTTAGCGAATTGAAAAAATAATTGCACACAATTATAAAATTCGTTTTATTCCATGCTAAAAATAAGCATAAGAAAGTCATATGTTTAAAATTTGATTTCTCGGGAACTATTCGACCTATTTTGCTCAAATTTTGCCTTGTAAAATTATGTAAAAATTTATATGCTGTACAGTTCAAAATTTTTTCTAAAACCATTATTAAATAATGTAACAAAAAATAATAACTATTCACTAAAAAATTTTTTGCATCGAATTATCTTTGAATAAACGAATTTTATAATTGTGTGAATATTTTTGTTTGTTTTCAATTCGCTTATTAAGTTCTTGAGCTATAACGAAATACGCATAAAGTAAAATTAACATTAAGGGATGAAAACTTGGATAGCTGTAGTGGTGTTTACCTTTTCTATTAATGTTTGCTGATTTGAAATCATGTCCCTTCCACGGAATTCTTAGGTTTCGCGAACACCATTTGGAAACTATTGGTCTACGGAACACTTTCAATGACTTATGATGTTATGATTAGCTCTTCAAATGTCAAGATGCGGTGTTATTAATTCGAAGACCTAATCCTGACTATACTGATGGATTAGTACAGACGATATTATAAATCACAATGTTTTTTTTGACTAAACATAGATTATTATTTTTTGTTGTTGACGTATTTGGATTTCCGTCCCTTAAAAAATATGGTTCCAGTATTTTGTTAAGAGTTGAGTGGTCGAAAGCTGACTATTAGAATCTCTTTCAAATTTCAGCAGATGAATTTTAGATGTTTTTTATTTCGTCTTCCTCATAAGTGATTCGTGCTTTCATGCATTTTCGGTTCTTTAATATTGACTGGCATTCTCTTAGTGTATGTACTTTTTGGAACCTTTATTTTTGAAAAAGATTTGATATGAAGGGGGGAGCCAGCCATGGTGGTAGCTCACCTCCCAATGATGTGTCCCGGATTTTAATCCCAACGATGGCTGGTCGATACGAATTTCTCACCCTGTTAACATCGACCTCAGAGCAGACGGAAAATATCCTCAGTGGTAGATATTTCATGGGTTAGAGTCTCCTTGACGTTAGGCTAACCGTGGGAGATTTTCGTGGTTTTCTCTATGTAACGCAATTGNCAGAAAATTACTTTTGTGGGGGTCGATGGAGATTTCGAAAATTTATATAGGGGTCGAAGATCGAAAAAGTTTGGCGACCCCTGGGTTAGAGTCTCCTTGACGTTAGGCTAACCGTGGGAGATTTTCGTGGTTTTCCTCTATGAAACGCAATTGCGGGTTAGTTTCATCATTAAAAACAAACAGTTTACATATATATGAAGACGTATCATTACCAAACACTGGGTATGTCAGTCTCATTGGTACGAGTGTTCGCAGTCACTTTACGGAAAGTTTCAAATCAAGTAAAAGTGGTGAATTCGTTTTTTTTTTTTTTAAAAAACTAAATACAGATTTTTATATATTATTAGATTTAATAATTTTTTTTAAATAAAACTAAAAAAAACTAAATACATATATATGAAGAAAAGTTTTTTTAAAAAAAACTTTTACAGAAGTTTATTCGAAATGTTGAAAAAAAAAAAAACCATATACTATGCACTATTAAAGTAATAATTTAATTCGGAGAACTAAGTTTCATTGAGTAACGCCGTAATAAAAAAAAAATCCGGAAATAATTACTTTCTCCAGTTTCTAAACAGCGGAAATAATCATACACCATGGCTTCCTCTTCATACCACGTGATTATTTATCAGATCATTCTATTTTAAAACATACTGCGAAACATTTTATTGGAAAAAATGTTCATTATGATATTTGTTATTCTCCTGTTTAGTTTATTAGTTGCACCTTTCAAAGCTGACGATTCAGTGAGTGGTGAGTCATTTTTTACATGCGGATATAGTTTTTTGATTATTTCCATTTCAAATGGGAACCTATATTTAGATCTTTGTCATTCAATGTTCGTAAGAATGTATTTAGTTTGTCCCCCCCCCCCGAAAAAATATCAAATTTTCTTTTCATTGAATCATTCGAAAATTTAACATTTACAATTTAATATTTTATTTTATAATCGTCGTTGAACAGCCAACCCAATTTTGAGTTCACGACTACCAATATTCAAATCCGTGGCCTTGTAATTTTGAACTCAATCCAGAAGACATGGGAACTCCTGGATCAAGTATTGGGAGAAACTAGTCTTCGTTGAGGACTTTCTTGAGGAAATTAACCCATATTTGCGTTACATAGCGAGAAAAACCACGAATACCTGCCACGGTTAGCCCGATGGTAAGGGGACTCTAATCCATGATTCATCTACCACTGAGTATATTTTACGTCAACACTGTGGTCGGTGCAAAGCGTGTGCGGAATTCTTATCGTCCAGCCATCACTGGGATTCGAACTCTGGTCACTTCATTAGGAGGTGAGTGCTCTATCCTCTCCCCCGAGCCACCTCGGCTCTACATTAGACAATTTTGTCACCGTCGTTGAACAGCCAACCCAATTATGAGTTTACGACTATTAATGTTCAACTCCGTTCTCTAGAGTAATTTTGAACTCATTCCAGAAGGCAAGGGATTTCCTAGATCAAGTATTGGGGAGAAAATTGCCTTCATGGAGGAATTTATGACGGAACTAATCTACATTTGCGTTACATGGGGAGGAAAATCTCCCACGGTTAGCCTAACGAACAGAGGACTCTAACCCATGTTTCGTCTAGCACTGAGGATATTTTACATCAGCACTTTGTCGGTGCAAGCCGTGGGCAAAATTAACCATTGACAATTTAAAAGGATTTTTGCAACATAATGCTAAGCCGCGTTTTCAAATTATTCTGGAGGGTGTTTTTTTAAAGTGAGTTTTGAGTTTGGTAAGGAAACATTACAATTTGCGTAGAGAACTGAATTATTACTGAAACTATTTATTTTATGCACCTTTAAAAGCGTGGTATTGAATGTCTTCGATTTGAGTTGAACAATTCAAAGGAGTGTGTTAAGGAACATTTTATTTTAAGTTAGCACCAGATTAAATGTTTATGTAGACTTTTAAGAGATATGTCAAATCTAAACACCAATAATGGAGGAATCGTAAACCAAGCACACCATTACACTATTTGTGAATTAATTTCGAGTTCGAAAGCACCAATATTACCATACTTTGGATATCGCCAATTGATTAGTTTCATTCGAATACTAAATGGCGTCAATTTATTTTCTTCTATGCTATTAAACATCTACAGAAATAAAAGTTAGTCATTTCATGTTCATGTCTGCATACGTAGGCTTTTAGTTGTGTAATAAGGATAATTAATATTTTAGTTTTTAAATACCCGTCAATTGTATATACCTGCAAAGAACGTCATCGTGGGTAAATCGTGATATTTGTCGATACAGAAGCCAATCAGGTTCGATACTTAAGCGTGATGTCGCTTATATCCAATTAAAAAAATCACATGGTTAGGGATAATCAAATCATATATCATAGATTTAAATCACATGTTAGGCATAATCACGTCATTTCTTCTCGAGTTGGAAGTATCCAATACCTGCAAGTGACGTAGTGTGGTATTTGTTTAAATTAGCAACTGTTCTTTCCATTCTATTTCGAGTAAGCCAAACCCGTCAAGTATCAATTCTCTTACGTGACACATTCTAAATTCTTTCACAAAGATTCTTTCACAAAGATTTCAATTCTTTCACGACATATTTACACAGAGACTTGACCAAAGGCAGAGCCCTGTGGATCATAAACAAACTAATTATGCAATGAAGTTGCCAGACACACAAAAAGCAAAAATATGTCACGGTTACAATAAAATACATAAACAAATAATAAATCTAAGTGAAGTAAGAAAAAAAAAATTGACGAGAAAGAATTATAATTCAACTAATTCGATGTACGATACGGCTCTATATTTAATTAGCTAATCGTTAATTAACATTCTAACTTATGTATAGAGAAACTTAGCTCAAATTTAACTAAAAAAAAGTGGTTGTCATTACGCTGACTTCTCTCTCTAATTCGCCTTTTCGTCATTCACTATATTAGGGATCATTCCTGATAACGGTAGCCATAGTGACGCAAACTTATGAACATTTTTTCTAAAATAAGAAAGTAACTCGTTTTAAAATAAACATATGGAAAAAATAAGCTATAAAAACAAGTGAAAATTCTAAAAAATTAAATTCATACCAAATATGTTAACAAAAGGGAAGATAAACAATAAAACGGACGGCGTTATAGTACGGGAATATACTAAACAATTCGTGTTTTCAAATGATTTTGACTAAGGTTCAGATTATCTTTAATGAATATTTAACTTCTTTTTTTTTTTAAGTGCTTTGCACTTGAGGCGAAGCTAGAAAGTAAATAATTATCTGAGCTCAGAACGGACAACTAACATATATATTTTAAAAGTTATTAAACTTTTTTAAAAGTGGTTTATACACCTAGAAGAAAATTTTCAAAATCTCTTTTTTTTACCAAATTTTTATGAGCTTAGATAATGCAGCGTTAGAATAACTTTTTAAATATTAAAAAATTAGATCACGAACGCTCTTTACTGTCACATAACTGAGGCTTTTAACGTTAACGTTTTGTGCCTTTTTTAGAATTGGCGTAAAGGGCCACGGCTAAATTATGCTAAACTTAACCTAAAAGTCTTGAACTGCCCTGAGACTTAAGAATCGAGTTGTGAAATTGGAAACTTTAAAACGCTATTTCGCTCCGTGGTGGCTTAGGGTATAGATGGCTCGTTTCTCAATGAGGTGATCCGTGTTCGAAACCCAGCGATGGGTGGTTGATACAAATTCCGCACGTGGCAACGTACCCACCACAGGACTGACGTAGAATATCCTTAGTTTTAGACGGATTACGGGTTAGACTGTTCCTGTCGTCAGGCTAATCGAGGTAGGTTTTCGTGGTTTTCTTTTCCATGTAACACAAATTCGGATTAGTTTAATCAAAATGTCCTCCACGAAGGCAAATTTCACAAAATATTTGATCCAGTAGTTCCCTTGTCTTCTGGATTGGGTTCAAAATTACAAGGCTACAGAGTTGAACATTAATAGACATAAACTCAAAATTGGGCCGACTGTTCAACGATTTTTATAAAATAAAGATATTCTTTCTGTAAAGACAGAGCTTTCAAAAACAGTATATAGAAGTGAGGAAAAACCGTTTATGATGAAATGAAAGCAAAACATATTACCAATTTATTTATACATTTCTGGAAAGGACAAAGCAAATTGGATGCGTGCAAGTGATGTTAGTAAATCGGGGCATTTGCCAATTCGGAAATCAACCATCAGGTTCCACACATATGCGTGACGTTGCTTAGAGGTAATCCAATTACAATCTGATTCACCTCTTCTCGAGTTTCAGTTAGGTACTTGCAACTCGAGTAAAAGAGGATCACTGTTACACAGATACGTGACCTATGATCTCAGAGCGGCCATGTCGTATGATTATGCGGCATGTAAAAGATCCCTGGAGTGCCTTATTGGCTCTTTGGCACTTCCGGTAAAATTAAATTCCTAGTGCACTTTATCATCTAAATGGAGTCTCGGTGCTGCCATCTAGTGTGGCAGAAACTAGACATCCAAATTAACGTGGACAACGGTATCTCACCCATTGTGGTGGTCCTGAAAGAATGGATACCACTTCTGGAGAACGCACTAGGTCTGCTCATCGGCAAGACTGATTGTTCAGCTCATTGGAAATAAAAAAAAATGATCTCAGTGCCAGCTGATTGTTTATAAACAAGATGGCGTGTTTAAGTCGAGCTAAATTTCTTATCATAAATTGGAATGTTAATTAAAGTGAAATTAATTAAATTGAACGCCGTATCACTCATCGAATTCTTTAAAGTATAATTCTATCTCGGCAACGTCTTTCACTTGACTTATATTTATTATTTGCTCATATATTTTATTGTAACCGTGGTATATTTTCGCTTTGTGTACATGGCAACTTCGATGCATAGTTTGTTTATGTTCTGCAAGGCTTCGTGCCTATCCTTGTGTTAAGCAAAAAATTTATAATGAAGAAATTAAAATCTCTGTGAAAGAATATAGAATGTGTCACTTAAGAGAATTGATAATTGAGAGACTTGGCTTACTCGAAAAGAACAGTTGCTACTGTAAACAAATGCTTAATTTCAATAACCAATGAGAATCGAAATACCCATTCTACGTCACTTGCAGGCATCCCATTGTAGTTCCCTCCATTTTTTTTTTAAATTTCAGATGTCTCTTCGTGCAAGGGAGTGTTGTGCCACGACAGAAACACGTGCTTTCACGTCTATTTTACGTGCGATATCTCCAACAGCATCGACAATTCAACGGAGGATTACAGAGATTACATGACATGGTGCAACCAAGAACAATATTTCATATGTGGCATCAATTGCTTTGCGAACTCATTCCTTTGTGATGGTTACCTTGATTGCAATAACGGAACAGATGAAATCAACTGTGGTAATATTTTGAATTTTCTTTGTACTTATGCGTTATAGGGATGAAGGCCACCCCAATGATAAAAGCGAAATTGTCAAACTAATTTGTAATTGTGTAATTTGCCGATTGAGTCGCCATGTTTGTGAAGCAAAAAATAATGTAAGGGTAAATGCAATTCATTCATTTATAATTTGACTAGAAATAATTCTATCATATTTAATGCAGTCCTATAAGATTTATGAAAGACTTTTTGTTTCCAATATAAACCAAACGGAAAAATCCATTGTATTCAAGTCGGTAGAATCATGTGGCTATTCTCGACTAGTGACAGTATTTATCATTGTTCTTGAGCTTTGCATGAGCTGCACACATCGTTTGTCTAAAGCAGAGGTCGCCAAAGTGGTCTATATAGACCCCCAGGGGTCTATTTAACAAAAGCGGGGGTCGATCTGAGACAGGGGGGCGAATGGGGGTCGATCCGAATCGGAAGGGTCGATTGTGGATCGAGAAAAAAAACAGTTCTCAATACGCAAATCACACATACCTAATTAAGTATGTAAAATTTGTGAATTTTTTTTATAATTGACTCAATATCAGTTTCTTTATAAAACATAAATTAATAAACGTATATTTATTGGGGTGAAACAAGTATTTACGTACCACCGCGCAGTGGCACGAACTCAGCGCAGTTTATAAGTCATATGCATATGTGCGCTTGTCCAAATGTCACGTGTGACGAGCATTGACGTTACAAATGCAAATATCATACGCAGTTTCAGCTATCTTTGCAAACTGTGTTGAATATTTGCAGTGTCATTATTAAAACTTTTATAGTTTTGGATAATTAGTTATTGTTTCGATAAAACCATTCGTTTGGTTTAGATATCAATTTTAATTATCAATGCACAAAAAAGAAGGTAAGCATTAATAATATGGATTAGTACAGCCCGCGACAAAACTATAGCACACTTTGTATTTTTTTACGAAAATTACAAAATTGACCAATTTTGACGAAAATTAAAATTGACCAATTTTGAACCCAATATAGCGAACCTTGCAAAAAAACACCAGGCACACCCATCTCATTGATCAAGAAGCAGTAAATCTTTAGTTACTTTACTTATTATATCTACTTATGCATAATTACTTATTATTTAATAATAAGGTATTTAAATTTCAATATTAATATATTTTTCATAAAACTATTGTTACACAATGTACTATTACTTTAATAAATGTTTAAAATCATAAAATAAATGTACAAACACAGTATCTAATAGAGTTTTATTTTAATTAACAGAAAATTACTTTTGTGGGGGTCGATGGGGATTTCGAAAAATTATATAGGGGTCGATGATCAAAAAAGTTTGGCGACCCCTGGTCTAAAGTAAGAACTCCCCTAGCCATTCCTCTGGACCCGTGGCTGTGACTATGGTAATGAGGTATAACTATTCCAAGTAGGGGTGTGGGGTCATTGTTTAGGACAGGTTTTGGCTCGGATGGGAGAGAGAGAGGGAATATTTTTCTTTGGTCTACTGTGTTAGTCCTAGAGTAAAGAGAAGCTACCCTCCCTGAAATGCACTATTCTTGTTTCCATAGCAGCAGACATCGTCAGATTTTGTGGCAGGGGGAGTTCTCACTTTAGACAAACTGCAGATTCAGTTTTGGTTTTCAAAGAATATTAGGTTTTTATCCAAAATAGTTTTTATTACTCTACATAAATGTTTAAACATATTATGTATATAATTTAAAAATGTTTATTGATTAAAATATATCATTATAACAAATAGAGAAATACATAATAGCTAAAGAAAAAAACGATGGTAATATCTTCAATAGGATTAAATAGAAACCTAATTATATATATGTAGTAGTTATTGACCATCATCCCCGAAACCATCTACTTCCTCGTTGAAAGGTGCCAGATTGTCTGCAAGGGAAAAGTCCCGAAATATTTAATTGACTATTCTTTTCTTTATAACTATTTAATTTTGTCTGTCTTTGTTCTGTAACGCTGCGTGTAGGCAGTTCTCCGCTATCGATGTCGCTGTTATACTTATTTTCCTTCTTTATTAAATTTGTTAAGTCTAATTGTTAAATTAATTATTGTTGTAGTTTCATCTAGACACAAATTCTGGAATTAACCTGTGTTCAGGAAACAAGACTCGTGCAAATATCTAAAGAAAACATTTATTTAAGCTAAACAAAACAGATTCTACACACCCTGCGTGTTCTCGTTACATACAGCTGTTTAGAGAAAAGCAAGTATCAAATTCGTGTCCCAACATTTATACTGTGAAGATCGGGACCACTTCAGTTCGCTTCACAAGAAATAATGATACATACAGCAGTGACGCCACAATTGTATTTTTTCCTCCCTTGCTCCACAAATCACCACATTTATTTATCAAAATTATTAGAAAAAAAATTAAAAATAAAGAAGCAAAAGAAGGTATAGTTCAAATTTCATTAAAAGTAACGCTTAAAAATATCTTTTGATAGATCTTTTGATATCTTTTGATTTCAATTGAAACCTGTACCGGTTTCGTTGTCACATGGGTCCACCTTCATCAGTAACAATGACAGGGATGGCAAAACAAAAATGGAGTTAGACAGAAGTTACTGTTTGTCTATAGAAAGAAGTCTTCGTCTGGAGCAGTGGCGGTGAATATGGTTGCGAAGGTGGGTTTTTCGATCGGCGAGAGAAAGGAAAAAAAATGGGGTATAAGAGCTTCTCTCTTGGAAATGCGATTTTTCCATAGCAGCAGACAGCCTTAGACTATCTGGTGTGGGGAGTTCTTTCAATAGACAAACTATGAACCATACTATGAATGGTTGAGCTTGTAAAACTAAGCACAGATGGCACTACGGGTTAATATTCGTCTTAAGACTTCCAGGTTGCTACTTCCGATTGATTTTTAAGCTTAAACTTGAAAAGGGATGACAACAAATACTATTATACTAATAGTGTTTAAAATATAACGCATTCTTTCAAATTAAACTTCAACAAAGCAAACAACAAATGAATTCGAAACACTTCACAAGCATGCAATTCTAAAAATATCAAACGGTGATATTTTACATAAATATAGTCAAACAAGGCATAACACTCAAAAGATGGCAAACCTTACACTTTATTTATGTTCTAAAATTAATTTTCTTAAATTTCCTTTAGACTCACAACCAGTTAGAATTCGTAACTTATAGGAAATTCTTAAGAATGGTAAAATTATGCTTAAATTTATTCACAAATTACAATAATAAAACTTCTCGGAATATTAAGCCTGTTCATACATCGCCCCAGAAGCAATAAGATAAGCGGAGGAATACACCGGAAGTTTGCTAAATTTCTTCCGCTTTTAGGTAGCTTGTTATTGTTTACATTCAGTCAACCATCCATATTCTTTGTAAATAAAATGGTCGTCTCAAGGTCTAACGAATTTTCCGCTCTCACCCATTTTCCCTTTCTGTTTCCTTGGTTACTAAAAATATTACTTTTTCCCACAAAGCGGTGCGTTTTAGTAAGAAATGGGAATATTCTGGCGAGAAGAAAAATCACAATTTGTAGATACCATGATAACGGGAGAATAAATGTTTGGAGAGTAGGAAAACCGCGTAACTTTGAGAAGCTTATTCAATTTATAAAGAGTATAATAGAGATAAATATATAGTTAATAGTAACATCATGAAATTGATAGTAAGTATTAGAAAATAAAAATATATAATTAATGAAACAGCTTTAAAAGCTCCAAAAACTCTACGAAGTCTATAGGACTAACAATTTAGAAGTTATGAGAGTTAAGAGTATGAAGGGAAGTTAGGAATATAAAAAGTAAAATATTTTGCTTTTTTTTTGTGCATATGATCATTATTGCTTCGGAATGTTTACCTTTATCGACTTTCTTTTGGTTTCATTGCATTAAGAGTAAGCGAATAAATAAAAAAGCAATACCTCTCTTGTCTAGATAGCTATGCCAGAAACCTAAATACATGTATAAGTACAAAATTTGTACTTTTTATACATAAAACTTTTATAATTTTTATAAATTCTTAAATGTTAGTCCTATCGATTTGGTTTTGAACACATGCGATTAGCCGAAATGAATACATAGGATTTAATACTTTAAGTAGTTGCATAGCAATGACAGAAAAAAACGTAACAAATCTCACTATATGAAATCATATAGTGAGGTTTGTCCCCTTGGGGGAGGAGGCAGATATCCATATAGGGCCATAGTTATGACTTTTAGAACTATTTCCAGCTTACGCCTAATTATTTTCGTAATAAGCCTTTATTAGTGACAGAGGAACTGGTCTAATTCCAGAATATTATTGACATCAGAATAATTTGAAAATTACACAAGGAGAAAAAATTGAAACATTTAGGCGGGCTCAGAAGTGTGGAAGCTCTAGGTCTGGGCCTCTCAGACTTTATGTCAAATCGGGCCTTGTTTACGCTGAAACTTAAGCGTTATCACAAGCATTTTTTTTTCTTCATGAAGCAACTACAGACCACATAATACATACCATCTTACTCATAGATGAATGACATTCATTGTATTAGTAAGATGGTATGAGATATTTTTTCCCCTCATGAAGCAACTACAGACCGCATTATACATACCATCTTACTCATAGATGAATGACATTCATTGTATTAGTAAGATGGTACAAAGAATTTTTTTTCTTCGTGAAGCAACTACAGACCACATAATACATACCATCTTACTCATAGATGAATGGCATTCAATGGATTAGTAAGATGGTATAAAGCATTCTTTTTTCTTCTTCATGAAGCAACTACAGACCACATAATACATACCATCTTACTCATAGATGAATGACATTCATTGTATTAGTAAGATGGTATAAAGCATTTTTTCTCCTTCATGAAGCAACTACAGACCACATTATACATACCATCTTACTCATAGATGAATGGCATTCAATGTATTAGTAAGATGGTATAAAGCATTTTTTTCCCCATCAGATAACTACACTTGTCGATCAGATCAGTACAAATGCAGTGATGGAGAATGTATTCCCGGTAGATGGGTGTGTGATGGTGACAGAGACTGCTCAGATGGAACGGATGAAAACGACTGCGTCTACGAAAGAGGCCTCTACCACAGGTGCAGAAACGGTCAACACGTTCGTAAACAGCAAGTCTGCGATGGAATATCTCAATGCGAAGATCTTTCAGATGAAGAAAATTGCAGTAATTTATTTTCTTTATTATATTCTATCTCACAAATCAGTGCTTATATTATGTTTATTATTAACTATTATTAAATAAAACCATTATTATTAAATATGACACCGTTATTTATCGAACTTCAAGCCTTGATGGATTGAAAAGCAATTGCTTAAGTACAGAGAGTAGAAGATGCTGATTAATACTTACAAATGAATTATACTCAGTTGTTTAACCTAATATAAAAACCGATAAATATATAGGTGATTGGTACAAGGGTGACAGTATTTCAGTTTTTGTAGATTTGGATGAACTCCTATAACGAAACTTGCTGTATATAATTACAGAATAATAATTAAATTTGCATTCAAAATTAACTGAAAATAAAATACAATGAAAATCGTTATTAATAACTATGAACTTTTATTTATTATTATAACAAAAATTTCTGGTTCGAGAGGCTAAATATTTTTTTTAAAAAAAGAAGAAAAGTTTCAGAAATACAAATTTACAATGGCGGAAAGGAAAGTGCAACTCGGAAAGTTAATGGACATATCCCAACAGAGCCTAACCAACACCTCCTAGAAGGAAGAAGGCCTCAGCACGGATCAATTTAATAGTCCGACTTAACGGACATAAACTGTACAATAAATGAAAAATAAGAAAGATGTCCCTAAGTTCAGGCTACTAAAGGATCAAATTTCTTGTTTATGGTGACCCATGCTGAGGCTTTCTCTTTTCTAGGAGGTATTGTTCTAACCTTCCGTTGTAAAATCATAAATGCAAGTGACATATAGAATATACTTCACCAAGGAAAACATGATTTGGCTATTTATTGTAATAAAATGTTGCTAAGTATGCCAAAGCCTTTTGTCTTAGCCTTATGCCCTAAAATGTGTTGGCGGCTAAGAAATTGTGATAATTAATAACGACTTTTCAATCGAAACTAAACATGGTAGATTCAATGCAAATATAGCAAGAGGGAATCTCTAAAAAATGGTCACATGCCGTTGAATAAATAGACATGAATTACTTTTCATTGAAAAAATACAACAGTTTTTTTAATTACTGGAAATATATTTTTGCATGAGTCTAATCTATGAATCGGTTTACGTTTGGTTAGGTTTTCATATTTTCAAATGATATTTGCCTTGAAAATATCCATACAAGTAGTTATTTTTAACATATAATAAAGAAGACGAGGGAAATACTAATTCAATATTATTACGTAAGCACATCTAAGATAGCTCTTTTATTTGTTTTGGCCTCGCAGAGGAAAGCCACTGATGTCCTTCCACGGTTAACTATCACATAATCATCCAAGTTTATATTGTGCCATTTATTGAACCCCAGTGTCACAACAGTATAATATTAGCGTGAGCACAGTGTCACAAATTAGTTACGCTAAGTTATCCTCAACCCCTAAAACAAATGCGATTTATTCCAATAAATTCTAGAAAAGAGAAGTCCTCAGCACGGGTTTATATAATTTGATCCTTTAGTAGTCCAAACGTAATGATATCTTTCGTATTTACCTCCACTGCAATACCTTAGTAGCCCGAACGCAGTTTTCTTATTTTTCATTTACTGCGCAGTTTATGTTTGTTACGTCGGACTACTAAATTGATCCGTGCTGAGGCTTTCTCTCTTCTAGGAGTGTGTATTGTATGTGTGGGTGTGCGTGTTCGTGTAACGTAAAATGTTTTAACCAATCTTTTTATGTTATTTCTTCATCTAAATTATTCTTCTAAATTTAGTCTCAAAACTAAGTGCTTCCTCGCACTTTATTGTTCGCATCCACCTCTTTCATTTCTATATTTAGATCGTAAGTATGCAAGAATGAACATTTTAAGATTTTCCTTAAACCGAACTGTGAGAACCATATTTTTCCCTCGACCTTTTTAATGAACCAATTGTAATTACTAATGTTTCCCTTTTTGCATGTGATTTAAGAGTCATCGGGACTTATTTGCAAGATTTTCCCTAACATACCATTAAACAGTACACCCTACTAACTAAATATTCACTTATTCTAATGTAATTAAAGCTTATTTACATCCTTGAGTAATTAATTTATGAATTTAATCTATAATGATATGCCACTAAATACATTTCTGTTTGTTTTAGCTAGGAGGCGCTGTAGAGGTTTCTACTGCGGTGGCCAACAATGCATTCACTCCAATTTCAGATGTGACGGTGATCGTGACTGTAGAGACGGCAGAGATGAGCATGACTGCGGAAAAAACACTTGTGACAGTGAGCGCCAAATAATGTGCGACGTGTATAGATGTGTGTCAAAAGATTATGTGTGTGACGGTGATTATGATTGCTCTGACAGAACAGACGAAAATAATTGCGGTAAGTTTTGATTATAATAACAATCAATATCACAGAAAATTGACAGTAAACAGATGACATACAATCACCAGAGCGGGTAAGGGTACTAAAAACTAAGATATCTTTTTTTTAAAAACAAATTAGAAATATTTTATAAGTAGCTATTGCAAACATAGTATGTTATTGAACCTTAACATTTTTCACAATAAGTTTAAACTTATTAAAGTTTTATGATTATACAAAACTTTATTACTTTTGATCTAATGATCGGATCTTCACGTTGTAGGGTTCAATCTTAATCGTTGGGGAGGATGACCTGAAATATGCTAATAAAATTAGTACAGATGATATTTTAGGTTACGAAATCGGAAACAAAAACGTACTTTTTCTGAATAAACATAACTTTTTTTTTGACGGATGATTCAAATTGCCAACTCCTGAAATATAGGGGGTAGCCACTAATCACAATATGGGAAACATGGTCCAAAACTGGACCCTTTAATGTTAATTATCTTACTTTTTGCGTATTTAACCATAACTCTAGAATTTTTATATTAAATGTCAAAAATTCGAATCCGTCGAAAAAAAATTATGTTTATTCAGAAAAAGTACGTTTTTGTGTCTGATTTTGTAATTTAAAATATCGTTTGCAATAATTAACTAGCATATTTGAGGTTATCCTTTCGAACCATTAATATTGAATCCTAGAAAGTAAATATCCTATTATTAGACCAAAAGTTATTCAGGGTAATCTTTTTTTTTTCCTTCTTTTTTTTGCGCACTCTATTTTGTCTTCAAATTTATATGTATTAATTTTTGTTGAACAAACACTAGATGGAGAATAACGAAAATAATTTCTATGGCTTTAAACACAATTTTGTGAAATATTAATTTGAACTTTTGGCATTTTCAATATTTTGCCGAAAGTCTTTCGGTTTATTAACGCTAAGAATGAAATTAGCCGGGGAAATTAGCAATACAAAGATGGTTCATTTCAGCCAATCAGCCAATACGGCACTAGTTTTTATTTTCGGAAAAATGCGTTTCAATTCTTTAAAATAATATACTTAGTTAAAAAAAAGTTAGAATGTCCTTATATATATATANATTTAAATTTCAATATTAATATATTTTTCATAAAACTATTGTTACACAGAGTACTATTACTTTAATAAATGTTTAAAATCATAAAATAAATGTACAAGCACAGTATCTAATAGAGTTTTATTTTAATTAACAGAAAATTACTTTTGTGGGGGTCGATGGAGATTTCAAAAAATTATATAGGGGTCGATGATCAAAAAAGTTTGGCGACCCCTGGTGTAGGGTATATCGGACAAATATATACCGGGCAGGGGCACTCAACTAGACCTAGTATATATTAAGGACATTCACTTGTGGAAGTCAATAACTACTAATTTTGGTCATTCACAGTAACATATATATTTGAACAATCATATGTGTTTGTTAAATATATATGTTACTGTCTTAGCAAACATATGTGCTAGCATTTATTCGTTTTTTTTAAAATTTATTTATTATTTGTTAGCAAACATATGTGCTAGCATTTATTCGTTTTTTTTTAAATTTATTTATTATTTGTTAGCAATCATATGTGCATGACTACTTAATAAATCAAAATGAAAGGTAATTAGAACACAGGAGAATATTCTGGATCAAAATGTGGTAAAGAAAATACCACTCAAGGTGCGGTACTTTTTATCGTAAATTTAATTTTTACTGAAACATGTTATGAAACAAAAAATCTGACACACCGTAATTTTTAACAGCAATAATTACCATAAAATTACTGAATCATTCTTATTAAATAAATGAAAAAATTACAGTATTATATTTTACGATAAAAATGAATTTTCTCGGATACCAAGTTTGATCTGGAATTTATGACAGAGTAGGTATTTTCTACTTTTTTGCATTTTTATTACATATATTTATAAAAGCACTCATAATAAATATTTTACTATATATATATATATATATATATATATGAGTTAACGTTTATAGACTTCTAAACCATCCGACCGAAAGCGAAGGCATTTGGCACTCAGGGTAAAGTGGACGAGTCGGTGAAATGAGTTTTTGTCGATGTGATCGAGACAATGAAGTGAACTTTCGGAGAAATGATCGCGTCGGTGATGAGAGCAGTCGACGAAATGATTAGTGTTGGTGAAGAGAGCAGTCGGCGAAATGATTATGTCGGTGAAGTGATAGAGGCAGTGAAATGAGTTAACGTCAAATAGATCGTGTCGGTGAAGTGAGCTTTCGACGAATTGATCGTGTCGGTGAAGAGAGATGTTGACTAAATAATCGTGTCAGTGATATGATTTGTCGGTTAAGTGATTATATACGATATTCCTATTAATTACTAATTCCTCCCTTTTACTTTGTAGATTCCTATTTACCATTTTAATAACTTTGCATTCTTCTCCCATTGCTATGTTCCTTATTCATTGCATCATTCTCCCATTGAATATTTAAAAATATAGTTATGAAACTGCAATATTAAAGACAATATTGTTTTGTTAGAAGAAGTAGAAATCAAAAAAACAATATATCTATCGAAGCTGAAATATTCATTGTTTTCTTAACTTCTATTTTTCTAAGAAAACTATACTTTCTTTAAATGAAATATTACGAAATATTTAAGATCTTAATACTGAAATCGTTTTTATTATCTTTTTCAGAAATAAATGGAAACATGAATATTGCGACGGAAAGAATACAACTAGATAACAGGTTGCAGAAGGCTAAAAGAAAACAATTGCCGAATAATAAAAGATAATAATAAAATTTATGAAATAAAACAAAACTGGCCTTTTTTCCCCCTTTAGTCTGAGCTTTATCTGTTGAAAAATTCATTAACTATATACTTGCATGTTTTATAAACAATAATAATTCTTTCAACATTTGAGAGAATTATTTATGCATATTTGTAACAGTAAATTGAATATATAGTAACTTTAAAATTAGAAGAATTTTATCAACAAACCTGTCCACCATTAGCGTAGTTCAATATAGTGAAATTTGCAATTTAACCTGTGCGGGACGTCCTCAAGGGGCCGGGGCAACTTTTCCCGTTTAGCCTACATTCATTTAAAAATTCATATAAAGCCATTAATGTAGTTCAATATTCTGAAATTTACACTTTATTATCATTAATATTCTACTAATGTTTTATTTTTATATGACGCTGTGGCCTAAGGCTTTAGGTAATTAAACGAATACTACGAAATAGTTTATAAATGATAATAAAACGTTTTGTGAAATTTTGATAATAAACTAACCAAGAAAAAAAATTAAAATCCGAACAACTATTTCTATTTGAAATAGTAGCTTTAAACAACGCAATTTCGAATAAGGATGGAATCATCTTGCAATGCAAAAATTTGCTTTCCTTACAAATATAATTTTTTTCTTATTATTTTTTAATTAATTATATTTTTTAAAATTAATGAAAAAATTATTATTACAAAATTACTTTTAAACAAATGACATCCAAAATGTAGGAGGTTGCTGCAATCTGGGAAATATGGTCCAAATAGTTTGGTCAGAAAAGTGCTCCTAAGTTTAGAACCCGTGACGTTGATTTTAATTTTTGGGTATTTCTCTATATCTCGAGAACTTCTTAAGCGAATTGAAAAGTTTTTGCACACAATTATAAAATTCGTTGATAAATCCAAAGATAATTCCATGCCAAAAATAACTTTTAGTAAATATTTATAATTTTTCATTCAATAATGGTTGAAAAAATTTTGAATTGCAAAGTATACAAGTTTTGACACCATTTTAAATTATGTAATTTTACATGGAAAAATACAAAATCTGAGAGAAATCGGTCGAATAGTTCCTGAGTAAATGAATTTCGAAAAAGTCAGATACTTAAAATTAGATTTCTCAGGAACTATTTTTTCAGTCTGATTTTTGTGACTTAAAATATCGTCTGCACTAATTAAGATACTTGAAGTCTCACCCTCAAACATGAATATCCGTTCAATAGATCAAAAATTATTCAGGGTGGTCAGATTTTTTCTTCTTTTTTTTTTTTTCGGTGCAGTGTACATCTTTTTTTCAATAAATTATGCTAGACGTCATTAACTAGCCCTACATTTTTTTTGCCTTAAAAAAAATTAAAATCAGATTTTAGTATCTTGCGCTATCTTTCATATCCCCCCCCCTTGTATGTAACAAGGGGGTGGAAGGGTATGAGCAAAGTCATAAGTCCTCCCTTACGTGCTTTCGTAATATTTGAACTGTGGCAAATTAAATATTTTGTTAATCTTTGTTGAAATCTTTGTTTTGTCTTCGTAAATAGATAGATTTTATCGAAACCGAATAAAATTATCCTCACGACTAATCGTACACACGACGCATCGACGCGATGCACCCCAATAAATACGCTAATTTAGGTTGACTCTCTTCTAAAAAAAGCTGATGAAAGTTACCAATGAAGATAAATAAATGATATCCACTTTTTTACCTTGAAAATATATGATGTTGCGTAATCACCACTCTAAATGTGTATTCTTTGATTTATTTTCAATAATAAATTCTAAATTATATGCTTGACAGGTTTTTGTAAATAATTATTCAAAGGGAAGAGTAAATCAAAAGATTTATCGAAATATGACCAATTATTATTGAGGAAGGTAATTAAAAGTATCAAAGCCAGCTGGATTGCTAGAAAATTGCATGGCGTTTCTGATATCTATTCACGTCTTTCCTAATAGCCCTTTCCATTTTACAACTAAACTCGCCTTTCTCAGTAGTGATTTGTCTACTCCTTAAAATTAATTTGCATGATGCAAACATTTAAAAAATTAATTCGCATTTTTTGTTCTATGAATGATATAGACTTTATTTTTGGCATTAAGAAAAACAATAACAAAACTATTTAACAAAAGCAAACAATAATTCATTTACACTAATATGATTTTTCAGAATCAATTGACTGGCATGATCTTCATAACATAGAATAAAAGAAAATAAAAATAATTTTTTATTTTTACGTATTTCTGTTCAAAGACCTTTGAACAGTATGCCACAGCCACAGAGCGAAAGTTTGAGAAAATTTCACAAAGGGGAACAATACTTTCAACGAAGTGATACCAGGTCGCTGACGACATACAGGACAGGATAAGTTCTGCCTGAACCAAGTCGTAATGCATGTCCTGTGGAAGCTGTGACCACATGTCAATAATTGAGAATTTTGAGCCGCCAATATTATGTCCAGGCAAATGGGACACTCGTCAGTCCTTGAGGTCAAGAGATCGGTCACTCGGATTGCTGGACATTTCTTTCTGTTTCGACGACTTCTTTTCACGATGTTGCTGACCCGGGGGTTTCTTTTCTTCTTTCTAGGTCTCAAGTTATAGTGATTCCTGTTTCGCAGAAAATATCTGTTGGTTTCCATGGTTTGAATACCAATGATCTGAAACAGAATAGCAAAGAAAAATAACGGTACTATGGAATAAGAACTAATGTTACTTATTCATTTAAATTGTATATCATTGCAGACAGAGTTGCAAAATGTTAGAAATCAAGGTATTTATGGTTATGGAATATAAACTGTGGTTATGAGGAAATGTTTTAGTAACTGATGCAAGATGTTAGATATTAGAAATTTTATTGACGATGTTTGTTAATAAACAAAAAATGAATATATCATGCATACCAGAGAAGCAAGCAAAAAAAAAAAGTGATTTCTAAGATGAAATGAGTTTTTGATAAAGTGTGTAATGATTTCATAATAATCGAAGTGGAAGGGGAGAGCGAGGCTAGGGAGCAGAGTTTGCTGGTCTATTGATTTCATATGCTGGCCAATCCATTCATCAAAAGGAATTTTTCTTTTTTAATAACAGTCATTGAACAGCTGACAAAATTTTGAGATTTTGGCTACTAAAGTTCAACTCCGCAGCCGTGTAATTTTGAACCCAATCCAGAAGACAAGGGAACTCCTGGATCCTTATCCACGAATCGAATTAACCTGCATTTGCACTACATGAAGATAAAAACCACTAAACTTCCCCCGGTCAGCCTGACAGCAAAGGGACTCTAACCCATGATCCGTCTACAACTGAGGATATTTTACGTTAGTATAGTGGCCGGTGCGAGCAGGGAGCGGAATTCGTATCGACCAGCCAACACTGGGATTCGAACCCGGTTTACCTCATTGGAAGGCGGATGCTCTATCCCCTAAGCCACCACGGCTTTCAGAAAGAATATTGTCACATGGATAGTTGACTGAATGTGAACAATAACAAGATTCCTAATACGGGACGAAATTTAGAAAACCGGTGTATCTCTTCGCTTATATTTACTTACGAAGCGATGTGTAAACATTCTTTACACACATTCTTTACATATTATCTTAATTTTCTAGGAAGTTTTATTCCTGTGACTTTTGTTCTAATTTAGTCGAAATTTTACCAATCAGACGAGTTCTCTGCAATTGATAAATTCTAACAAGTCGTGAGCATAAAACAAGTATAAGAAAATTAACACAACATAAATAAAGTGTAAGGTTTGCCATATTTTGAGTGATATCCCTTATTTGGCTATAATTCTGCAAAATATTGCCATTTGTAATTTATTGTAACATCATACCATACTAGCTGAGACTTCTTAATTTATTTGTTACTTGTTTCGTTGAAAGGTAAGTTGAAAGAACGCGTAATATTGAATGGCGTGCTTTTCCGAGCTTATAAGCTTGCCTTTAGGTATAGATAGTTTTATGCCTATAGGCATGAAAATCAGTCGGTAGTAGTAACCGGGAAGTTTAACAACGAATTTTAACCCATCTGTGCTTAGCTTTACACGGTCAATCATCCATAGATGAGCACGATAGGGTTTGGTACGATATAATTAAGTGAATTCATATCCCTTGCTGTAACGTAATATAGGACGATAGTTCTGAGAATTTCTTTCTCATATGACTGAACCATAAGATCCCATTCCCGATAATGTAGATAGGAGAAATGATCCTGTCCATCACTCCGCCTCTGCTGAAGGGGTCGTTCATTTTCATGCCCAAATTATTCAGAGTTCTTTACAGATGTTTATCCCATTATTGTTAGATTATATGTGGAAGAGCGGAACTTGTCCATGAAGAGCACTCATCACATCTCCATATGAGATGCTTTTGATGGCTCAAATTCTGCGGGTAGCATAAGTAATTCTATGTACGATAATTTTCACTGCAAGATATATAATCTTGCAGTGAAGAATTATCTGGGCTTTAGGACCGACAAATAACTTAAACATTCTAAAAGCTATTAAACTTTCTTAAAAATCACCGATTTGGTGACATTTTTCCACCTAGAGGAAAATTATCAAAATCACGGCCTTATTCTCAGTTTTTGAAAATTTTTATGAGCCCAAGTAATGCAGCTTTGGAGAAAGTTTTCAAATATTAAAAAATTGGACTACAAACGCTTTTTATTTTCACAAAACTGTGGCTTTTCTCCATATTCACGTTTTCCACCATTTTCAGAATAAGCATAGACAGCGCTGGTTTTAGATAGGCTAAACTTGACCTAACAGTTAATAAATAAAATTTAAAAATTATTTTTTCTTCATGGACTTATCTTTGAATAATTACATTTTATAATTGTGCGCAAAAATTCTTCAATTCTCTTAAAAAGTTCTCCAGTTGTAGCGAAACACGCAAAATGTAAAATTAGCATTAAGGGTCCAAACTATGGACCCTTTAATGTTAACCATCATTCTCCTGACCAATCTGCGGGAACCATATTTTCCAGATTATTGCTGCCTGCTACATTTTTCGCTGGTCAGAAATCTGAATCCGTTAAAAAAAGATGTGTTTATTGAGAAAAAGTACGTTTTTGTGGTTGATTTCGCAGCTTAAAGTATCGTTTGTACTTATTAATCATTATATTTGAGGTCACCACTCGAACCATTAAGAGTAAGTTCTAGAACTTGAAGATCCGATCATTAAATCAAAAGTTATTCAGAGTGGTTCACTTTTTTGGCACGCTGTACATTCCTATACAACTGAGGAGAGGAAAGCGGGTGGGGGGGGGATCAAGTCTTCTCCCCAGATGGCGTATTCGAGCGCTGTCATAGTGAATAAAGTGGTAGATATTTAAAAACCAAAGCTTTCAGAGTTTTTGGCAATTTTGTCAACATTTTAATTTGTGTGAATTACTTCGTGTGAATCTGCGTGAGTATGAGGCTGTGTGTTTATAGGGTACAGCTAGAAATATTACTTTTTGCTAATAAATATTGATGAACTGAAAGAAAAAATCTTTTTTTCATGTTAAAATTTAGAGAAAACATGGAAAATAATAAAGATTAATGATAAGAGAAGAAGAAGAAATTATTAAAATAAAATATTTAAACAATTTCTTATTTATTGAAAAAAAAAACTTACTAAAAAACCGGAAAGCAAAATAAAGAAAATATATAATTTCTTCATCAGCTCTCACGATTATATTCGCAAAAAGTTAGTAATATTGTTTCAATATAGCCAAAGCAAAATATATCAATACCAAAGTGTGAGGAGCTCTCAAAAAAAATTGGAACGAAAATAGAACACATTTTTCTAATAAATAAAAAATTGTTTTAATATTTTTAAAAATATTTTATTTTAATAATTTCTTTTCTTTTCTTTTCTTAAATCTTTATTATTTTCCATGTTTTCTCCAAATTTTAACTTATTTTATGAGTTCTATATGCTTGCAGCTTATGCGCAGTTAATAAAAGTTATTATGTCTTTTTATTTTTTCTCTCCTTTATTTTTATCCTTTTTGTGCTATATTCTCAGTAGTGATTCGTCATACTTCTATGCATTTTTTTTACGTCTAAATTTTAATCAGCGATATCTAATGTACAAAGCTTTAGTTTTATTTCTTTTTAATTTTATGACCGCTGTTGAACAGCCGATCCAATTTTGGTTTCATGATTACCAAAGTTCAACTCCATAGCCTTGTAATTTTGAATCCAATCCAGAAGACAAAGGAACTCTTGGATCAAGCATTGGGAAACTTTTGATGGAACAAAACCCGCATTTGCGTTACGTGGAGTGGAAAACTACGATAGCCACCCACAGTTGGACTGACGACAAGGGGACTCAAACCGATGATCTGTCCTACCACTGAGGATAATTGAAGTTAGCACCGTGGTCGGAACGAGACGGGTGCGGAATTCGTATCGAATGTGATTCGAACCCTGTTCACCTCAATGGAAAGCGAACACTCTTTCCCCTGAGTCATCACGGCTCTTTACCTTATTTCTGACAAGGATTCTTAAAATATATTAAGAGCGCTGTAATTAATATGAAATACAGGACCTGGGATGATCTATGGTATAGAGCACTCACCTCCCAATGAAATGACCCAGGTTCAAATCAAATTCTTATACAGAGCCGAGATAGTTCAGGGGATAGAGCGTTCGCCTTCCGATGAGGCGAACCGGGTTCGTATCCCAGTCGATACGAATTCCGCACCCGGTTTGCACCGACCACAGTGCTGACGGAGAATATCCTCAGTGGTAGACGGATCATGGGTTAGAGTCCCCTTGTCGTTAGGCTAACCGTGGGAGGTTCTCGCGGTCTTCCTCTCCATGCAACGCAAATGCGGGTTAGCTCCATCTAAAAATCCTCCACGAAGGCAAATTTCTCCCAATACTCGATCCAAGAGTTCCCTTGTCTTCTGGATTGGGTTCAAAATAGCAAGGCTAAGGAGTTCAACATTAGTAGTCGTAAACCCATAAGAAAGTAGGTCGGCTGTTCAACGACGGTTATAAAATAAAATTATAAAATTCTTATACATATACAGGGTAATTCAAAATGAATATAGCGATTACAAACGGGTATAAGTATTGAAAGAAAAAGACTTTATCGATAAAATTTACACTGAGCCACGTTCAGGTACAATTAAAGTGGAAGGCTTCTCCGTACCGCATATTCGACAGCTGTGCATGCAGGGCCTGATTATCACCTAGGCCCAATAGGCACGGGCCTAGGGCCCATACTTTCTTAAGGCCTCAAAAATTAGTAAAAAGTTCACAATATTACTATCTTTTTAAATACTGAAAAAAAAAACCCAGTTTTTCTCAAAAAATGCCTCTTTTTAATTTCAAATTTTCTTTATACTGTGATAAACCAAACTCGTGTAAACATTGCACTAATCAAATTCGAAAGTACAGCTGATGTTGAATTGGTGCAATTTTTACATCAACGGCTAAATTGAATGCACTGAATATGAATTTTAATTCTTTTAAAAGTGTTATATTTATATGAATTATTATTTAAACGTGTTTTTAATTTTCTATGAGTAGCTATAATTTTTCCTCTTTTGGATATTTTTTAGTAAAAATTATAATTAATAACTTTAATATCTTAGCATACATGATGAACTTATCCTTAAATCTAATAAAAAGTCGGCTAGCTTTGTGTTGGTTTAAGTACTA